TTTGCACATTCGGCCCGTTGTCGCGGCCCCTCCCCCCGGGAGATCACCGACGTTTCGCCCATCTTCTTCACTTATATAAAGCACACTTCTTTCCCCAACTTGATCACAACTTTGAATTTCAAAAATCGACTCAAATACTACAAAGATGAGAAACAAGAATTACCCCACTCTAAAAGTTTCTTTCCTTTCCTTTTGTCTCCCCCTTTATCCCCGTCCCATGTGTTACCCCTCGCCCAAGCCGGAACCAAAACCAGAACCAAAAGGACAACAACAAACCAAAACTCCAAAAAGCAACATGAATTAGTTGTCCGCAGATACCCTTCCGCGGAAAATCTTACATGATGTCCGATTTCTCCCCCGACGGCTCCGTCTTTGTTTCTTTCTTTCTTCTTTTTTTATTAGTAGCTTCCCGGCGCAGTCGCCGCGTGGTTGCCGCCGCCGCCGGCGACCATGTCGACGCGCCCCGGGTGCTGCTGCTGCTCCTCGCCGCCGCTTCCCTCAGCCGTCTGCTGCCCACGGCTGCCGTCCCCGTACTCGTACCCAAAGTGCTGCTGTGACTGGCCGCCGTCGCTGCTACTACTCCCCTGCGCCTCCTCCTCATGCCGGCCACCACCATCCGCCGCCGCCGCTGCCGCCGCCGCCGCCGCCGCCGAGTACAGCTCCGGCAGGCGCTCCATCGACTGCGCCGCCGTCGGCCCGTACTGCTGCTGCGCCTGCTCGTAGCCGCTCCACACGGGACTCACCCCGCTGGTGACCGGCGTCGTCGCCGGCGACGGGTACTGCTGCTGGGCGCGCGAGCCCCCGCCGGAGAAGACGGAGGAGGCGGGCACGCCGCGCGAGGAGCCGAGCACCGTGGGCGGCGGGCCGGGGTTGTGGCGGTGCAGCGAGCGCGGCGTGGAGCTGGCCGCCGCCGCCGACGGGGTCATGCCGTGACCGGGACCGTGACTATGGCTGTGCGGCGCGTGCGCGGGGTAGCTGCCGGGGCTGCTGGTCGGGAGGCCCTGGGACATGCTCTGCAGCGCAAAGGCGCCGGCGTCGGCCATGGACGACGACGTCGTGTTTGGTCGGTCCATCAAGTCGTTGTCACCCTGCGCGAGTTTCCGGTCAGCTTTTTTCTCTCGTTTCAGCGGAGAATGGCCTGGTGGCGACTCACCATGTAGCTCGCGTCGGGGCTGGGCATCCCGTGGTACGGCATCCCGTGGTAGGACATGCCGTAGCCCATGGCAGCCACTCCGCCGCCGCTGCTTCCCGAGCTGGCGCTGTGGGTGTCGTAGCCTCCTCCCGGAGCGGCGGCGGCGGTGCTAGGCGCCCAGTTGTACATGATGCTGCTGCTCGTGGGCCCGCCGAAGGCGCCGCCGGGGTGCGTATGCGGCGTCGGTGGGGTGTAGCCTGTCGAGTGGGAGGTCGGAGTGTTGGCGGAGGAGGACATGACGGAGGCGGCGCCACGCGACTGGTACTGTCTGCAGGCGTCCAAGTCGTAGGTGAAGGTGCTCGCGGTAGCAGCAGTGGCGGCGTTTGCGGCGATCCGCTTGTCCTGCTCCCTCTTCTTCATTTCCTGGGTGCGCAGAGATGTCAGTCGGGTTTGTTCTCCCGCACGCGTTTTCTCTCGCCCTTGGTTCGACTTACCATGACGGAACCCGCCTGGACTCGCATGAACAGGCACTGCGGTTCATTTGCGTTCTTGCAGTTGCTGCAGGGCCCTCCGGCGCCGTCGTCTCCGCTGCAGCGAATCTTTCGTTTCCGGCATCGCAGGCACTGTTTTTGGTCAGCCGACAGTGACAGAGGGGGGACCGGAAGGAGGTGTACTTACGGCGACGACAACTCGCTTACGCTCCGGGTCGCCTCCTGCTCTTCGGTCTCGCGCGGTGGAGGACGAGGTCTGGAGGTGTCCTCCGGGGCCGCTCATCTGGCGGCGGCGGACGAGGGAGGACTCGTAGGGGTTTCCCGTGCGGGCGCCGCCATACCGACCGGGCCCTGCGGTTGGTGGTACCGAGAATATGCCGCCGAGGAGCGAGGGTCGGCCGGCGGTGGGCGACGTGGTTGGGATGCTGGTGGCGACTGAGACGGGGTTGAAGCTGGATGGGAAGGACCAGGCGGGCGGGTATGAAGAGCCGGTGCCTGGTTGGGAGGTGTTGCTGTCGCTGAGGTGGCCGGACATTGTGTTTTCTTTTTCTTTTTCCTTTTTTTCTTCTTTTTCTTGTTTGTGTGGCTTTTTCGAGGAGGAGGAGGAGGAGGATCGGAGTCACCGAGGAGGCGTTGTACCTCAGCTCGCGCGCCTACCTCGCCGGGGTGTTGGTGGTGGTGACCTTGTTGTGCGAGAGGGGAGGACGTAGGTCAGTCCGAAGTTTGTTCGCCCGTCTAACCGATACACAGTCAGGAAAGGAAGGGAAGAGAAAAAGAAAAGGATGCGGGATGCGGGATGGGAGGCGGCTGTGAAGATGGACGCGGCACAGCGTGTGGGAGTATGTAAGAGGGAGGATGGCGATACAAGTCGAGGACAAGAGAGGGAATAGGTTTGGGGTTGGTTTTAGAAGAACAAAGAATGGGAACAATATCTCTTTAAAGAAAAAAGTCGTTGTACCGAGTCGGCCTTTGTGACGAGGGCACGTGTGTGAGTGTGTGAGTGTATGTGTGTGTGTGTGTGTGTGTGTATGTGCTGGGTGTAGTATTTATTGTGTGTAAGAGAATGTATGTATGTGTTGGGGTGTTTCCAGATGGCAACGAAAGGAAAGGAAAGCAAAGCAAAGATAAAGCCGGACGGGAAGATGAGGGGAAGAAAGGGCCAGCAGGAACCCGGGGGTGTTCTTATACTTTTAAGACGGCCAAAGAGTCAAAATGAGGTCTTTGAGCGCAACAGCAGCAGTAGCAACAGCAGCAGCAACGTCCAAGAGGAGGAGGATCCTCTGCTCTCGGTGCTGCGTGCGTGTGTGTTTGGTTTGTCTCCCCCCAGCCCAGCCCAGGGACCAGCGGCCAGGGACGAGGGCAGACCAGGGGAGGGCCATTCATCGATCTGCTGGTCCACAGCAGCTGGCTGGGATAAATAAATAAGTGGAATAGAAAAATAAATAAAGAAGGAAGGAATTAAATAAAAAAGAAATAAAGGAATAAATAAATATGGGCTTTCCATATTGAATGGATGGTTGGATGGCCATTGCGTTGGTGGTGCTGATCGAAGCGTTGCCTACCAAGGGACCAGCCTCCATAGCTACATACATACATACATACATAGTTACACTGCACTAATTTTTAACGCTGCACTTACAGTACATACATACATACATACATACATACATACATAGTACAACATACACCGTTCGGTTCGGCGCGCGTAAACCTGTCCCAAAGACCCCTGTCCGCCATGGATTCTGTACAACCCATCTTCATTTTCTCTCGCCAATTCGCTCTTTCAGAAAAAAAAAAAAAAAAAAAAAAAAAAAAAGATCAAGTACTTCATCATTCTCAATTAATATTCAATCTACTCCCTCTCTCAACAGTCACACAACAGACTAACCCAAGACCCAATGGGCGGTGGACTTGCAGCTAGCCAGGCACAACAGTCGGAGAGCCGCAGTCTTGGTGTTGGACAGACAAAGGGAACAGCCGGACCGGACGCATGGCAGCCCTGTTTTTTTATTCCCCTTCTTTTTTTTTTAATTAATTTGTTCTCTTATCGTCTTTCATCTATCTAGTCCTCTCCTCTTCATCTTTTTATTTTATTTTATTTCATCTTATTTCATTTCATTCTTCTGCATCATCCTTCTTCTCCCACCACCGCCTCTCTCCCGGCACACCGTCCGTATCATTACAGGGACAAGCTCTTGTTTCTCTCCTAATAAACCCCCAAAATCCTCACGGAATCCAAAATTGTATTTGCCAAGCTTCCCTTGCCCCCATGCCAGTAAAACTCTCCCCCCTCCCCTCCCCAGCCCAGCCCAGCCGATCCCGATGTTTCCTGGTGCGTGCCCGCCCAACCGTCCGCGTTTAACCTTCCCTCCCGCGCGCGCCGACTTTTTACCACCAACTTGCTGCTAAAACAACCATGTATCTACTGTATGTATGTGTGTACCTGTTACTCGTACTCCCTACCAATTACATTGCCTTTTTATTTCTACTTCTCTTTCTTTCTTCTGTGTCTCTCTTCTTTCGGACTTTTTTCTCTTTCCATCATCCCCCCGTTGGCAAACAATTTGCCTCTTGCGCTGTTTTCTTCCTTTTGATTTTTCTCCTCCTTGTCTCTTGTCTGTGATTGTGATGGGGGGGGGGGGGGGGAAGGCAGCCAATGGAATAACACAATGAACTGCAACAGCCCCAAACCAGTAGCTGCAGCACCCATAAAACCATAACCAGTAGCCAGTAACCAGGAACTGCTGGTAGAACAGCTTACGTACATACATACATACATACATACATACATACATACATACATACATACATACGGGGACGCCCGCTGATGCCACACCATCTGCATCCTGTGCCCCCCCAGCCAAACAGCCCTGGAGATCTCTTCCTTGGCTCAGCCAATTGCAAGATGAAACCTCAAACAGCTACCCGGCCTCCCAGCCCAGCCCAGAGAGGCGAGTGACACCATCAGCTGCGATCCTCGCCCGCTTCAATCAACCAGGGGCCATGTCTCTCCCCTCGCCTTGCTTGCCAAGGCGACCCGTCCAGGGTCAAGGATTGGTCTGCCTCGTCTTGCCGTCCCCAGGGGTCCCGCCCATCGCCTATACCGAAACGCCATGCACATCATCTCCAATACGAAACCGAAACTTGGGTCCCGGGCCTCTGGGTTCTTTTGGTTTGGTTCCTTTTTAGATCAGATTCGCAAGATTAATTGACAGATGCACTGGCTCATATCTGCCCTTCTCTATGCCTCCCCGGATCTACAATGAGCTGTCCTCGCCCTCTGTCGACATCAGACGAAAACATGCTAACAAAGAGACTTCTTTCTTTCTCTTTGTTTCTTTCCGTTACATGCTCATCTCTTTCTTTATCTTGTTTTCTCTCTCTCCTCTCTCAGAGAACTCTCTCTCTCCTTCTCTTCGTCTTATCCCCCCCCCCCCCTTCTTCACTCATTGGCTTTTTTCGCAATACCCTGTCCTCGTTTGCGTAACCCTCATTTCAGCACCACACGCACACCCCTTCTCCTTCCATGATGCTCCATCCATCCCATCCCCGCGGAAGCGCGGAACCCAGGGGCATGCCTTCTCCTTCCGGATTCTTCAACACCACTACCCGCGGAGGGGGGTTCTGGGGTCTTTTGGTCATGCACGTTTCCCTTCCCTTCCCTTCCCTTTTTTTGCCTTTCGCCCTCCTTCGGCTTTCCTCTCTCTCTCTATTCCTCTACTTCCTCCTCCACCCTAACGCGCCACAACTCTCTTCCCAAAACCGCCATCCTCAGCCTTGACAAGGTCACCCGGTCCTCGCCCAGGTTGCCACCTTTACCAGGGTTCTACCAGGTTTAGAAAAGTCGAGAAGCGAAAAAGTCGAATACTGAGCCAAGAGCGCCCAGTGCGTCCTGCATACATCGGCGGTCAAAAAAAAGGCCCCCCTTCCCGCCCCTTGTTCTTGATTGATTGCCTCTCATGCACGTAATGCGGTAATGCGGAAGCAAGGACAAATTTTTTTTTTTTTTTTTTTTTTTTCAATTCATAGCTTCCGCCAACCTAGTCCCCCTGGGAAGATCAAATCTGGAAATCTAGCAATCAGAAGGAAAAAGAGAGAGCTACAGATTACGCTGTGGCGCTCTCGAGAGTCGATGTGATTGTGACATCAGCCGCATTCTATCTTGGCCAAACAGCAAACACACCGCCACAATATCCCTAATGAGACAAAATCCCTTCTCGTAGAAGGCGAATAAAAAAATTAAGAATAAAAGAAAAGTGCAAACTCCTTTCATGCAGCCTCTCGTTTAGTTCCTCCATGGTTCATTCCTCTTCGTTTACTGTCCACTGTCCATCCATGTTCGTATGAATCATATCAATCTTTTCCTTTTTATTATTACACGACATCCAACGCCATCGCAACATGAGACAAAAACAGTCTAGGGCCTTTTTTTCTTGGTTAACAAAATTCTTTTTTTTTTTGCTCGCCTTCTTTGTTCAACCCAACACCGAACCCTCCCCTCCCTCTTCACTCGCAACTGTTACACCGCTTGGCAAATACAGCGAAAACGAATCACTGACCACCGAGGTCTTGTAAATCTCATAAAAATAGAATACACGTGTACACACAACACGAAGGGAAGGGAAGAGTCGCTCGGAGAAGCCATTGGCTCGAGTCAGCCCCCCCAGGATTCAATCTACACGGTATTCCCATATTACCTATTACCAGCACAATTAATATGCTTACCGGCATGCCTCCAACTAAGCCTTGGTCGCCAGGCACAAGCTAAAGCCGGCTCGAGATTCGGGTAATCAGGATTGAAGGCAACACAGCAGCGTCTGGCACCGATCCCCCTCCTCCTCACACAACACCTAAAACTCACCAGACACTGCCCCTCGAGGATTGGTAGGACCCTGCGCGTGGCACAGCGTCTAATTCTCGCTCTCAGATAGATTAAAAACTTGTACAAGACCACTCTACCTTGCGTTTCCCCAAGAACCGTTCCCGATGTCTTAAAGCAAATCAGAAGCCACAGCCCAGACGTGTCACCGCTCTCTTCCCTACCGTGCCTCTGCAACTTCGCCTCTCCGGTCACCATCTGCAGCTTCCTTTTCGTCCTCAATTTTCGAAAAACACAATGTCATATTTTTGTTTTTTCTCATACCGGGGGGGGGGGGGGGGGGGGGGGCGGGCCAGGCGCGCTGCGTCCCCCTCGTTTTCTTTGTTCTCTTCTCTCGCGCCTGCATGAGTGTCACCGCCCAAGAGACCGCATATCGATCCCTTCCCCCTTCCAAGGAACAAAGCCCCCCGTCACCGGGGTCACCGGGCCACCGACAGCTTCAGCTTCGCGATGACGTGAGCCTGGCCCCCAAAAATGAAAAACAGCGCATGCGACTGCTACGGTTAACCAAGTAAGGAGGAACCAGGACGAGAGAACAACAGTGAAGATGGCTCTCCCTCCTCCATCCGTACAGCCGCTGTCAACCTGACTAGGTTGCCAGCATATGTCCCGTTGACCGACGCCCCAGAGCCGGTCAGTATTGTTCTGGACGCGTCGCTGGTCATCGGCGCGAATAGCCGTGACGTGTCGCCTTTTGTTCCGCTTCCTTTGCCTTGCCCTCGTCTCCCCATCCGCAACATATGCGACAGCCTCTTTCCACCTCGCAATTCATCGAGCGCACAAGTGCGCCGGGAGGGTCGCCGCCGCCGCCGCCGCCGCCGCCTCATTCTCATCCTCTCTCCTCCGCTTCTTCGTTCTCTCCCCCTCTCCTCCGCATCTTCATCGCCTCCAAATCCTTGCAGTGTTTTCTTTTTTCCCCTCCCAATATCTTGGAAACCCCCATAAAACGCAACCAAGATCCAGAAAAGCACTTAACATAATCTTCAAGACCCTGAGAGGAACTCCTCAACGAGGTGGGAATCCGTTGTGGCGATCCGACCACTGCCATTGCTGCCAAAAGTGGCCCATCCTGCGGCCACCCGAGCCCTTCAGGTTGCACGCGGCGACGAGGCATCCCCTTCATCTAGCCAGCTTGCGGCAGGAGACTTGCAGCAGGAAACCTTGCAGCAGGGAATCGCTCCCGGAATCTGCGGGCAATTGGCCAGCGCGCGCTCCTCCGTGCCCAACGTCACTAAACTCCTTCCTATGCAAGGCACCAGCCACAGCCGCCGACAACCTGCATGCTTTTGTTCGACCTTACTTGACTGTAGCCTTCGCGTATTGGCCCATCGTCGCTCGCTCCATCGCAGTAGCCTGTAGACACGTCGCCGAGGAAAGGTTCGCCTGCGAGCGAGTTGCGTGCGATTGTGCGACTTTTCACTACCGTTGCCTCTCGTAACGGTCCTCGCGCACAGCAGCACCTTCTTTCCCACAGCATCACCAACATGCGTCTCAGCCGTGCCAAGGTCGTCAGCAACTCCACTGCCCTGTGGTCTCTTGACTTCTTTGTACCACGCTGCTCCTCTTCTCCCTCTCTCCTTCGTCCGATGCAGAAAGGCATCTCCAGAGGAGCTCCTCCTTCGTAACCATGAAAGAGGCCCTTGTCGGTATCGACTAGTCCTTACCGCCGCCGCCGCCTCCACCTCGATATCTCTCCTCCTCTCTTCTCTTTCCCCCCCAGCCATCGTGTAACTCGTCGTCCATGTGGAAGCCACGACCGGTCGGCCCGTATTCGCTAGGATGCTGTTGGTGTAATCAGCGTCCATTCCTCTTGTGCATATACCACGAGAAGAGCACATGCCTTCCCTAGTGCCTTTGTGCTTTTCTTTCTGTGCAACGCAACGAGGCAATGGCCGCGGGCGCAAATCAAAGTCTTGAAGCGCAAAGCCCAATGAACGCTGAAGCGCGAACCAAGACCCTCTGCCTTGCAAGTGTTAGGCAGAGCTTAACACGTTGATGCCCATCACCACGCAGGATTCGGCACCAGGCCTGGAAATGAGCGAAGAAACGCGGCAGCGGGGCTTGCCAACAACGCTCTGCCGAAAACGATCCGGGTATTCAAGGCAGAGAAGCGCGGAGTATCTCCATCTGAGCCATTGAGTCATTGCCAAGCTCATGTAATGCACCCCACAGGTTGTAAATAGCTTCCCTGCACTAATAAGCGCCCCGGTACTTCATGGTCTCGTGACACCGCAGAGAGTCTCTTTGTCCCCAGATGTTGCAAGTAGATTATACGGTGCTGGGCAGTGTCCAGGTGATGTGGTTGAGGTATTTAGGTCATGTCGATCAGAGCTCTCGCCGAAATTGCCTATTCAAGTTTGGCCTATCTGCGCGAGGAACCGCTGAGCAGGTGAGATCGTGGCGCTGATAGCCTACCTCCGTCTGTCATCGCGACGTCCATCACGGTCCCGATCTCGGCGGTGGTAGTCCCTGCGGTCGTCGTCTCTTCTACGTCCATCGCCCTCGCGGCCACTTGCCCAGCCTCTGTTGCGACGATCAGGGCTACGGTCTCGCCTGCGTGGACTTTGGCTTCTGCTCCGTCGGCGGAAGTCTCTTTCCCGGTCGTGGCCAGTCTTGCTTTCCGTAGGGTCAGCTCTACCAGCGTCCTCGCCGCCCCGGCGACGCCCTTGATCCGCTCCAGCACGCTCGTGTCGGCCGCGCATTTCTTCGTTGCCATAAACCATGCCGTAGCTTCTACCCGTTGGCCGATCAGCCTCCTCCCTGTACTGTCGGCGCTTCTCGAGTTCGTCCACGCCACCCCATCCGCCGCGGGACGCGTTGGCTCTACGTTTATTGTTGGCATTTTTTCGCCAAACATCGCTGATTCTACTCACACTCTGAGAGAAATCAACATGGATGCGCCGGTCGTCAATAAGGACACCCTGCATCTTGAAGTAGGCAGCTTCGCAGGATGCCTTCTCATCGTACTCTATAAAAGCATACTGAAGTGAGTCGCCGGTTTTGGCATCGCGGATGACTTCACAGCTGAGTATTTTGCCAAAGCGTCCAAAGATGAGCTCAAGGTCTTCGTCAGCCGTCACGGGATTTAGCTTGGCGACGAAGAGGACGTTCTCGGGTGGCTTCACCTCCGCAAACGGCAAGTCGCCCATCATTTCCAGAGTGAGCGCCTGCGCGTTCGCCTCACGCTCGCGTCTCTTGCGCTCGAGTGTTTCTTCGTCGACGCCGTCATCCTCATGAAGCGCTGCCTCGTCGGCAATACGCACCGTCTTAAGCTGCTGTTCAGTCGGCTGGGGGCTAGCACTTGGCTCACGAAGACCATTTGGATCCGGGTACGGATCGTCCAGGATGACGGTATGTTTGATGCGAATATCGACAAGTGGGTAGCCCTTGTCATCGACAATGGCGTCGTTGATCTTTTCTAGAGCGTCGAACCCCTCGACAACCTTGCCAAATATGGCAGCCTTGCCGTCCAGAAAGTCCGTGTCCTCTCCAAGGGTGATGATGAACTGGGAACCAGCCACACGAGTATCTGGGTCGGAGGTGTCTGGGGCCGTTGCCATGCTAACGGTGCCGCGCTCCAGATGCTTGAGCTTGGGATGGAATAGCGCAGGAAAGGTGCGGTCACGCGAATCGCGAGAGATGTTGCCCCATATCGAAGAGCCGCCATCGGAGGCTGCTGAGAGAGGGCCGAGGGGGTCGCCAGTCTGAAACGAAAAGTTCTTTTGGACCGAGTGGACGGGGGCGAAGTTGTAGTACTTGGTTTTGCAAAGCTTGAGAAAGCTGGGCACTGTTAGTCATGCGAGGTTCTGGGAGTGTAAGGTTGCCGGTACTCACTTTTCGCAAAGCTTGGGCGCATGCTCAACAAGCAGGTCGATGACAATGTCGCCAACGGTGGTCTCGAGGAGGACCGACATGGTGGCGTGTTTGCGCGATCTCTTTGATTCTTTGTGTTGTTTCAGATAAGATGAGAACACTAAGCGCAGTAACAATTAAATGAAAACAAGCAGCAGAGAAAGAATGGCAACGGCGCCAACACCGCGAGAGAAGCAAACAAGACTGAAGGAAAGAGATAGCTGTTGTCGCGACGTCAGAAGGGACAAAAGGACAAAGGGCCGAAGTTCAGCCATCAACTTTTTTATTTTGGTGTAGTTGCCATTTTTGGAAGCTAGGAGGGTCCCCACTTCGTCGACAGGCTCCACACCAGCAAACAAGGTGCAACATTAGTCCATAATAAAGCGAAGTCCCCATCAGTTGCTCGAGAAGCTTTCAATCGCACTCCAGTTGGCATCCGTAATCGTATTGTTAATCGTATTGCTCCGAAGGATTAACTCATTAGCACAGCTATTGGTGGGAGGCATTGTTCTTGTGGTGCAAATGGTGACTTGGTCATTCAGCAGTCTACCTAGTTGCTATGCAGCCTAGCTTTTTTGCCGTAGCATTAGACAACTACAGCATCAAGGCGCGACTCAAAATTATAGAACAAAAGAACAAATTAAAATGGTACCTTGGACCGCATTGATCCAGCTCCACGACCCCCTAAGCGCAAAAAACCCCGAAAATGAAAGAAGAAAAGATTTCGCTGTGCAAGTGTTGTGGCCAAGCTCTTTCGCAGAGTGAGCATTGGCAAATGTGTCCCAGAAACGCCAAACCGAGCAATGCATTAGAAGGTAGTTTAGTGTACAGTTTTTTTTGGCGAATGAACGTCATCCGCTGGTAAGGAAATGCCGAGTCAAGGTAAGAGGTATAGGGTATTGGTGTTTATTGTCGGCAGGGCGAGCTGCGGCGGCGGCGGCCAGAGCGCAGCTCCTTCTCAGCCTCCATGAGGCGGGTCTGCGTCCACATGCGCATGGAGCTGTCGGCACGGACAATGTCGCAGTTGAGCATCTCGGTGAGGGCGCGCTTGATGCTTTCGTTGACGTCAAAGAGGCGGCGCTCCTCGGCGGAGATCACCTGCATCGTCTCCTCGTCGGGGATGGTGTCGAGAACGGCGGATCCGCGGCGACCGTCGGCGGCCCAGCCGGAGCAGCGCGCCTGGCCGCTGCGCGATCTCTTGCGCGGCGAGCATCTCGTGACGGGATACGAGAGAGAGGGCTCGGCGCGATTGGGGGACGAGTCGGGGGACGAGGCGGTGGAAGCGCCACTGCAGAGGGAGGATTGGCGCGGGCGAATCTGCTCGAGGTGGGTGCTGAGCTCGGCGTGTTGCTCTTGCAAGAGGAGGTACTTTTGCATGGCAAAAGTGTAGTTGTGAGGGCCGGACATGATGGTTGCTGGTGGAAAACTAGGCGTATGGAATTGGTGCGTAGAAGACGTGATGACAACCGTGATGGACCATCGGAGGAGGTTATTCGTTTGAGTGCGTATCGATGAGGCAGTTTGAGGAGTTTGTTTGATTTGGCTTGTAGATAGGAGGACGAGAGTCGGAAGGCTGCAAAGGAACGTTGAGGACCTGAGCAGTCGAGACGAAAATAGACAAGTAGAGGGTGAAACGGGGATGCAGAAAGGTAGGATTTTGAGTTTGAGAGAGGCGCGCCAACGGTATTAAAACTTGATTGAAGAGGTTGCTGGTCAGGAGAGGAAACCGGCTGGGATATTCGGGGCGGAGGGGAGTGTCACTAATTTCCCCCTTGTGAGAGGGCCTTGGAAAAGGCCAGGCTCAGCACGCCCAGTGGCTGAAGCGATAACGTGGTGGGCGCTTCGCTGGGGGGGGGAGTTGGTAATGGTGACGTTTGAAATTCAAGCACGGTCGGTGGTTGCAAGACGCCAATGATGCTGATCAAAGGAGAGAGAAATTAGCAACACGAGGAGGATCTGAATTGCTCAAGTGGCGAGATTTTTTTTTGCATCCTTTTGATCTCTTGATTTCCTCTGCAGCTGAGTGAGGGCAAACGGAGGTTTTTCTAAGAGAACGAGAGGGTGTGGCCAGAGGGGTAACTTGCAGTACCTGAGCTGAAGCGCTGGCACACCTCCCTTTGCAACTAAGAATTGCTAGCCAAGGTCGGCGAGGATTTTTCTTTAAAAAAAAAATCTACTTGGCGCAGCTCTAGGAAAAAAAGGAGCGACATGAGGCAAAGGTTGCAGCGAGGTGTGGATGGATGGATGGACATCCAAAAAGGTGCGTGTGAGTGGGCGCGACTGGACTGGTGAGGCTGTAGCATGGAGTGCAGAACCAGACATACGAGAAGCAGTGACAGTTCTGTGACAAGAGACATGCACAGACATGGTATTCCATTTTTTTAGTCTTTGTGTTTTTTGCCTTCCGTTGTCTCCTTTTTGCTTCTCCGAAAGCTCGCTTGGACAATCCTCCCATTAGTTAGGCGAGCACCGACAACCTGTTACATGGGCACACCCAGGGTTGGTGGTTGGCGGTCTGAGGTGCTAGGACAGTACCTGTCCAGTAGACGGCACAGATGTTAGCCATGTGTTCCGTCATGGATTGCGTGCGTGCTACAACATCGTGGTAATCAGTCGGTATCGTCAGCATGCCAGGAGCAAAAGGACCACAAGGCCGGCCCATCAAGCTTGGTAATTGGCATCCAATACTTGCTATCAGGGCCTAAAACCGTCCCCGGGCGGGGCAGCAAGGAAGGTGCCGACAGCAACAGGCGGTGGCAGCTCTGGCTGGCTGGTCTTTGGCGCCCAAGTCCACTGTAATTCTCTCTTTTCGTGGTGCTCTAACTCCAGCAGCCCCGCCTTGCCCACTGTTGATCCGTCAGCCAGCTGGGTTGGCATTTGCACCTAGAATGTCACCACCAAAACCACCCACCTCCCATCACGATCGATGCGCACCACCAAACCAAGCGAGAATCAAGCAATCACAACCGCACAACCTGCACACACCACAACGCCATCCTGTGGCGTGACACCTACCGAACTATTCGTACACACCCCTCAGCTCCGTCCCCAAGCTTTTAATGCGCAGCACCACGGCGAGCACAGAGACGGCGACGACAAGGCCCAATGTTGCAAACGAATTTTTGAGAAATCAATCAATTAGCTGCGAAATGGGCCAATTTCGATGCCCAGGTGACGGGCCCCAAGCTTCATGTTACGATGCATGGTTCGCATCTCTCTGCAAAGATACGGATACCATTAATAGGTAGCCCTCCCCGGTACTCGAGTTCTTGCTGATGACAGCGCAAAAAAGCAAGTACATGCCCAGGACAACTCTCATTCCACAGTGCACCGCCAGACTCGGGCACCACCGTACCCTTGCAGGGGTTCGGCGCCTGGCGAACGGTCTCGAACCTCTTGGGGTTCCATTGCCTACAGTAGGTGCTCAAGGGCACGCCCCCAGAGCAACCAAAGTACCATGCTCCGTGCCGCCCGAGCCTGTAACTAAGCAATACCACTTTTACCTAGGCCGGCCGCTCCACCACCGACCGCCGTCGCGAACCAGTTGGGACCTACAGCGAGAAAAGAGGGGGCGATATTGGGCCAAAATTGGGGTTACAAGCAGGCGAGCAGCGATGCTGCATGGCTACAGCCCGCCCAGCGCTTTGGGGAGAAGTCCCATCATCCAATCCGCCCCCGACACAATGTGAGAGATCTTGGAGAACTGCATCAGGCCCGTTCTGCTAGTACCAGTAGCGGCCAACTATTGCTGCGTTGGTACCTGAACTTGGGCCCGAGCTCAGCATCAACTGGTCCGACGATGAGGGGAGTGCGGAGACCGATGTTCCACGCCAAACGGCAGATGTCGTCTGTTCCTTCAACTAGCTATCAGTTGAGCCACACGCTCCAGCCGAGGTGGTCAGCGAGCGAAGCTGTGTGGCGCTTTCTATCAAGAACCAAGGCGCGAATTGCCACACGGCTTGTTCCAGACCCCTCTCGCTTCAACGCCGTTGCTACCGCTAACAACTTGCTCCGAGGGGGTTAATAATGGAAAAGGCGTCCCCTACACCAGACCATCGCTGCAGCTAATTCCAGCTAAAAGCCGCTCCCGCTGTCAAGCCTGGCTGGCCAAGGCATCGAGGCGAGAGTATTGTGGCAGTGCTTCCAACTCCATCATTACGAAGGGCCCTGTTACAAGTAAAGAACTTGAAAACGAAATGAAGTCAAATGTTGATTCCCGGCTTCCGGTTTCCTTCGTTTGGGCTGCATACCTTCCGCACTTGTCTCAGCGCCCGCTCAGCCAGACAGCCATCCCCAGAGAATTAGGATCCAACGACACCCGCCTACCGTCACGATGGTGACAAGCACAAAGCTGCATGTTCCCGCCCTAGTATCACGGCAAATCATCTTTTCTCCCAACCGCGAGTCTCCGCAGCGCCGACAATTGATCGTCGTCCTCCGTTGTACTCGCCGACGCCCGCCGCCTCCGCGTTGCATACGGCGTACACGTGCTGTCGTGGCATCCACCGCCTCCCCCAGCCCAGCCGCCAAAACCGACCGTCAAGTCAGGCTTGCATGCTGCAGACAACGTGTTCTTGTGCTGCAGGCGGCGTGCATTAAGACTGCCGGCCTGCTCACATGGCCGTTTGAGGTTTAATTATCGATACTATCCATGCTAATACGACAATGCGTTGTTTCTCGGCTTCCACGGGCTTTCCCATTTCCCGCCTCGCCCTGTGACGGGGCCCCCCAGCTCCAACGGCCAGCCCACGGTCCTTGTCACATATCTTGAATGGAAACATATCGCACTCAAACGGGTGTCGTTTGGGTTTCGCATTGACTCGGCCCCGGCCCGGCGGCAGGAGGTCTCGCACAGGCGACGCATCAAGCAAATGCATATTGGCTCTGTGGCTAATTCTTGAGTGATTTATTCGGCTTCTGTGGTAGTCAGTTGTTTTGTGTTCGAATTACAGCAGTCGACACCGATGGCTATAGTCAAACTTGCTCAATATCGGTAGTAAACAACAGCAGCCAGCGATCAAAACCCCGAGTCATCTTACAGTGGGTTCAAATATCGCGGGCCGCCGATGAATGGCTACACACCAGGCTTGCGATGTTAGTAAAAAGCGACACTTGTGTACTCAACCGCGAATACTCCTTCTGGGGATATGACCGTTACTTGTGGCATGTTGGTCCTCGGAGCCTAGTGGCTGGCTTTTTAAAGCTGAATAATGTTTCTGTTACTTTTCGTTACAGGGAGTAAGAAAATCAGCGCAGATTCCGAGTTTGGAGGGTGTAGTCCACCAATGTAGTAAATATGCTTGAAGATTCTATGAGTTGTGACATCTTCCAGTAACAAATTAATGCAGTGATGCCCGCCGTAATACGTTGAAGCCTGACGACTCCAATCCAATCCGGAACTTGCATCACGTACCAACCAACCACTTAATTTAACGGATGCAGTTACCCCTTTCCATGACTGAATTCTACTATCACCCTCGCAAACATTGCGCAATGTCGCGAAGATTCAAGCGAAATTAGCAATGCGGCAGCACTCCCCGCGCGTGCCCGGAGAGTCGGTCGGCGGGGCCGGCCGGGGCCGGCTCGAACCTGTTGCCGCAATCCTGCGCGACAGATATCTCACCTCCAGTCACGACGCAGCTGTCTACTAATGCAGCAATTGCGGTCCTTGATTCAAGCCACCTTCTGCAGTAAAGTAACTATTTACTTGGTGTGTAACCTTGAATCAACATAGTCATTGACCGTTGAGGTCGAAGACGCGGTTCCGCCGCGCCGGTCAAGTCGAGCATCCAAGGCGCTTCACGCGGCCAGCGCAGTCGGTATTGGTTCTAGTCTCGCCAGCATCTTGGTTAATCGGCAAAATGAAGCCTGGTTTACGACCATCAGGGCGGGTGCACGGGGGCTTGGGTCGACCCGGAGGAAGCGGGCATGGTGGTGGTGGTTGAGCTGCAAGGACTAGAGAGGATTTTGAAGGAAACTTTTGAGGTTTGCGTGGCTGTACTGAATTATGGATCGTCGTATGAGGGTGTGATTGCCAAGGACGGGGAATTAAGGCAGCCTCAATGCAGAAGTAGTGCTGTCAACGCACCAGTTGCATGTTGTGTGAGGATGCGTCGTTGTGAACTGGTCCTTGTGCACACATCTACAACAAACATTAGGGTGTGCGCATACCCAAGCCGACATCCATTACGTGCGTTAACTTTGATTACTCTCATTAAACCATGGACATTGCCCGAGTGGCCCCATCACCACCCAGCCATACCAGTTCCTTTTCAGCACAACTTGCCACACCAGTTACCTGATAAGTTGGCTGGTCAAAGCTTTGACTTCTCCCATATATCACGGATATACACTATCACAAAACAACGGCTACGTACAGTCTCGTGGTCCGGAACCCGCGACGTTGAAAACCAAGGCAGAGGTCTCAGGGCGGACGGGAGCTAGGGACCGTGGTCACTGCGGCGCAGTCCATGACGGCATATATACGACATTACTACATTTTTTCATGCCGAAACATTCTGTTACGTATCATTTACCTTGACAAACTGTCTCGGGAAATCTGTCTTGTCCAAGACGACGAAGATTGCTAGTCAGCAGCGGCAAATGCCTCTCGGGAGGTAGGAGACGGTTGCGCAGCTTTGCCTATTGGGTGACTTGCGAATGCCGTCAGGCGTTGGTGCCACTACGCAAACAAGCTTTGGGCTTGGCACGATCAAGCCAAGGCCCGTTTGGCTACTTGACTATTGCATGCATAACTAGTATCGTGAGTAAGACACGGGGTCACGGCGAAGTACGGAATCTGATGGTCAACGGTTTTCGTGGTGCGATGTAGAAGGGCTTCCACGTTGTGGTTGGGCAAACTGACAGACGTCATTAATATCGATTGGCTACCAAGAAGTGCCGTTTACAGCCCCGATAATCGTAATACTGCCTTGAAAATGTTGTGACACTGTCGTGACACTGCCATGATACTCTCGCGCTGCCGTTTACTTCCGAGGATGTCGCGCTTCAGGGCAGCACGCTTATGGTGCTCGCCTCTGAATGCCCATCAATGATCGCAGAGCAAGACATTGTACTGCTATTGACGAGAAACATGCAGCCATGCCAAGGTTTTGTAGTTCATGCGACGTTTTCTATGAGCATAACAAACCTTCCTCTTTTTGTGCCAAGTAGGACGGACACTGGTGGTGAGACTTACATCTAGATTTCAATGGTTATGCCAATGCCAGCCAGCCCATGGCTTCATGCAAGTCCTCATCGGGCATCAATTTGCCAAACACAGACATCCGTAAAATAACTCACACCATCTCGGGCATTTACTCCCATTCGGTGCAATTCGCGCGACACCTTCTGCCCGGGCTATCTAGGGTAAACACCCCCACCACTTGAACCTGACGTGGTACAAGTCGACGTGTTCCTCTGCGTCGAGCTGGCCCTCGTGATGCTGGAGAAGATAACTGCTCTGCTTACAAACCATCTGCAAAAGCTCACAGCTGCTGGCATGCATCAAGGGTCCCTGGCAGCCCGCGAAGTAGTCCTGTTGCTCCGCACCTGCACCGCGCTCCTTCATGTTCAGCTCGTCGTGGCCCAGCAACCTTGCCGCTTATTATGCTACCCTACTGATCTTGCACGCCCGAATCTCCACCGTGTCGTTGTAAAACGGCCCCGCCTGCTGCTCCCGCGGCGCGACGCCGTAGTGCAGATCCTCCACCGCCAGCCGGTGCGTCCGGCACGCGTCCAGGAACGCCGCAAACGTCGCGTGGTTGCGCTGCGTCGCCGTGATGTACACCTCGGCGCGGGGGTACAGCGCCAACAGCTCCAGCAGCGTCGCCGCGAGCGCGGGAACGACGCTGGCGTCGTACGTGATGTCCGCGCCGAGCACCACGTCGACGCCGCGGCCGCCGTTCCACCGCCTCTCCTCGGCGCCGAGCAGCGCGTGGCCCCATTTCAGGTCCATCGGCGCGATCTGCCCCCCGGCCTCTCGTAGTCCGTTGAGGAACAGGCTGTCCGGGAGGTTGGCGAGGACGTCGTCGGAGCCGTCGGATGCGAGGACGTGCGCGGCGCCCAGGTGCCGCGCGCACAGGATGGACAGGTAGCCCGTGCCGGCGCCGAGCTCCAGCACGCGCCGGCCGCGGACGAGGGCCGGCCGCTCGCAGAGATACTGGCCCAGGTGCAGCGCCGCCTCCCACGTCCGCAGGCCTGTGGTGCCGCCCGCCGAGATGAGCGAACGACTCTCGAGCAGCGTGATGGTTGGCTGCGCGTGGTCACCGGCAGCGGTAGCAACTTCTTCCTCGGCCGGTGGCGGCTGAAGTAGCGATAGCGCGTAGGTCACGTAGCACTTTTGTTGCGCCGAGTCGACCTCGGACGGCAGCGGGGCGGCGAGGAGATCCGTCATGGCCGACATGAGGTTATCAGAAAGCGCCTACGAGAGAGGAGAGGAGTACGAGGATTCATCAGATGCTGCTTTTCTGTCTACGAGTAGGGTGTCGCATTGGGGCTCTGCGTGACGGAGCTCTTGCTTGCCAGAACTTACATGCTTTTCCCAGTCGTCGATACTCTTCTCGACGGCGGCCACCAGGGCTTTGAGCACGCGCAACTGATAGCGCGGTGGCGGCGCGTATCGCACAGTGTCGGCGAAGGCGCGCTCGTAGATAGCCTCCTGTGCGTCGGACAACTTGAGAAATTCGGCAGGTGGCAGGCTTGGTTCCGCTTCTAATTGCAGATACTGATAACAGAATCTATCGACAGATGCCTGCCAGGGTGCCATGTCGACTACATGTATCAAAGTTGTTATTGTGACTGAACTTTGAGAGCGGTACGAATACGCAGGTTAACCAGTAACGCTCCTCACCTTATTGGCCCACTTGAAGTCACGAGAAAGGGATGGGCTAAGATGGTTCACGTGACTAACACCAAAAGTTTTAGGGTTGGGCTCATTAAGCGACTTGTGGGCGCAGGCAAAAAAAAATCCATTCGTGGCTTGGGGTGCGCGCTAGAGGAGCCCGCAGTTCTAGCCCTCATATCCACGGCTTCAAATCATCACGCAAAGGCCTCTTCCCTCTACCATCGCACCACATTGGCAAAATCAGCAACCATGGCGGACAACGACACCCCTGTGACGCTTCGCACGCGCAAGTTCCTCCGCAACCCTCTGCTGGGACGCAAGCAGATGGTCGTGTGAGTTCTCCCCCTCCAGTCCTTTCCTGCGAGAGCGAGCGATTGTTAGGGAAAGCTCGGGGCGGCACGAACAAGAGAAGAATTTTTCGAAGAGTCGAGATGACGAGCGCCATGACGAAATTGATGCAGCGGATACGAATTCGACGAAAATCCAAGGCGAATGTGAAATTTCTTGCTTCTACGGCCTGATCGACAGTTTTGCAAGCATTCCCAAGTCAAAGCCACCACGAACCACAACAACGAGCTCAATACAACAACGAGCTCAATACAACAACGCGCTTGGCATCATCCATCTCGACTTTCTCAAATATTCTTCTCTTATCGTGTCCGAACGGCAAACAACCGAACGCGACTTTGCTCCATTTTCCCCATGCGCAATTGCTAATCTGGTTTGGTTCTGCAGTGATATCCTCCACCCCGGTCGTGCTGGTATCTCCAAGACCGAGCTTTCCGAGAAGCTGGGTGCCATGTACAAGGCCTCGAAGGACCAGATCTCCGTCTTCGGTCTCAAGAGCCAGTTCGGTGGTGGCAAGACCACCGGCTTCGCCACCGTCTACGACTCCCCCGAGGCCATGCTCAAGTTCGAGCCCCGCTACCGCCTGATCCGTGTCGGCAAGGCCACCAAGCCCGAGCGCGCCGCCAAGCAGCAGCGTACGTTATTTCCTTCTTTTGTTGTGGTAGTGCAAGAAGAGTAGACGAGGTGGTGGATGTGCGCCGATACTCACACTCCCCACACTCGTGAACTTCTTGCCTCTCAACCGATATGTGTGAACAATTTTCTAACAGTCTGTGCAGGCAAGCAGCGCAAGAACCGTCTAAAGAAGCTCCGGGGCACGGCAAAGGTCAAGGGCGCCAAGCCCAAGAAGGAGAAATAAGCGCAGACTCTGTAACAAACCGGGATGCGGGAGGGTACGCGTGCCATGTCAACAGCGATGCGATCCGGGATCATCGAATAAAGCGACAGCACTCGATAAAAAAGACTCTTCCCTGCAGTTGGGCTGGCGCTCTGGCACATTGCTTTTTTTTTCAGGTTCATCATGTGTGGAAATCTTTGGCCAAGTACCGTGGTGCAACAGCATTTTGGGTTTTCTTGTTTTTTCTGCCTGTCGCTATTCACTCATCCATGTCATGACGATTTTGGCGGGAACCACAGAAAAGCATTGGAGAAGGGTGAGCGTGATGAATATGTTGATATGAAGGGGGGAGAAACAAAAAAAAAGGTTATCAAATGGTTGTGAGCAGCCTTTCCGTCTTGTCCTCAATTCGCTAGCATGAATAAAATGGTGTTTTGGGGGTTTCTACCAAACAAAAAAAAATTAACAAGATGGTTTCTTGGGTGATATTGAGTGATCAGCTGATGTATCAAAAATGTGCCTATAAATCCGATGCCTTGGTTATCGGTTATCCTACATGACTTGCGGTTATAAGCAGCGTTATGCTGCTTGTAAATGGTTGTTTTTGCTGTACTAACATCACACGGACTATGATGTTATCGTCATCGTCATCACTTTCAGAGGAATGTGCATGAATGTATCCACATGATAGAAAATCAATGCATTGCTTCGCAGGTGTATATGTGCACTCATAACGAATGGTGTGGTATCTCTGGTCTGGTCCATGTGCATGTCCCGGGTCCCGACATGACTCCCCCAAAACGCCAAATAAAAACGGAAAGAAAGAAGAAACATGGAAAAGAAGAAACATGAAAAGAAGAGAACAAAACCTGCGTCTCTAACAAGAGCAAGTATCCTAAAGAATAAAATCACAATCATAATCATATATGTCGTCATCATCATCAGTGTCAAGGCGACGGCTGTCGTGCCGACCTCGCCTGACAAAACCCATCCATGCCGATATATGCGCCTAAAAAAGATGAACCTCGAGAACAATCCAACCGCCGCTCACATCATGCCGACGGCGAAGAGCCCTGCCAGCGCGGCGACTGCCGCAACGACGACGCGGGTGTCTGTGGCGCGGTGCCCCCCCGGGGCGGCGACGACGGCGGCGGCGCTGCCCTCCTTGTCCGGCAGGCGGAGCAGCGGCGTGTGCCAGCCGCAGTGCTCACGGCCGCTGGGTGCGGTGATGCAGGTGTAGTAGGTCTCCTGGCGGAAGCCCTGGCCCTGCAGGACGTCGGCGTCCGGGACGGCCGAGGGCGCCTGGGTGACGAGCGGGGTGTACGGCGCCGAGGGCTGCTGCTCCCGGCGGTTGACGTTGGCGTTTTGGTGGTGGTTGTGGTCCGGCGGTGCGCCGGCGGTGACGGAGGGGAGTGTTGGGAGGGGAACGGGGAGCGATTTGGCCGCGAGGACGGCGGCGGGGTGTAGGAGGAGAAGAATGGCGAGGATGGTGGTGAGAGTGGTGGTGCTGGACGAGGCGGCGCGCGCCGAGGCTGGTGAAGGGATCATGGCGGAGGTGGTAGGCGCTGCAGGTCGGTAGGGTTTTGGCGGGTGTTTTTTTACCCCGCGATGGCTTTCTGTCGGCGGTTGCACGGCCGTATTCTTATACCGGCAGCATCAAGAGAAATTCCGGGAAAACGTAAAAAGCGAAAGAAGCAGTGACGGGCTTGTTGCTGTAGGTGGTGACGTGACAAAGGGTATTTGGCCAGCCAGGAACCCTTTTCCTTGGTGAATAAAAGAAGAACAAGACAAAGCCGCCCGTCTGCGCTTTTAATCAGTGGCGAGAGACCCCTCCTTCAGACGGCAAGCCAGCCCTGGTCAGGTCTGGATCGGGTGGGAAGAAGAAGGCGTGAATTGAATGACTGATTGATTGCCCGGCTGCTGGCTTGCCCGAACAATAAGTCATTGATTGGCGAACCAGGTTTCCCCGCAGCCACAAGTTAGGGGACCGAGCTAAATTCACAAGTGCGTGTGGTGGTGCAGGTGGACAAGTCCTAGGCTCTTCGTTTTCGCGTCAGAGATCCGTCGATCATGCGGCTTGGGTGGTGCTGGTGTACGGAACGGCAAGTTGGAAGAGAAGGGGAAATGCATCAAACAAGAGGTGGTGGAAAGCAGGTCAAGAAAAGACGTCACGGACCATGAGGGTTCAGGAAAGAAGTCGGGCATGTCATGACTGATAGTTATTGGGTTTGGCTTTTAAGCCAAGCTTTTTGGGACGGTGAGACAGGCACATCCCACCCACCCAATGCCCTCAGGATGACAGCCTCCATCACACACACAACACACAACATGCCTGCCTGCTTACAGCACGACCATGTGCCAAGGTGGCCGCCACTACGGCTAGCGAAATATTCAGCTAAACAATTTACCGAAGCCGGGCTTTTTTCTTGGTTGGATTTTCTTCCCCATTGCCCATCATATGCCCACCTTCTAGTGGACGACAAGTCTTCCCACGAGCGCAACGCTCTTCACACCGCAGTGTCTAACCGAAAGTCTTGGCAGCGCCAACTGAACTGCTTTCTGTAGGACACGGCGGGAAAAAAGGAAAGAAGGAGAAGAGAGAGAGAGAGAGAGAGAGAGAGAGAGAGAGAGAGAGAAAAGGCAAACAAGATACAGCATCTTGCACGACAGACTCATTACCGGCCGGCCCGTCCGTCCGTTTCCCTCAGCACTGCGTAACTTGACGGTGGCCGAAAGTCGGAGAAGTAAATTCGGAAGAGGGAATTCCACCAACTAGTTACCTAACCTCTTTCCCGCTTGCCTGCCAATGGCGAACAAAACTCCAAAAAGGATAGGTGGGCATTCCACGACACCCAAGACACACCCAATACAAAGTGGTCGCGTGACAGGGCGGTCAAGTCACTGACCTTTAAGCGTAAAGCCACCACACCACCCTCATCACCATCCCACCCACCCACCACCAGTCTATCAGCCCTGGCCCCTCAGCCCTCCAAACCGCCAAGCTTGCCTCGGGCCATCCCAGCCACAACGTTGAAGACATTAGGGGTCCTTACGAAACTTGGCGCTTAACTCCAATGCAATCCGCCTGCACTCTATCCGCAACGAGCAATAACCGTGCTCCAAGAGCCATACATTACTATACACTGAGCCTATCTGTACAACGCCAAGCTCGTAGATACCTATCAGCACACATTCTTTTCCATCTGGGTATATTTTTTTCATCCTTTCGACAACACGAATCGACACGGCACGACACGACCTGCCCGTTCTGCTGTTAGCCTCCCCGCCGCTCGCTGGACCGGTTCCTAAGCTTGGCCCGCTGCTGCTGGCTGCCTTCGATCTCCCGCTCCTCCTCCGCCTGCACCTGCGCGCTCGCGCTGCGACGCCTACTCGCAGCCACCGCCGCCCGCTCCGGCCTGGCCCTCCGAGGCGCCGCCTCCGGTGATGCCTGTCGTCGCTGCTGCACGGGACTAGAGCTCAGCGCAATCACCAGGCTGCCCTCCGGCAGGGTCCATCCGGTCTTGGTCGGCTTGGCCTGTCTACGCGGGCTGCTCCGCGCCGCCGGTGCTGTCGTGGCTGCCGCGGGCCCCGTGGTAGGTTGCGTTGCGTTGGGGAACAGATTCCGCGACGCGCCAGCGTCCGACTCAACGTCGTCGAGCCGCCGTATGGCTTCCTCGTACTCGGCATCGCTGGCGCGCGGGGCCGGCATGACGGGCAGCGAGCTGCTTGCCTCGTCCTTGGACGCCCGCGATGATGACGCCGTCACGAACAGGTCCTCGAGCGACTCAAACGGGCTACTGTTTAGCAGATCAGGAACCGGTGCGAGCGGCGCCACGGCATCGAGAAGTGTTTCTGGGATCACGAGGTCGTCGTCGTCGTCGTCGTCCCTAGCCAGCGAGTCGCCCACCTCCATGTCCATGACGCCGTCCTCAACATCATTTTGCACATCGTCAGGCAGCGACGACGGTATAACCGTAGTAGCATCGTTATCTTCTGCAGCCTTTGTCTCCGCTCTTGCCTTTGCCTTGCCCTTCTTACCCTTCGCCGTCGTCGTCGTCTTAGTCGCTTGGGGCTGCGCCGCCTCCTGGGCGTCCGTGGCAGTGTCTGCCTCGTTGCCTAGACTTGGCTTCCCGGAGAGAGATCCTGTTGCCACCTTGTCAGCAGCAGCTTCTTGTTGTCGGCGGCCCTCTCCGGGAGACCCACGCGCAGGCACAGTCTCCTCTTCGTGGCTCTGTTGCCGCACACCAGGTGCGTGACCCGTGTCCAAGCTGTCGCTCGCCGCGCTCACCAGTCCGTCGTCTGCTAGAGGCAGCTCGAAGTGATGTTGGCGTTGTGCCGAGTGCAACAGCGCCGAGTCGGCACCGTCAGCACTCGTGTGCGTTTCGGCGGATTGCTGCGTCTCTGAGTGTCCCGTCGAGGCATGCCCGCTTTTTTCCGCGCTTACCTCTCCTATGGCAAGGGCGCCGTTGGTCATCTCAACGAACCCTGCGGGTGCTGATCCGGGAACCTGTCGTGGCTCCATCATCTCAAACCAGCTGATGGTTCGGTGCCCATCGTCTGCCTCAGCCTCTTCCTCGTCGTCTAGCGCCGGTGCTTCGAATTTTTCGTAGACTCGCTGCCCAGTATGCTCATCATATACGTGGTCATTCGTTTCTCGATCACGCTTGGCCAGAAGCACTTGGATATTATCCTTGTCAGAGCCCACGAGTACAACAGCCGTGAATGAGGCAAGTTGAGGTTGCCAACCAGTAGCTTTGGACATGGACAGCTGCTTCCAGGTAATTAGTTGGCCCGGAGTAACCGCGTCCTTTTCCAGCGACACCAGTGATGTGAGATCAGATGGGAGCGGGGGCAGATCTAGATCTTCTACAGGTCCAGCATCACCCGCGTGACTGTTGGGCATCTCGGTCTCGGCTTGGTCGTCAGAATTCTTCTTTTTCGACTTCATCTTTTTATTAGATCCCGTTTTCGCCGGTGTACCGAATACTAGCGAGTTGTCCTCGTAGTCTTCGTAGTGCTGTGAATGTGAATGCCGTTTGCGTTTCCGCGATGAGTTGTATTGCTGTTGCGGGTCCCAACGCTGCACAAATGGGAATGGCGGTTGACTCAGAACAATGCCCTCCTGGCAGCATTCAACTGCACGGTAGCTGATCTTGTCTCGCCAGCTGTCGTCCTCCATAGCAGTATCTGGCTGTGCTGCCTCCTCCACTTCTTCCACCAGTCGTTTGTTGGCAAGAGGTTTGACGCCCTTCATTAAATCCTGCTTGATTTTCTCCTCGTCGGCTTTGCTTTTTGGTGCTTTTACTCCAAGGGCACCAAACAGCAGCCTCTTACTCGCTCCGGTGTTCAGATTGAGTCTTCTTTGTGAGGCGCTAGCGGCTTCACCCTTCGTTTGCAGCTCAGCTACGCCGTTTGTCGTTCGCGTTGATGCTTGGTCAGCCGGCGGCTCGCTGAGAGACGCGTCAAACGGCACAGACTCTGGGATTTCAGATGGCAGAGAATCGCTTCCAAGCGAGCTGAGAAGAGCGGCCTTCCGGGCTGCAAGATCAGCCATGATTTCGTCAGGCGTGGAGTCATGTAGCGAGTTGCCTTCGCTGGCCGAACTGCGTATTTGCTTGCTTCGCTTCCTTCTTGCGTTACGTTTTTGGGTCCTACTCAAGCCGCAGCCGGGATTGACTGCAGGAACGAGTACAGATGGTGTAGGCGGTATCACAGCCTTCGAAAGTGTTTGTATCCTTGACGTAGAGATTTCCATCGGCCCAGAATCAGAGTCCTCCGAGGAGCTGGACTCGCTATCGGAGGAATCAGAATCAGAATCGCTGCTGAGAAAGGCTTCAATGGGATCTCGAGACCTAGCAGTAGCTACTTCGTCCTCCGAGTCTGAATCGGAGCTTGAATCAGAACTTGAATCAGAGTCAGAGTCAAACTCGGAAAAGGAATCATCCGAATCGTCGTTCTTATTCTCCGTGGCCACATCCTTAGCTTGCTTGTAGGAGGTGCCACCTGAGGAGTCAGAATCCGAGTCAGAATCGCTGGTCTCGCCGCCCTCACTTTCGCTATCCAAGCCAACATCAGCATCGCGAATGCCCAGACCAATAACCTTGCCACTTTCGTTCAAGTCTGGATCTTCTCCAACAACGTCATCCCCTTCGCTCTCCACAACTTCAATCAGACGACGACCCGTCGGCGGCTGTGCCGGCGAATCCTCGCCTAAGGACTGCAAACGCGTAGTAATTGGGGTGTTCGACGGTCGCGAGGTCGTCAAGACTGAGTCCATCATTTGGTCAAAGCTAAGGCTCGGCCCGTACGATTGTGCCAGCTTCGTATATGCATCCCGTATTTTCTGGCTCTGGCGACGCAGCTCTTGCTGGATGATGAATGATGGGATGTTGGGAAATGCCATGCGAAGCGCCGCCATCGAATCCAGCATGGGTAGAAGCCCGAATCCCACGTCCTCATTGTCGCTCGATGCTTCTGAAATATCACGCCTGTCCTTCTTGAGAAGCTCCAGCTCCTGCATCAGGTCTTCATCGCCTTGTTCGTCTTCGAATGAGGAGCCATTTGCGTGCTCTCCATCGTCGGCCTCTGGTTCGTCGTTGGAGTCCCAGTCAGCGTCAAACTCGGATTCGGCATCGGAGTCTTGGTCTTCGTCGCCTTGATCGCCGTATGTGATGCGCGCCCGTTTACGCGGTGGGAGCTCGAGGGCCGGGCGATCCCCAGGCAGATGTAGCCAAGGCCTCCCAAAAGCGATACCATCAACCAGATGCTTGCCGCCGTTGGAAATTTGATGTCGCCCGCTTCGTCGTCGTCGCTTAAGGTCGTCGCTTAAAAGTGGTCGAATTCTATCCCAAGACGTTAGGTCAATCGTTCTTATTTGACGCGCGCGCCACACCTACAAGACTTGATCTTCATCCTTGAGGATGCGTGACACGAGCTGAAAGTGCAAACACTCGAAGCTGGAGCCGTTGCTACCGTCGCCGAGCTCGACCACATAGTCCTCGAGGCCCCATTCGCCGCCCTCGAGAGGCACCACCTCATTGACCAGGCCGAGCAGTTTGGCAATAGTCAAATCATCCGACGACGAGCATGGCCACACGAGCTTCACGTCTGGCACGGTGTGCCTGCGAATCACCAGCCGTAGCCGGATATCGCCAAATGACATGATATTGGGCGTATTTATCAGTATTTCATGCTAGTGGGTCGAAATCAATTCTAAAAGTGCCATGGCGGGTTGGGTAAAAAACGAAACGAGTCTGCAAAGAAATGGTTCGCTGGCTGGCGCAAGCGGGAGCTTATCGCGATCAGCGAAATTTCTAGGTGGAGAGCGCGAGCGCGCATCAGGTGGCCTTGGTAATAGAGGTACCTAGGTACCTTAGTATGTCCGTATGCAGGTAGGGTAGGTCGAAGTGGCCATGCACCAACATCACACGACCTGCTGCAGGCCAAGGACTTAAATACCTAAGTTTACAAATGAAATGATGCGTAATTTTTAAATTCCTCTATACCATGTTGCGTTACTTCAAACGCCAGGTAGTGGCGAGGTATGTGTATATAGCTTTGTTTAGATGGTCGCGCGAGCCTGATGCTGTAATACGAATCCAGATGGAACTCGACAAACGCCGGAAAAAACGCCATGTATGTGCAATGCAGTTGTCCATGTCCTATCATAAAATGCATATTGCTAGTGTGGCATGCCTCCCATGTCCAACATGTGGCCCATTCGTTCGATCTGCCGTGACCTTGTTAGCATGCAATTGATCGGTTCTTCAACAGCGAGTTTCACTTGTGCGTACCTTTGTTTTCAGGTAGCCTTCTACCTCTTCGCTTCGAAAACCGCCCTTTCCGCGCCACGAGAGTGGTACCATGGCAACTCTCTCCTTGACAATCACCTCTCTGTTGGGCCCTTCAACGGCACGGATCTTGTCAGGGTTATTGGTCAGCAGCCGCACACTATCTTGTCCGAGATCGAGCAGCATAGCCGTGGCTAAGCCGTAGCTTCTGGCATCCGCAGGGTGGCGGAGGAGCAGGTTCGCCTCGACAGTATCGGATCCCAGGTCCTGCAGGTTGTAGGCCTTGAGCTTCTCGCCCAACCCAATACCGCGGCCTTCTTGTCGCAAGTAGATGATAATTCCACCGCTCTCGTTGTCGGAGAGGCCCATCAGCCGGGCGGCCTCGTCGAGCTGCTCGCCGCAGTCGCATCGCGCAGACCAGGCAGTCTCGCCCGTATAGCACTCTGAGTGAATTCGCACCAAGGGAGGATCCGCGGCCTTGGTTGTCGCAGGCTCTGATACTGGTGTGTTGGGCTCGCTGGCGGCCATGCCACTCGTGGTGCGGCCGGGAAACAAGCGGCCTGTGTAGGCGCCGCGAATCATGCGGTCCATCTCCGTCTCTCCCTCGCGCGGCGCGTCCAAACTCTTGCTGCGGATGTGCTTGCCAAAAACAATGGCAAGATGCTCCTTATTATCGACATTGTTGGTGTAGAGGTGTAGAAACATTTCCGTGCCACTGACGGTCGGGATGCGCGCACGAACGAGGCATTGCACTTCGGGTAGCTTCTCGAGCAAACGGGGCTTCTTGGAGCCGCAACCGCCTGATGGTATGGAGCTGTCAACAGGGACGCTTCGAGGTCCCCGAGTCTTAGGTGTCTGCGTGCCGGGGGTGGCCGGGGGTGTGAATGCCGGCGACAGGAGCGACGGCGGCGGGGGTTGGGACGAGGGCGTGCCGACGGCGGCGGGGGACAGCGACAGGTCGTCTACTGGAGCGGAGGCGACGTCGCCATGGTCCTCGATGCCCGCGTCGGCGGGCGTGGCGCGTGGCGAGTAGAATGCTGGCAGCTGGTGTGCCTCTGTCAGGTCGTTGCCCGTGGGGGAGGGCATGGTAGCGCAAGGTTGCAGTGTATTAGCCGCAAGGCCGTCAATTGCAGCAAGCGGCCTGTGGTAGAACAATGGTGGCGAGAATGGCGAGATCCGTGTGGAAAGATTGGACAGTCGTCTACAGAGTAGGGCGTCGGAAAAAAGGAACGAGCATGAAAAGAAGAGGAAATCGGGGTGCAAACGGACTTTGAATTAGCATTGATGCGTCTGACCAAACCTTAGCAATCTGCCGCGCATCGGCCAGCGTATTTTGATAGGCATTAGTCATGTGCTTTTCCACTTGTTCGGTTCGGCCGCACCGGCCGGTGGCTGCCATAGAACCTCGGCGAAGTGTGGGGGCGGGGTTTTAGAATGTCCAGAGTCTGCTAATCAACAATCCAAGTCGTTGGAGAACAACTAAAAATAAATTGTTAAAATTAAGCACTGATGGATGCGACTACGGCAAGTTATTCTGGTGCGGCGCGCGCCTTTTGCTGATAAAGCCGGCACGGTGGACAAGGGATGTCTACAATAACAGCGGCTCCTTTGTTGAGCCGAGTCTCTTCATTCTCATCATCACCGTGCGCAATGCTTCATATATAGTCTGTGCGTGCACATGTTGCCCTCCCAACCCTTCACAAATCCAGCTTCATCTGAAATAAGTGAGCCATTGTTCCTGGGCCCTGAGGTGACATAGTGTGTACGGTCCGCAGCGCAACTCAACGTTGCCGTGCGCGTATCACTAACACTTCCGGGATGGAACATGCTTTGCGGACTTCGGGACCTACATGACAACCAGGTAGGTAGGACAGACAAGTCGTACGGTGATTCTGAATCAGCCCACTGAATGTTTACGTTATCCGAGTGCTGCTTGCCGCCGGTGCGGTAGTTCAAAGGCTTAGCAATAGTATTGTAAGATTTCGGATTCGTTGACAGTTCGGCTTTTGAATATACGCTTCTGGAAGTCTTGGGGACTCGATACATTATCATTGTAACAACCTGTATAATCACACGCCAATTGCATTAGTAAACAGGTCACACGTTAAAGAGCTGGAATGAGCAAGAAACACAATCATACTATCCTGCTATCAAAAAAAAAAGCGACTATAAAAAAAAAAAGCGAAAAGAAACTGAAAAAAAAAAAAAAAAAAGAATAATACAAAAAAACATAGAAAACCTTGATCAGATCTCATTGACAGCTCCTCCACTGAATATAGGGTAGTGAAGTGGACAACGGCAGGCACGCCCCACCGGAGCAATCGATAAAGAGCCCGCAAAAAAATTTCCAGGCATTTCAAGTTGGAACTCACTATTTCATTTACCTCGACAGAGTCAATTCTTGCGACAATGCCGGTCGCGACATCACCGGAGCTCGGCTCGCCGAGAGCGGAAAAAAAGTCTAAAAAGTCACCGAAATCGGAAAAGAAGCGCTCACGAGAAGAGGACGCCGCTGCCGATCCTGATGAGCGCAAGCACAAGAAGTCCAAAAAAGTATTGGATGATACCAGCCAAGAACAGGAAGATGTAGCCGACAAGAAGGAGAAGAAGGAGAAGAAGGAAAAGAAGGAAAAGAAGGAGAAGAAGGAGAAGAAGGAGAAGAAAGAGAAGAAAGAGAAGAAAGAGAAGAAGAAGAGCAAGCGAGACGGCGACGAAACTCCGAGCAAGAGCGAGCACAAGAAATCCTCAAAGAAGCAAGCCTCTGGCGACGAAAAGTCGGAACGCAAAACGAAGAAGTCCAAAAAAGATAGCGACGAGGCTGCCGCCATAGATACGGAAGACGATGCCGCTCTTGCGCAATTGCAACTGGAAAACGAATCTCAGCAGGTGGCAGAAGACGCCATGGATGTTGACGAGCCAGTCATCAACACAATTTCCGACATTCACCAACCTCCCGACATCCCCGCCAACCCTCAATTCCCCTTCTTCTCGCAGACAGTCTCGCTATACGAACCCATATACCCCATTGGCTGGGCACAGCCCGTCACCAACTGCGAGTTCCACTATCTCCGTCATCTGCAGAACAAGTACGTGCCCTCACTGGCAGGCGTTCTCCTGGGCTACAAGAATGTGACGCTTGGCAACGAGCCCAGCCGCGAGGGAGCCGCCAAGAACGACGAAGAATTCACGACGCTCAAGTCGCAGCGCGAGTACGGCGTAGGATTTGGCTGGATCACGGCCGACGTGGACTTATTCGTGCCGAGCCGCGGCGCCTGGATGGAAGGCAGTATCAACCTCCAGACCGAGGGCCACATCGGCGTCGTATGCTTTGGCATGTTCAACGCCTCGATCGAGGCCCGCCGGCTGCCCCCGTCGTGGAGCTGGGTGTCCAACGACGACGCCGGGATCGAGGGCATGGAGGAGACGGCTTCCGTTGCGGCGCCCGACGAGCATGGCGTCGTGCATCAGATCCACAGCACCGGATTTTGGGTCGACGTCAACGGCGACAAGGTCATGGGCAAGATCCGCTTCCGAATACGCAACTTTGATGTCGGCGTGAGCGGCGAAACGACGTACCTGAGTCTTGAAGGTACGATGCTCGATAGGGCTGGCGAAAAGACGCTGGTGCGGCAAGAGGCGGAGGCGGTCAAGATGCGCCGCGACATCAAGAATCGTTGGGGGGAGCGTCGCCGTGCACCCGAGTTTAGCATGACGCGATTCTTTTCGGAAGAGGAGAAGCAAGCACACGAGGATCGAGAAGCGGCGAAGGCTGAGCGGGCCACCGCCGCGGCCGCTGCCGCTGCGGCCGCTGCAGAGACTGAGGCAGCAGCTGCATCTGGTGGATCAAAGATTGTGTTTGATGATTGAATCTACTGACGCTTAATCATGGAGGAAATTATTTGTTGTATAAAGAACTTTGTCATTTGCATTGGTGTTTCTTTTTTTTTAACTGGAACTGTGGTGGTAGAAGGGATCATTAAGCAGCGGATTGTCATGGACTAATGTCCGTATCAAAAGGATAAAAAGCACGAATAAAAAGCCACCAAAATATTATACATCAATCTGGAATGTCTAACTGACATGTTCTGTGAGACCCAATTTCCGACATGAGTGACAAATGAAATCGCTCAAAAGCAAATGAAGGAGGAAGCAGGCTAGTCAGTGGATGACTGCGTTTACGCAGAGGCCTTGACCATGGGCTCCCACGGCCGCTCCATGTCCCAGAGATAAACCTCGCCGTCCGAGTTGCTTCCCAGACTCTTGACGATAATGTGCCTCAGGACAGGAAGTGCAGAAAATGCAAGTGTGCGTAGCGGCGAGATGCACAACGGAGGCTCGCTCCAGAGCGCATCGAGCTGCGCGGCGGCAGGCTCCGCCTGCGCGCACAACGCGTCGACCTTGGCCGCAAAGGCGTCCCTATCCGCCGAGTGGTCGTTCGCGACGACCTGGAAGCGGACGCCCTGGATGTCCACGGTGATGCACCGGACGTCGCTGGGGAAGCCGCCGGCGTAGCCGCCAGTGAGCGGCCACGAGTGACCGCACAAGTCGCCGGCGCAGTCCCAGTCGTACCAGACCTGGGTGCCGGCCTCGGAGGAGTCGTCTAGGGTGAGGCGGGAGAGGCCGTCGAAGCCGAGGGAGCAGTGCTGGGGGGCGATGCCGTCGAGGCGCGGGAGGACGACGTCGCAGAGGCGCGGGTCGGTGCCGAGGACGAAGCGGCCGCGGCGCCGGGGCGGCTGCGCGGCGAAGGTGAGGGCGAGGGCGTGCCGCGGCGGCCCGTCGGCGAGGAGGCTGGTGCGGATGCGGGAGCGGAGGAAGTCGGTCTCGGCACAGGGGACGAGGCCGGACGCGTTCTCGGGCATGTGTACGGCCTCTTCGGCGGCCGGGCAGTTGGGCGCCGGCACTAGCCAGGCGATGATATCTTGAGAGGGGGGAGGAATCATGGCGAGGATTATTAAAAGTGTGTATGTAGACGAAAGAAAAATTTAAAGTTCCAGTATTGTTGAATGAAGGAAAAAGTGAACCAGAACAGGAAACAATAATAAGAAAAAAAATAATGCAGTCTGGTAAAGAATGGCCGAGTGACGATGTACTAGGTATTCGTGGATGAGCGTCTCTCAAGAAGATTGGAGGAGGTTGGCGGGCGAGTAAAGAGGAGATCTAGATTGGGATCAACATGCGATAATGACGAAAGGGTAAAAGAAGACATGCAACTAAATGCCGCTACATCTTTATATATCTACATGGTGTCGAGCTGACGGTGTGCAAGTATCCGGATATAGAATGCTAGTTGAAAACAGGGACGAGGTTGCGTAGGACAGACAACTTGTCGCGGCGCGCATCGAGAACCCATGCAGGACACGCTCTTGACGTGCCGGACCGCGACCGCGTTTCACGGCAGACGAGACGGGAACACGGGCCAGGAACAAGAACAACGGCGCGCGTCGTCTCGTCTCGTCAGGTGTGGGCGTGAATGCGCCACGGGCGGTGACAGCGAAACGCTCACGATGGCTTCTACGGAGCGCTGTGGGCCAATCATTTCTGGCGAGGTTGGGCCAAACAGGGAAATTGGGCACAGTGGCATCGAAACAGCCCCACGGGCGAACAAGTGAGCTGTCAGGATGCAAGAAACATGATGGAGGCGGATTTGATGCGTTGGCGCGGCATCATCAGTGGGCGCCTAGATGCTGCGTCGTCGTCCTCATCGCGGTTTGTTTTCATGGCTGTTGTTGACTGCATCACTGGGCAGGACATGCCGGCAGGAGTAGCTGTGAGTCAATGATGCGGTATGCGTGGAAGCTGAGCCTGAAGGAAAATCGAAGCTCGGACCAAGATGGCCATTGGATCTGCTGCGGCAGATGGACTTGACGACGCCGCAGATGCCTCGACAGACGAATGTGTAGCAGAGTGAGAGCGCTGAGAATTGTTAGTGGTCGCTGCGCTTGCCACGAACAGACGAACCTGGTCAAGTTTTGAAGATTTGAAACCCAGCCAGCTTCAATACTTCACCGCTATTTTTCTCTTTTTTCTTTCTTTCGGTCTCATCAATCATCTATGAGAGGACTCGACATGATGAAGCTGTGATGCTTGACAATAGCCTGACACTGACTGGCTAGTTTCTGCCTGATGTATCAGGACTCCACATTCGCGCCAGCCATTGGCCGAACTTTGCCCGCCAAACAGGAAACCAAGAGCTTCCCAATCCAACGGCAATTATCCTCAACGACCCCAATTCCGCTCCTGTGCCGGCTTGGACGATTGCCAAGAAGACTCAATTGACTCGAGAAACATGGCCACCGACACAGCTTCCGATGCGCGTCGTACGTACGCCCCCGAATCCGCTTGGGGACTCGAACCACGAACCCCGGCTGGGACGCCTCTCTTGCGCGGACAGCCTTGAAGACTAACAGAAATGTGCAGAAGCGACTCGTGAGGAGATGAGCGAGGCTCGCCTCCCTCACGCCTACAGAGATAGCTGCGCCCACCTCCTGATCCCCCTCAACAAGTGCCGCAAAGCGACGTGGTACGCCCCGTGGAAGTGCGAGGTGAGAATACGATTGGCTTGGAATGGCAGACGGTCCGAGTACAAGGGGATGACTGACATTGAGGCACTTTCAGGACGAGAGGCATAGCTACGAAAAGTGCCAGTACGTCGAGTTCAAGAAGCGAGTCGCCAAGATGGACGAGCTGCGAGAGTCCAAGGAGGGCGCCCGTAGCAACTAGAGCGTGAAGAGGCGACACTGTGGATAAGAGAAACGACTACGGACTGTACATATACTTGTGTTAAAGACGGGCAGGAAATAAGAAAAGATATCTTGCAATACGGTGGCTTGGGTGTGGTGCTATGGGTGTGATATGTTGGGTGCATTCTGCGGAAGGAGCTGGGGAAGAGCAACTGACCGAGACACAGAGCCGAGCGCGATTTCCAATGCGAGGAAAAATGCACCATTACCAACTCGAGACGCGAGATAGTCTGCGTGAGGACAACCTTGTCAATGTCATGGCAACGAGCCCCGAACTTGGTGCCGCGTCAAACGCCAGTTCTGTCTGCATAACGACTCGAAACCACGAAACTTTACAAAAGTCAACTCAACATGATACCAGCAAAGCGATTACGGTAAAATTTACATTCATTATTTATTCTATGTACTAATGTCTTAGTGCCAGTCGCCATTGATTGACTCGCTGAGCTCGACAGCTCTAGAAGATAGAGTTATCGGCACAAGTAAAGGAGCCCTCGAGTTTGCCGGGCGTGCGATAAACCTCAAGCAGACCCTCGACAGACGCCCACATGCCGACACCATTCATGAATAGCGTCTGGAGAATGATGAGAGCATTGACAATGGCCAGGGGAATGTTCTTGGGAGCAAACTTTTCCTCCCAGTTGCGATGGTACCAGAAGACGCCGCTGACGCCAAACGTGAACCAGGCCACAAATGTTGCCGATGAAATGGACAGAATGGAGTCAAAAATGGGAATGGCACTGGCGAGGACAAACGCCAGGATCCAAAACACAGTGGCGCTTCCAACCCAGAGACCCCAGGAGCGTACGGAGTTTTCGGTGGCGCGGTGGGTTGTGTTGGTGGCTCGGAGAACGACCACGTACAGGTACTTGATGGCAGTGTGGCCAAAGACCATGCCCGTGGACAGGATAGCAGGAAGCGCAATGGCATAGGCGACCTTGGCCGGAATGTCTGGTGCTGAGCCAAGTGCCGGCGAGCGTACTGCCTGACCAGAGAGGCAGTAGATGGTGACGGCGGTGATGAGGTACAAGATGACAGAAAAGACCTGCAGGATGGTAAGGGCCTTGGGAAAGTCGCGCGAGGGGTTCTTCATCTCGGCCATATACGAGACGAAGCCGACATTGCCAGCATACGCATAGCACACTTTGAGGCAGGCCGTGACGCCCTCGCGGAAGCTTGGGTTTCCGACCATGACCAGCTCCTTGGCGAAACCATAGACCTCGCCGCGAGGATGACCCGCCACGGCAAGACTAATGATGACGATGAATACAGCGACGATGATACTAATCGTGCAAGGCAAGCCCGCCTGAGCCACGAACTTGAATGTGCGTGGAAGGCACAGAACCCAACAGGACAGGGCACCCACGGCGGCAAAGGCGACGGTGCAAGTCGAGTGGTTGGACAGGGTGTTGAAGGCGATGGAGAGCGTGACAGTGGCGGAACCACAGGTCATCATGACCTTGAAGAGCAAAGCGAGGCCGAAGATGATCTCGAGCGGACGGCCACCGACGACGCCGGCCATGTCGGCCATGTTGACGACATGAGGGTGGGCGCGGTAGAACTGCAGAAGCTCGTATGCGGTATACCAGGACACGATACCCAAGCCGACAATGGCAATGATGCCAGGGATCAGGCCGAGCGTCTTGAGAATGGCGGGAAGAGTGAGGATACCGAGTCCGACCTGGTTGGTAGCAAGGACAAGCATGGTATCCCACAGGCCCATGGTGCGGTATGTCTTGCCGCCACCGAAGATGTTGTCGTCTTCGCCGGCTGGCGCATCGCCTACGACGCCCTCCTTTGGCTTGGAGTCTTTGGAGGCATTGTCTTCAAAGCTCGACTTTTCCTGAATCTTTTCCGGATCGGTGATAGCAAGGGTAGGATTGGCTCCGGCCGGCTGCTCGACGATGTCTTGGTTGTTGGCCATGGTGTCTAGGTGCGATGATGAGGAATATGCAGCACCAACAGACACGCGAGCAGGAAGGGAGGGAAGAAGAGAAGAAGAGAAGCACAAATTGGAAGAATGTGCGACGAAAGGAGCTTTATCAAGGTGTGGAAAGGGTCCAACAAAAACTGACTGATGGTGGCATTGGTGGGTAGCTTCTACTTGGAGAGGGTTCGTTGCTCGCCCCTCCGAGGGCAGCCGATTCTGGCCAAGGCAAGGGTGCTTGCAGCAAATGAAGAATGATAAGCACTGGCAGAGAGGGGAACGCAGGGCCGACACAAGGAGAAATGAAAGATAAAGCTCAAGCAACCCCGGACGCGGCGGGCCATGATTCCAGGGAGCATCAAAACGGCCCTCTGGGGTTCCAAATATCTACGCTTCATTGGCTCGTTGGGCATGAGGATACTCTGGGGGAAGGGCATATCCTGGGTTGTGCAGAGATTTCTCTCTCCATCTTCGTCGTCATATGCTTTGAGTGCCCACGCATGTTCCGCGTTGGGGGCCTTGGCAGCGCATAACCACCATGGCCAGCCTGGGAAAAAAGAGAGAGAAAATTACAAGAGTCAGGAGCGTCGAGGATGAAAGTGGACAATTGGAGTCGCAGCGGACGAATCACGACTACAGACCAGCCGGACTCGAATCCACCACCCAGCGGAAAGCCAGCGACGGCTATGCTTAAATTCCCCGCTAGAAAAGGCTCGGCATACGGCATGGCATTGGCAATTGACAGCTCGGGTTTATGCAGATTCCCTTTCCGCTGTGGTGGCGTTTCTGGCTTGGTTTTTTATTCCCTTTCGCTTTCCGAAGGCGCCGCCACCTCATCAGTAACCCCGATCGCGCCTTGTCGAGAGTTGACCCGGCTCATGGTCTGCTCTCGCTTTCTTATTACTTAATACTGGTCGCCGCATCTCCTCGGAGGCTGGCACTAACTTGATTATGCAATTTCTGCATTCCCTCAGCAATTCTCAATTTTTCTTTCGCATCCTCTAGACGGCCCCCCACAAATGTATGGTGTTTTGGCGATAGCAGGGGGGCTTCTGATTGGGACATTTATGTACCCCAGAGTATGGGGGGGTTTCATTCCCAACGGTTGTTGCAATTTGTTACTGAAGCTGGGGGAGGCAGTGTCTTTGCTTGAGCGATAATACAACGCCGCAGCCTGGACCAGGGTTCCTTCGGGCGACCGCCTCCGTCAGTATGGTGAGGCTCGCGGTGGGTTATGCTCTCATGGACGTGGGCCGGCCCACTGACGAGAAATTGCAGACCAATAAAGAGATGTTGACGACGGTGGCTGCTTCCGTCAGAAGCACATTACGATATAAGGACTCGTACATATGAGCGAGGGTTCGGGCTGGCTGATTTGCTGAGATGTGTTATAAGTTAACTTGTGCGGCGGGAATCGAGATATGACGGCGCCACACAGCCGTCTCAAGACGATTGGACAATGACAATCAAACGCGGCTGAATTGTGGTAGGAAGCTGATCATGGGCAAAAACGGCCGCTGAAAACCGCTCACTTGTTACAGAAATATTATTGCCAAGCCTACACTAAGATCTCGACAAGCTCTTATGTTAGTTGGCATGCGAGCAAAGGCCATGCGGAACTCCCGGGCAACACTGGCACGCTGCTTCCCTTTGAAGACCGGCAAACATGCAGTCTTGATTCTATCCTGTCGTGAAAGAATCCAACCCTCAGTTCTGGCCAAGCATCCGAAGCATGTTCTGCAGCGCCTGCAGTGAGGCGTCACCGCCCCTCTCGCTGGACTTCAATTCCGCTGCTTGCAGCAGCAGCTGCAGAATGTTCATGTCCGCGTCTTCTTCTCCGCCAAAACGTCCACCGCGATGCGCCCTCACTTCTGTGTTTGGCCAGCGATTCAATCCCTGGTTCAGTGTCTTGACCTCGGACTCGGCCACGTCCCGCGCTTTCGGTCCCGCATGCGCCGACCGTGGCCCTCGCTCACGAACGTCCGCGTCACCTCGGTGGCGACGTGCAGCAGCGCGTCACTCGCCGGCACCGTCTGCGCACGACTTCCCCGCGGCGGACGCGAGACACACGCCCGACACGAACGGCAGCATCCGGCCGTCGTCGCGGAGTGTCGAGGGTCCGTCGGGGAGTTCGAGGATGGCCGTCAGCAGCCGCTCCAGAAACAGCCACGCCTCGTTCTGTATGGTGAAGAAGTCGAAGCAGAGCCCCGGCCGCTCGTGCTCCACGGCCTCGGCAACGGCGCGCACCAGGCCGGCGGGCAGGAGCGCCGCGTGCCGCACCTTGGCCTCCTCAACCACCGACTTGTACTCGGTCTGAAGGTGCTCGCGGCTGTCGGTGTAGCGCTCGGCGAGGGCCATGTCGAGCTCCTCTGGACGGCCGCGGCAGACCACGGGATGCGCGCGCCGCTCGGGTGCCCGAGGCGAAGGCTGACGCCCCGCGACAGACGACTCAACGGCATCAAGTTACGTCGGTTGTCGATGTTGGTGTTGACCTTGTGCTTGGTCCTGCGCCGGCTCTGGGCCGACGCCCAGTAGGTGACGGACGTGCCGATGCTCTGTGGTTTTCGAAATAGCCATTCTTCGTCGTAGGCAGGTCGCCGACGAAGAAGGACGCGTCGCCCTGCAGCGTCCACAACGTCTGAAGGTCGTCCCATACGGCCTCGTCCGGCGCCAGCAGTCGCTCGCTGCGCAGCGCGTGGTGCACCTGGACCACGCCGACCAGTGCGCCGGGCGTGGCCGCGTACGGCAGGCCGGCCTCGTGCGCCACGGCGCGCATGTTGTGCCTTAGCAGGCCGTAGTACAACGGGTTACGCCGCAGGAACTTGAACTTGGGCGCGCGCGCGCACGCGCGGCAGCATGCCCGCGGCGACGCCGGCCGCGCGTCCGGCCCAGATCGGGTCCTCGTCCCACAGGCCCGCGCCGCGCAGCACCTTGGCGCGGGCAGGCGACGACGCCGGCACGTCGACGAAGAAGGCGTGGCCGTTGTCCGAGGTGGCGCTGACCTCGACGCCGGCGGAGGTGAGGCGCTCGACAAAGGTGCTGCGGATGGAGATGACGCGATCGAGAGCCCGGCAAAAGGATCGCGGGATAGTGATTTCGGAGGCGGCGGCGCTGCAGCTGGCGATGTGCGCGGCCATGGGCTCAAAGTCCCTGATCTTGATGACGTGCGCGGTCTTGGGACCTGCGGCTGCGGCTGCTGCGGCAGTTGTCGGCTTCTTGACGGCTTTCCTTCGAGATTTGCCTTTGGACCTGCCGCCAGCGGCCGCTTTTCATTTTGAGGAAGAGGAGGAGGAGGAGGAGTCGTAGCCGGGCTGCTTGGCGGTCAGGGCGAGCCATTGCGCGACGGTGTCGGTGTCGGCCTTGTACTGCTGGTAAACGCCATTGAGCCACGTGGGTGTCATGTTGAGGTTGCTCACTCGCTCGTGACTTGACTTCTATCGTCATCTTTGGAAAAAACCGTGAAAAATTGTAAATGACTGTGAATGAGTGATCGTGTGCAGCTTTCTCAGGGGTCGTGTTGTTGCGTGTTGGACCAGCCGTATTTGAATACTACAACAAGTCGTCAGTAGATGCTTTGCTTTTCATTTCGGGTAAACTAAGCCATGTCTTATCTAGCAGCTCTATTTACTTATTCAAGGAGGGGAAAAACTGAGGTGTTGGTGGAAGACGCTCGGATCCGTGTCGGGCCCGGCGCGGTGCCGTGTGGGGGGCGATGAAAGAAACATGGGATTTATAAAGTGATTTATCTCATCACCGCTTCGTCTCTAGAACTTTGTATAAGAAAGCCCTATTAAGATATGACAAAAATGGTTTCTTGCTGGCCAATGTGTCGTCCAAGGTGCCGCAATAACTTGTCTGTATCGTGGGTATGAGAGAGCCTTTGTGTACGGCGCTGGAGGGTATCTTTGGCTGCTGCATGTTTGGACGGTTCACTCCGCGTCACTTTTACCATTTTTTTTTGATTAGATTTGAATACTGTCTAAATTCAGAGAATTTCGATCCTTACGAATTGGGAATCGTTATTGGCGTATACGAGCTTGGGTGGAGGAAGGGAGGGCAAATGTGGTCGATGACTACTAGTTTACTAAAGAGTGGTATTTCACAGGATATCCTAGCTTGCAAAAATGTTTGCTTTTTCTTTTTTTTTCTCTCTCTATATTTTTGTAGTCAGCAGGTATTTTCTAATTACATCCGCACTAGAGCTCCTTGTGATGTAGCTATCAAGGCCATGTGCGCTTTGGCATGTCTGCCCGTTCGTATACGAGCCCAGCTAGAGAGGTAAGAGGTAAAGCTCGATAGGAGTAGATGGGCTTCTGACGTGGCGGTGTATTTCAGCCCTGCCAAGTACAAAATAGTGTTGATAAAAAGCGACTTGATTTTATTAGCTTCATCTTTCTTGTCCTGCTCGGGACCTTTGCATCCCGGAGACTTCAAGGACCAGAATTCAGCTGCCAAACATCCCCCCATATGCCATATGTACCGGGAAATGGCGCGCAGGAGCCTGCCTGCATCATGCACATTGGCATCATTATTGAACAATGGCGCCTCAACGAACAAAGGATCCAAGCCACGTCCTTCCCATGTAGATTTCTATGCGACCGTGAAAGATGCGTCTATATTTAGCACCAGATATAGTAGAATACTACTCTTTTTCCATTTGACGGCGGGGGCTCTCGCATCAAGTTACCCCGCCGCTACAGTGACCTCGCATCTCAGCTTGAGCGGGGACGGGGAGCCTTCCTCGCTGCTTCTGGTTTCTGGGCTCGGCTGTTCTGCCCTCCTTTGCGGGAGTGAAGGAAGGAAGGAAGGAAGGAAGGAAGGAAGGAAGGAAGGAAGGGTAATGTGGCCGCTCGAATAATCTGCTCCATCAAGGTCGCCTCGTTTATACGGATTCTCCCTCCGTTGAGGCTGCAACAAGCATGCAGCCTGAGAGTCCGCCTCGTCGACAGCTGCCTGCAGAATCGCGCCAAGGCAGGCCGGCATCATCAATAATTCCGAGCGCAGCGCATTTGCTCTCTGCAGTGTCCCGCACCGCACGGAACACGGCATAACATGATTTTTGCCGTATTGAGGGTGTTTCGTTCTTTTCCTTCGCCTTGGCCCCCGTCATTGCGGTAACACGACAGCGCAGCTGACCCTATATGAGGGAACCCGACCGGATAGAGTCTCTCACACAGTGACTCTGGGACTTGCCCGGCCACTCCACGACCTCTTCGGGCTACCGAAACGCTTACCTTTTCCACGGTCCTCGCAAGTGCAGGCGAGTCAGCTCATATCCTCCCAAACCCCGACCACGCGATGCGTAGCAACCTCGTATTCTGCCGTCCGCCGGAGCCCGCCAAGGCTCGCAAGCGTTACCCGGGCATGATCGGCGGGATCCAGCGAGGAGCCCAAAAGTCCGAATCAACATGCGTCGGTCACGATGATCTTTTCTCCTTCGCCTGCTCACGCAAAGAGTCAAAGCAACCCCCAACTCAGCCCTGCGAGAGCTGAGATGGGTGGCTCCGTTCTGGTCTCTGCAGGTAGCTCCGAGAGGGCCTTGTCGAGAGGCAGCCTTGACGCAGGGTGATACAGCCCAGCCGACGACCCTCACCAAGTGGTGTGTGTGTGTGCTTCGCTACACGAGCCGGATGGGTAAGGATGAAGCAACAGGCAGCGCAGCCTGTCTGGGTGAGGGCAGGACGGATGCGGTGAGATACGAGCTGGGCTCGCGAGCTAAGACCCCGTCCAGGAGCGAGACGCAAGTATAAAAAGGACGGGAATTCTCCGCAAAGCTTCAAGGTTGCCTCGCTCACCCTCATCACACACCACACTTTGAAGTCACTTACGCATCATCTTCACCTCCCCAACACCATGCTCAAGCAACTTAGCCTCCTCGCCCTCGCCGGCCTCAGCGCTGCCACCAACGTCGGCAGCGCCCGCGTCGTCAACAACTGCGACCACCCGGTGACGCTGTGGTCTGTCGGCGGCGACATCTCGGCCGCGCACACACTCGCCAAGAACGGCGGCAAGTACGCCGAGCAGTACCACCGCGACCCCAAGACGGGCGGCATCGCCCTCAAGATCACCCTAGCGAACAACGGCATCTACACGGGCGCCGCGCAGACCATCTTCGCCTACACCCTCGACCCGAACGCGGTCTGGTACGACCTGAGCTCCTCCATGGGCGATGCCTTCGCGGGAAAGCGCCTGACGGTGACGTCGTCCAACACGCAGTGCCAGGGCATCGTCTGGGCGGACGGCCGCACGCCCGCGGGTAGCCAGGTCAAGGTGTGCACGCCCGACAGCGACACGACCCTCACTTTGTGCGCGGCCAAGTAAAGAGACGCATCATGTGCCGCTGGTGCCACTGGGAGTGAAGTGGGAGAAGCTGATGGCTGAAGAGGCAAGCTGGCGGCAGTGTATATATCTTTCATAGGTAGAAAAGACGACATGATGTTCAACGAGCGTGTGTTGCTGCAAGAGCAAATGGCGTGTATCCTTTCAATGTTGATTAAATCATCGCCATGTTGGTATCGTATTATGTAAGAAGCGATCTTGTCGTCGGACTCGTATGATGCTTGTGCCTGCCACTCTCCGCATAGAAACGCCCGCGATCCCATGCCATCGTCCACCGCAACAACCCCCAACCTCACGCTTCACGGCGGCGTCTGCGGGTTGTTGCCCACCGTCTTGTACAGCTCCCTCAGCTCAAAGGCCTCCTGCGCGCCCTCCGGCACCTCGCCCACCACCCTCGCCGGCCGGCCGGCCACCACCGAAAACCCAGGCACCACCGCGAACGGCGGCACCACCGCGCCGTCCAGCACGCGCACGTAGTCCTTGATGATGGCGAACTCCCCCACGCTGCAGCCGGCGCCGACGTGCACGTGGCTGCCGACGCTGGCGGCGCGCACCACGCTGCCCGCGCCGACGAAGACGTGGTCGCCGAGGCGCAGCGGCGCGTGCGCGTAGGCGCCGCGGTGCAGGCGGCCGGGCGGGCGCAGGACGGCGCCGCGGGCGAGGAAGCAGTACCGCCCGATGGAGACGGCGGTGTTGGGCCCGTTGGAGGTGGAGGAGGAGGCGGGGCGGACGAGGTCGCCGCGGATCATGACGTCGGGTTGGATGACGGTCTTGCCGCCGAGGACGATGTTTTGCGTGCCGACGAGGACGGCCTTGCGGGCGACCTTGTTGCCGGTGTCCTAAGGGGGGAGGGCGCGTTAGCGTGTTGATTCCGGCGGAAAAGGGGGGGTGATGGTTCCCGGGAGAGGAGGAGGGGGAAGGGCGTGGTTGCGTGGATGCCTTACCGTCTCGATGTAGTCGCCCTTTGCTGGTCGGCGCGACATTTTGGGCGGTTGGGGGAGGAGAGACGTTGTGCGTTTGCAGGTTGGAGGTTGTCAAGCTCCGTCGAAGCTTGGGCTTGTCGAGACAGAGCTTGTGTGGGGCCAAAGCCAACAGCGACCAGAGGGCGCGGTTGCCAACGGTCGAGGAGCGAAAACGAAGCAAACTGTAGAAAAGAAAAAAAATTATTTCTTTTTCTAATAAATCGAGCTAAACGTGGTTTTTTGGTCATTCAATTGCCGTCTATAGCACTTTTGGTCTAATTGTCGGGTAGACCACCTCCATCCCAGGTGCCCTGGATGAACAGAACAGTGTGACATGATGTTGATATAAGTTTAATCCGCTCCATTATTCATAAATTCAACGAGGCCCTCAAAACTGCCTGAAATAGCGGTAAAACCTAATGGCGAGCCCAAAATTTCAATACTGTTCTTTGCTGATCTTCTGGTGTGCTGTTGGTTGACGATGAAGTCATCATGGCTCGAAAAGTAGTAATCCTGAGAACCGAGCGGCAGTTTGACTTCGGTTGGCCATGGGCTTGCTAGGTGTTCAAATTAGAGAATCATAGCCACGGTTGAAACGCTGTTAATCGCTTTGCAAGCCCCTCATCACCAACGAGTGCTGCACGGAGCTGTTTGAGCTACTTCGACATGCTACTCAACACTCTGACAGATTTCATGGGGTCGGATTCCTCTTGAATTGAACTACAATATGCCACGTCTATCTACAGTAAGGCTTGTTCATGGAAAAGAACTGATACGCTTCTCGTATTGTCACCTTGTTGGTAATAGTATCTTGATGTTTAGCGTCACCGCCTATCAGTTTCGGAACGGCCGAGCCAAAAAATCCTCTCAAGACTGCCACCCGGCAAGCCGTCTTGACCGAATATTCCTTTTCTCTTTCGGCGGCTGAAACATTATCATCTGTGCCTTTTGCTATTGTAGACAGTGCCGTGCTCGTGGGGGAGTTGCGCTCCGTCGCTGTGAACTTGCTCATGACATCACGGGAGAAACCATTGGCTACAGCTACGATTCCATTACACATCGCACCGGTAGAAACGGCTTCACAACCTTGAATATGGGGTAATTGCTTTCCCGATGCTGGTGCAGCGTTCTGCCTGCAGCCGCCATGCAGGGTGATGCAACTCCCATCGGCCAACTCCAACTTTGCCGTCCGTCCCGGATACAATGCACTTGTGAAAGCCTCGCAGATCGTTTTTGAGTATCATCTGGTGACAAATTTCCTCAAATTAGTGGTGGCTCTTAATCCAGGCTGACTGACTGGTTGAGCTGTTACAAATCTCAACCTCCTTTCGCCCGCGCCACGAAAAAAAATGCGCCGCCAGCCCAAGATGGCTTCATGCGAGCGATGTGGCTTCCACCGGCCGTGGCAACGGTCTCCCTGTATTTGGGGTAGACCGGGGAAGCACGGAGGCTTAGATATGACGCAAGAATTGGCGACGGGCATCATGTAAATGTAGCTAAGCTCCAGATGTGTCCAGTTCCGTCTATCAAGGGTGCGCGGGCGACCTCAGCTTGCAATAAGCAACCGGTAATGAGGCTGAAGTTGCAACTTCAAGCCTTCCAGGACGCAGCCTAGAGTAATCTGTGTGTCATTGAAACATGGATCTTGCGTATTGTCGCGTCACCAACAACATTAGCCTAATGTCCTGCTGCGGTGCAGCCACGCCTTTCCCCAGACGCCGGGTGCGATATCCCCAGCTCTCATAGTCACCTCGGCAGCGAGGCTCTCAGCACAGCACGGATGTGTACCCCGCGTCGGATAACCCCTCACGACTTCGTGGAGCAAGGAGCTTGTCGGAGACGTGCTCCGAGGTATCACATCATGGACAACCAGCAGGCGTACAGATGAACAAGACTCTCCGCAAAACCCCAAAGGCTAAAAAGCACTGGGGCTAGTGTGCGTTGGGCAGGTGCGAAGCGTCTGAAGGTGTCCCTCATCGGGGCTAGCATGTGAGTCTGAAGTCTGGGGGCCCCCCAGAGGGACGAGCGGTCCTTTTCTTATCTGCTCTGTGGGGAGACAAGACAGGCATACAGCGCAACTTTTCTTATTACGCTGCATCATGGTCTTGGGTATATTGCTTTACCTGTATGGCTGGCTCGGTTCCGGCTACGTTCTTGGGATTGCCAAGAGCGCCAACCCATCTGATTATTGTGTGATCAACGCCGGAATCACGGTACTCAAGTAGATTTCTACGCCGACGGATACACCATCGGAATAGGAGCCATCGCCGAGAGGACCATCTCGCCAGAAAAGAGGCTAGTGTGTGAACGGAGCAACTAGAGCGGCAGCGCATGTCCTAGTTGCCCCAGTCTTAGTAGACTCGTAACATCGGAAACCGTGACCACTCTTCGCGCCGAGTAGACTTGTTTATATTATTATCTATATTGCTGTTTGAAATGTCGGTAGTATTCTGCAAAGGTCTTGGCGTAGCAAGGAGATCCAGCCTCGTGGATAGACAAGGCGATGAAGGCTTCAGCAATCGCTCAGCCACGCCGCGCGACGGTCCCGACAAAGAGGGAAGGTAAATTTGATGCTAGGGTCATTCCAGCTGAATTGGCTATCTTGTCTTGTGAGGGGATATTTTACTTTAGTCTTTTCTGCCAGCAAAGCAACAGTATAGATGGCATAGCCCGTCGCTATCTGTCATAAGTTCGATACAGCCATATCCCGGCCATCAGAAATGGGGACTAACTATCCGTACTCTGTTCCGGTCGAAACGTCAACGCCATCGTAGCATGAGGCTGCTTTGGATGTAAGGGTGAGGTTGAAGACAGTCTAATCATCCGTTGTTGCGGCCGGCCAAAGATAGCTTAGCCTGTAATACAAGATAGAGCGTGAAAGGTCCGGAAATGAGAGTGCCGTATACTCCGGCGGCTCCGGGGACAGATCAAAGGGAAACCCATTGCTGGCTGATGAATAGGTGGCGACACTGGCGAGTCGCAACGGATAATGGCCCATTCATTCTTTGATCATGACTAGTTTGCAGGCTTTCGCACTCGCACGATCCCAGGCCCGAGCGGAGGTGGTAGCCGGGCGCAATGGGAAGCTAAATCCGCCCCCAAAGAAACAAACGTCTCTGAACTTTTTAGGCTTTCCCCGCGAACACACCAAAGTAACTATTGTTGATACCGTACCTTGACTAGTCAGCGATAACTACGTTTGGCTGCCCAATGGATCTCCTGGGTTCTGGACCGCGCCACGCGCCACGTGCGCCACACCAGGAACTGAGGCCAGCAAATCTTGTTGGTCACACCAATTGGTAAAAGTATGTACAATCAACCCCCAAAAAGACCCCTGCTCAACTCAACCCTTGTAGTCAATAGGAATTTTCCATTACAGCACAATTTACCCCAAAAACAGCCACCCACAATGAGGCTGACACTGCCATAATTGGAGGAGAGTTGGGGCAGGCTGCTTGTTGCGGCTCCTCGCCGGGCCAAATCTCACTTGTCAAGAACCAAAAGACGATTCATGAAACGACCGTGCTGGAGAACCACCGTTGAAGAACCCTAGCATCCTTTACGTAAAGATCGCCAGGCTTAGCCAAATATGGTAGGTACACGGAAAAGGCACCACACTGCTTTGTTTGATCGCCTCAGGAGAAGTCGACTTGACTCGGCCGATCTTGCTGTCAGCCAATACAGTAGTCTCCGGGTTGGCCGATGTTCAAACTTCAGAGAATGGACCATCGGAGGCTATTACCGTGGAGCTTTTTTCCCGAAATCTCCAACTAGTGGACTTTCATGATATAAAGCCTGACAGCTTCCCCAACCCCCGACCATCATAAACATCATCAACACTACTTTCCTCGCTCGTCTTGTCACCAACTGTCAAACAACAAGCAGCTAGCTTCTCGCCATGTTCACCAAGCTCGTCTCCGGCCTCGCGGCCCTTTCCTCCGTCGCCCAGGCGCTCCCCAACCCCACGGCCCCCAGTTCCCTGGAAGCGCGCACCCAGGTGTCGAGCAACGTGTGGTGCGGCCCTGTTCTCGCCGCCTCCGCGAAGCAGGCCTCGGCCGAATGGGTCGTCCCGCAGGTGTCCATGCCGAGCTCGAGCAACGGCGATGACATTGAGTTCTATCAATGGGTTGGCATCGACGGGTACCACGCCGGGAGCTGCCCCAACGCACTGCTCCAAGTCGGCACCGCAGAGAGGGTACGTTCTTCTCTTCCCTCTTTGCTTTGATCCTTCTTCCGGTTTGATGTGCAAAAGTACTGACCTTGCTCACCGCAGTATATTAACAACGACTGGGTCTACACCGTCTGGTTGGAGTACTACACCCCGGACAACACTTCCTCGTGGCACTTCAACGACCCGGCTGGTATGTGCTCGAGATCAGTGACGACGACAGTAATGACAAGTCAAACTAACAAACGGGAAATAAAGTCAAGGCTGGTGACTCGGTACGCGCGACCGTGGTGGGCACCGACTCCTACCCCCCCCAGAGAGGCTCTTACTGACAGTTCATCGCCAGCACCCTGGAAAACCTGACAACCGGACAGTCGGCGTCTTGGCCCCTTCAGGCCACGGGCGATTACCCTCTCTGCTATGAACACGTCGAGTGGGTCAACGAGGCCCCGACCAAAAACCTCCCAACGTTCCCCGCCATGACGTTCACGTCGCTGTCCTACACGGATTGGAATGGGAACACCTACAACGCTGCCGGCTCCGACCTGCAGTACCTGAACCAGCAGTACGCCGTCTGCTCTTCCACCCTGTCCAGCGACGGCAGCACGGCCTACTTTACCGAGGCTCCCCCCAGCTCCAGCTAAGGAGATCGCCTTTGAAAGGGCTGGTTGTTTTGGTAGTTTAGATTTGCGAGCGTGAGAAAAATAGAATGATTGATATCCCACTTGTTTTATGCCGCGATTCGAACGTAGTAGCGCTGTAGGGTGTATTTTGATAAGGACATCGCAGCTTTTAGAGCTTATGTTGGGTATGTTACCACCAACGTAATTGTGGCTTCTGATTGGCCAAGGTGTACCCACTACTGCAAGTACCCTTGTAACTGCCAAGTGCGTCGTTATTTTTTCGGCTTTTGTGTGAATGCTTGACTCGAGCGAGAGGTTTTCAGCTGGCGGCGGAATGTTTGTCCATGATAAGTAGCAGCCAGGGCGTTTCCAGGGCGTTTCCCATATCTCTGGGGGGATTCAGACAGAGAATCCGGATACTCCGTAGACAGTCGCAATGGTGAACGTGCCTCGGTTCCGCCAAGGGCGATTCGGAGAATAATTTGGGCTGCCTTGTCCCCGCTTATTACAAGGCTGCAAGACCCTGCAAAACCGCGAACCCCTGCTGATGCCTCGTTAACAAGGCCCGAGATTGCAGGCCGGTGCCAGCTTTTCGCCTCCACTTGGCTCGACGGGTCTCGATCCCTTTTTTGCTTTCTCAAAATCTTTCTTCAATTATTGTTTCGAATTGATCAATTACTCTTGTGCTGGGGAACGCTGGACCCCTGACTCGGCATTTACCTCGGATCGCTCCAACTCAAACTCGAGTCATTCGCACTTATCAGCACACCATCGACCATCGCATCTCGCGCGTCCCCTTTCCGGTTCCGCCAATGCCAGACAAGTACCTGTCGGTTGCGGGCCGGTGGCGTCGTTCATGACTGGCCGATCGGCGCCATGGGGCAGATGAAGAAGGAAAAGAACACCAAAAAAAAAATTCTACAGTGAGAAATGCTGTACTCGTATGTAAGCCGCCCGCAACTTGACTCGGTTGTTCTTTGTTCTTGCCAGCCAGCCCAGCCAGCCAGAAGCCAGCCACCGTTGGCGCGACCAACTAACAGTCTCGGACCGCCAACAACGTGGCCTTGACAAGGTTCAGTTGCCTACACATAGTTTTCTAACCTCGAATCACGCCATCATTCACCACAAGACTAGTTGCATCAACCACAAGTATTTTCTCTGTCGTTCTTTCACGCTCTCCCAAATCTAAACAGCCACTACCCGAGCAACCGGCCTCTTGACAGCAACCTCGCCATGGAGGGAACGGGGTCCGGTCCGCCGTTGGGAATCAAGCAGCTTACTAGGCCGCGTTGACAAAGGCAGCGGTCCTGCCATCGCTCGACAAAGTGGCCGAGCACCGGGCGCTGGCCGTGTTGATGTACCAGAGGTCGGCGCCGGCGGCGGTGGAGACCCTGCCGTTCCAGTCCGTGTAAGAGAGGGAGTTGAAGCTGAAGCCGGGGAAGCCGGGCAGCTTTCCGGTAGGGGCCTCGTTGATCCACTCGACGTTCTGGAAGCAGAGGGGATAGTTGCCCGTCGCCCTCAGGTTCCAAGAGTACGACTGCCGGTTGGTCAGGTTCTCGATGAGACTTGATGATGAATGTTAGCCGGCGGAGAGCCTTTCTCTTGCAGGTGGGAGGGTGGGAGAAGATGGACGTGGACTTACACAGTTCCGCTGAGGGAGTCCGAGTTGGCCGTGACGGTCGTGCGGACGTTGTCACCGGGCCGGACTTGTTTCCGCTTGTCAGTTCACGCCATACTAGTCACTGTCATGGATTTCGAGTACATACCGACCGGGTAGGTAAAGTGCCACGAAGACTGGTTAAGCGGAGTCCAAAACTGCAGCCAGACGTCGTATACGAACGTGTTGCCGTTCCACTGGTGTTGAATAGGTCAGCAATTTGCTCGTGAGCCCAGGACAGGGTCTAAGAAGGAAGAAGAAGAAGACGAAGAAGACAAAAGAAAAGCAAAAATAAAACATACCACCTGAGAAGTGCCGGCTTGGAGCAGGGCGTTACCGCAGCTCGAAGAGCGGACACCATCCATGCCGACCCATTGGTAGAGCATTGGGGCCGTCTGGCCGTTGTTCGGGTTCGGCAGGGTCACCCGGGGGACGGTCCATTCGGCGGAGACCTGGCGCGCGGCGGCGCGGAGGACCGGGCCGCACCAGATGGTGCTGCTGACGGGGGCGCGCTCCTCCAGGCCGCGCTCCTCCAGCGTGTAGCCGGGGTTGCTGGGGACCGCCAGGGCGAGCGAGGCGAGGGAGAGGGCCGCGAGGCCGGAGACGAGCTTGGCGAGCATGGCGAAGCTGGCTGGTTGCTGGTTGTTGTTGCGGGTGAGGGGAGAGGCGAGAGTGCTTCGCAATGAGGATGGTGATGCCGTTTCATGATGTCGTTCCGAGGGGGAGGCTCTCGGGCTTTATATCACGAAGACTGCAGGAGGAGAAGCTCCACGACACGGCCTCGAGTGACGGGCATCCTTGAGAGTTGAGCGTGCGGCCACCCCGGGGACGACGTCCGATTCGGAATGGCAGCAGATTGGTCAAACCAAGCTCTCCTTCATCGGCCAAGTCAGTGGAAGTGAGTGAGGATAGTGCACTTTCCATGTATGGACCTGCCATGTTTGGCTAAGCCTAAACATCTTTACGTAGTGTAAATTGCCCGAGGGTGGTTCCCCCGCACGGCCGGTGCATGAATGTAATCGTCTTTTGGTTCCTGACAGGTGAGATAAGGTTTTAGCGACGAGCCGCACAAGTTGCCCCAACTATTCTGCCCCCTCATGACAGCATCAGTCAGCCTCATTCACGGAGGGGAAGGGGGGCGGTGGCTTTTTTTTCGGGGTAAATTGTGCTGTCATGGAATTGAAGGGTTGTCTTGAGCAGGGGTCCCTTTGACGTCGAGTTATCTTGTCAATGCCAAGCACGGCAGGCGTTTCTTCATCATCTCGCCAATTAACCAATAGCCAACAAGCAATATCGTGACCAACTACCCTCAGTGGCGCAGGTGGCGCGGTGCAGAACTGGGCAGCTGAAAAGAGGTATAGATGGCAAGATGGAAAATCAAAAAAGACAGCCCAGAACGTGGCTTTTTTTCATCACGTCGGCTGGGTTAGCTTTCGCTCGGGCGTGGAACGTGTGAGTGCGAAGGTCTCTAGCCAGCTGGAGACTCCATCAATGGCTGGTCCATTCTCCATCGCTATGCACCCATTGTCAGCGAACCCATTCGTTTCAACATGTACAAGGTGTTTCCTTGGCCTCAGTTCTCAGAGCCGCCGGAGAATAACGGCCGCATTCTCATCTCCGGATCTTGGAACGTCCTTTGGGACAGGCTAAGCTGTCTTGGGCAGGCCGCGACAACGGACGATTGTCACCACGGCCCCCCCTTGAATCCACAACGGCCCCGTTGTGACGTTGGGGTGCATTGCATTAATGTATCCGTAGAATTAACTTGACTATTAGTTAAGTTGGGCTCCTTTTCAGATGGGACCGGGGTGTTGTCCTGACAGAAAACGGACCCAAGGCGAAAGAAAGACTGACTATGCTGCTTCAACTCATGGCAGAAATGATCAGGATGACTCCTCATAAAAACAAGACGACCAAGATGGCCCGTCCCAGCTCGAGTGACCGCTATCATCAAACTGTACCTTCCGTATTTGTCGCAGCCGTTGGGGCGCTGGCTTGGCGACAGCTGGGGGGCGTTATCGCCCTATCAACGAGGTTGCTTGGTACAACAACACTTTTCTTCTCTCTCCGAATCATGGAGACATTTTTGAGGACCCCATCACAATAGTTAGAAAAGCCATCAAGGTGAAACATGAAAATCCACTCGGCTCATAGATCGGTCCTGACTCACGAGAGAGCGAGACTACGAGCAATACCGAAACTACGGGCGACGAATAAACGTGCTGTAGCTCCATCTACTCCGTAGTTCAAAGTTAGTTGCTCGGCTCACGCACCTGGTATCTTGACCGACGAGACGGTCGTCGTCTCCGCCATGGCTCCTGTCTATCATTGTGGTCAACAAGTGACGCATGTAGAAATCCACAAGCGCGCCGTGTGTTCGGTGCCTCATCCAACGTCCGACGGGCCAGCGTCCCTTGGCGAAGCCGCAGGTGCAGCCGTAGTCGGCGCATGGGCCTTGATCAAACATGCCCATGAGGCTGATCTTAGCCTTCCGCTGCACGGCAAGATGGAATAAACTATTCTTGTCACCAACAACAGGACGCCGTTGGTCCCTCTCTCGGCCGGGGCGGGGCGGGGGGGGGCGCGCCGCTCCGGACTTTCAGACCTCGCGTGCTAGCCCCGAAGAGGGAGCTGCTCACCCCTACCCGAGGCACACTAGGCTCCGGCAGTTAGTTTATTAGAGTGCAGCATATTGGAACGATGGCGCTTGCGGATTTTTGGGGAGGCTCTCCTTTTGCCTCTGCTTGCGGCGCCGCGCCCAACAGGACAACCCGGGGGCTTAGTTGTGTCCATGATGCCGGCGACGCGACCCCAAGCCCGATGAGGAATCCATGTTTCAATGACAAACAAGATTGTCCGGGGCCTTTTGTTCGCGTGCAAAGATGCAGAGCTGAGGGGCCTCGGCCGCGTCGCCACGCCGCTTTGCTGACGTGGCGCGAGTTGTCGCCGGTCGTCCCTTGGTAGGGGCCGGAACCGAAGCTCGGCTTCTGGGATGGGGTTGATTGATAATGGGTGCGGGCATCGAGCGACCTCGGGCGGATCTCCCGCCAAAATCTACCTCCAAGCGAGCAAGAAGGGTAACTAACGTTTGCCACGACTGACGACGCGGCCAATGAATGGTACTATACATGCATGGCGCACGACATTGTCACAGCTCGACCGATCAGCCAGTCTGCGATCAAGACTGAATTTCTGGGTTGAGTAACCTGGTTTCTTTTTGTCTTCTTTGTTCTTCTTTTCTTTTTCCACGCCACATGACACTCAATCAAGGAGGGTCCTGCAGATGTGTCAACTGCAATTATACTCATCTATTAAAATGCTAATTAGAATACTTTTTTGCCCCCCAAACAATAAGAATCAGCCTAGCCTTGCGATAAAAGTCAGCTATTGCTTCGCCGCAGCTTCCCTCTCTGCTTGCTTCTTGCTCTGCTCCTCCTCGAGAATCTCGCGCTCTCTCGCCGCCGCCTCGCCGACCGCCTTGACGCCCTTGGCCCGCTGACGTGCCTCGTACATCTCGCGGCTCTTCATGATGCGGTCGACGATCTGGCCGGCGTTGACGTGGGCGAAGTCGTGCGCGCCGACCTGGCGGTAGACGCCGAGCGCCTTGGGCGCCGTGTAGGGGTCGTACGTGAGCGGCATGAACTTGGTAGGGCCGTGGTAGACGGCGCTGGGCGTGCCCCATGGCAGGTTGGTGAGGTAGGGCTCGGTGGGAGTGAAGGGGGCGCCGAAAACGACGGCATTGATGTACTGGGTACCTCTGTCAGCAACGTGGGAATCCTGTCTGGGAAGGGTGAGAGGTGGCTTACCTTGCATTGCAGCACGCAGAGGCCGCGCTCGTAAATGTTCATGATTGGATAGTTGACGCCCTTCCATGAGTTGATGACATCGTCGTCATGCACACCGACAACAACATATGCAGGTCCATAGTCCTTGCCGGTAGCCTCTTTGCGCTTGGCGGCTGCGTCTTGGCTGAACCAGTCCGTATCTTTGGCGAGCTTATCTTCATCCAGGAGAACGTTGCGCAGGAATTCGATATGGCCGCTAGAGAACAAATCATAGCCACCGTCTACATACACTATGCGCTGGCCAGGCTGAGGCCCAGGTCCCTGCAGGAACCGGCTAAACTCGCCCTTTTCAAGCGCGGTCGCCTCAGACTTGGCCTCGAGCGAGGCGCGCCAGAACCAAATCTCGGCACCGGGCGCCTTGGCGGTCTCATCAGTCGCATACAGCGCCAGCCTCTCATTCATGGCCTTGGCCGTCGCCTTGCGCTCCTCGTCGGTGCCGCCGCCCTCGACGCCCGCGAGGACGTCCTCGAGGGACTTGATGAAGTGGGTGCGGGTGCAGAGCAGCATGCGGCCGACCAGGTCGGTGGTGGAGATGCCCGGGGAGCGCTTGACGACCTTGAACCGGCCGGCCTCCTTAACGAAGCGGTAGCAGTCGTTACCGTCGCTGTCCGAGGTGATGTCGTCGCCGTGGACGACGTACTTGCAGCCAAAGTGGGAGATGTAGGGCAGCTCGGTGACGTAGGGGGCGTGGCCGACGGAGCGGGTGACCCAGCGGCAGGCGTCGGTGGCGGCGAGGCGCTCCTTGAGGTTCATGACGGTCGGGCCCTTGTTGGCCATGATGTCCTCGTCGGAGTGGACGCCGCAGTAGAGCTCGTTGCCGAGCTGACGGGCCTGAACCATGGCGCCTGCGTGGCCTGGATGGTGGTGTGGACGCGGTTAGAGATTGCCCGCTGCGGCTGCGGCTGCGGGTGGAATGTTGGTGTGTGAGGCTGGAGACAGACACAAGGACGTACCGTGATGGAAAAAGTCAAAGCAGCCGTCGACCCAGATGCGGCCATCAAGGAGCTCTGGCGCAGGCTCGCCAGGGGGCGGGATGGTATTTGGCGCACTCATGGTGGGATGAGGTGCCGAGGGGGAGTCGGGGTAGATTGGGGAAGCTTGATGGCGGTGCTTCTGGGTTGATGGGCGCCTCTGGAGGAGTGACTTGGTGGTTAAGCCTGATGATGAATGCAAAGCCTCGATTGAAGCCGGAAATGCATACGGATGTACAATGTATGAAAATGGAGGAATACAAGGATCTCAGAAGCTCCCAATAGCTCCCTCCCTTGATCTCGACGAGGGGCAGTTGAGATTGGCCCCACTCTAGTTAGCATTTTGTGATTTTATGGCGGGTTCGTGGCCTGTGACAATGGCAATCCAGGCCACGTCATAGGGGTCATAGGGGTCATAGGGGGGCTTTGGCTTTGGCGGTTGTCTCACAGAGGGAGTTGTAGGGTGAGTTAGTGGCCGCCGTCGCCCCAGATTAGCGGCACGTTGGTGCTGTAAGCGCTGGGTAACCATCCGATGAAGGCATGACAGGCCACAGAACTTCCGTCGGTAGTATGAGGCCGAATTAAAAGCACTTGACAAGTCTCAGCTGCCGGATTCATGAGGAATATTCCAGATTGCAAGTGACTTGTGGCGGTTGTCAAATATGCAGCCATCGCCATTTGTCCGCATCGCAGGGCCAAGTCGTGACTCTGCAGTGCTTGGACGGCTGTCCTCTGGGGAGTTGATAATTACTAATTACATGTTAATCGTCGTGTAGTTACGGATTCGATGAGACATGCCTTGGAACCGATCGGATACCTATCCTGGCAGACCCTATCCGCGTCAACCCTCCCTACCATTCATCACGCCACGTTTCGCATTGCCAGTCTAGAAATAGTTAGCAGGCTTGATCTTGTGCAGGCACTGCCACGGGTAGGCGAGTGCGAGTGCGAGTCCAAGTAGATTGCGTGCAGTAAGGCTGCGCGATGTGTTTGGAATCCAGCCTGACCTGGCCTCAACCTCGTGAACGAATTTCCTATTTCGTAAAAGTTGCAAAGAGACTGCCACGCAACTCTTCACGCGCCAAGATTCAGCCCTCGCACTCGCAAAGTGACACAAGATTGTTAATAAGTAGATAGAGAGAAAAAAAACTATAAAGAAGCTGCAGTTCCGGAGCATGTAGCACTGGGCTGTGTTGGAACTCAATAGTCCGCTCTTCCTTTCGTCAACTTTTCTCTTTTGACTAATTCACCATGGCCGCTGCTACCCGCCCGCCCGCCAACGCCTTCGTCGCGACTATGCGCAGGGTATACAACCCGATTGGCTTCGGCAAGGGCTACAACTTCGTCCTGTGGTTCATCTTCTGCGGCGCCCTCTTCGGCTTCTGCCTCGCCCGCTTCATGTACCTCGACTTCGGCAACGTCTACTGCCCGTTGGACGACGCCGGCGGCCCCGACTCGGCCGGCCCGGGCGAGTGCTACTCGTATCGGACGCATTCGGTCTACCTGGTCGGCATCAAGCTGCATCTCTTCACCATCATCCCCGGCGCCTTCCTGGCGTGCTTCCAGTTCGTCCCTTTTATCCGGCTCAACTACATCCTCGTTCACCGCGTCAACGGATACTTGGTCCTCCTGCTGAGCGTGGCGGGCACCGTTGGTGCTCTGATGATTGCGCGCGTCGCGTTTGGGGGTGGCATCGAGGTCCAGACGGTCACAGGGCTGCTCGCCATCATGTTTCTCTTCTCCCTGGGCACTGCCCTGTACAACATCAAGAAGCTGCAGCTGGAGCAGCACCGCGCGTGGATGCTGCGAGCCTGGTTTTATGTATGACTGCTTTCTTTTGCCGGAGCGCCTCCACGCTGGCTAACACTGTATAGGCCGGAAGCATCATTACTTCCCGAATGATCATGATCATCAGCGCCATGATCATCTCCAATGACGGCCCGTACTATGAGCCGATGAGCTGCGCCAAGCTCGCGACGTTCTACAACAACGTCACAGCTCTGGAAGCCTCCCACCCGGCTTGCGTTGACCCTTCGGCATGGTCCATCGCCCGGGCCAGCATGTCGGGGGGAGCAGAGAACGCCGCTGCGTCGCTCAGCCTCACGTTCGGAGGCGGTGTGTGGTTGGCGCTGGCGATACATGCTATCGGAGTGGAATTTTATGTGAGTGCGGCCCCAACCCGCAGAAATAAAGAAACAAAAGGGAGAAGGCCTAATCAATTTCAGCTGCAACTTACACCGGCCGAGAGTGAGAGGCTTCGAAAGATTTCGTACCAGCGTCAGTTAGAAGCCGGATTCTCGAAACCAGGTCGTGCAGGCTCGACCGCGGATCGCCTTGGTGATGCCATCCTCTGGAGTCCCCAGTCCCAGTCGGCTACTTCCACCTATCTCGGCGAATTGGCATCGGAAGACGGCAAATAGAAAGCCTGCCTTGCTTGACTTGCTTGCCTTGTCACGATACATTAAATACTTGTAGCAGTAATTTTAAATCCGTGCGTACTTGACCACAAGGTAGCGAATCGTTTGTCAGTGAGGAACAGCAGAACAGCACGTCATCTGTGCGCCTTCTAGATTTGGCTTCCGGGTACCGGGACCGGGGCGCGGGGGGTTCCTGGGATGCAGCTCCGCGCGGCGAGCCCCGGAGTTGCGTCGCCGTCGGGTGACGCTGCGGGCCAATTTCTTTAGTGCGTTTTTTTATTATCCCGTCGAGGGGTAATAAGGCGGGGAAGGCAGGTCTATGAACTTGGCATTCTGCTCGCCTGTACTTGTTCTTACCCTTCCTCCTCAAAATCACTTTTACCCGCCGCCGTCAAGATGCCTCTAACCAGCGACTCCGTCTTCCAAAAGCCCGCCCGGGACATGTATAGGTTCGCCTCCCGCCGGAGCGTCGTCCACAGTACCGAGGGCATCGTTAGCTGCACCCAGCCCCTAGCCGCCAAGTGTGGCCTGGAGGTTCTACGCGCGGGGGGCAATGCAGCGGTATGTCCAAAAGAACGAAACCATTTTAAAATTTTCTTTTTTTTCTAACATATCTCTAGGACGCCGCTGTTGCGGTCGGTACGTCACCCAACTTCTGCTAACACGCGACCACGACGCTAATGTGAGCTGCCAGCCGCCGGCCTGAACCTCACGGAGCCTTGCTCGACCGGCATTGGCGGCGACATGTTCATCCTGTTCTGGGACGCCAAGGCCAAGCAGGTCAAGGCCATGAACGGCTCCGGCCGCTCTGGCGCGCAGTACACGCTCGAGCACGTCCGTGGCAAGCTCGGCCTCAAGGATGGCGAGGCTGGGGCGATTCCTAAGCAGAGTCCCTTGTCCATCACCGTGCCGGGCGCCGCGGCCGGCTGGGTCGACACGGTCGACAAGTTCGGCAGCGGCAGGGTAGACCTTGCGCGAATCCTCGCACCGGCGATTGAGCTCGCCGAAAAGGGATTTCCCGTGTCTGAAGATGCGGCCTACAGCGTCAGTCAATTCCACCACTCTCCCGCGCGTCTGTCAAGCTAACACCCGTTCGCAGTGGATGGCCTCGGAGAAGCAGATCCGCAACGCGTCGCCCAACTTTGCCGAGATGCTCAAGAAGGACCCCTCGGCCGAGGGCGGGGTGCGCGCCCCGCGTCCCGGAGAAATCATGAAGAACCCGACCCTCGCGCAGACCTTTCGCCCCCTCGCCGCCGAGGGCAAGACTGGCTTCTACGGCGGGCGCATCGGCGAGGCCATCGTCAAGGTCGTCCAGGACCTCGGCGGCGACCTGACCCTCGACGACCTGCAGCACCACCTCGAGCAGGGCAGCGAGCCCGTCGAGCCCATCTCGCTCAAGTTCCGCGGCCAGGGCCAGGAAGCGGGCGTCGAGCTGTGGGAGCACCCGCCCAACGGCCAGGGCATCGTCGCGCTCATGGCGCTCGGCATCCTGCAGGAGCTGGAGAAGCAGGGCAAGATCCCGACCTTCCGCCCCGAGGACGTCAACACCGCCGCGTACCTGCACGCCGTCATCGAGGCGCTGCGCATCAGCTTCGCCGACGGCAGCTGGTTCGTGGCCGACCCCAACGTCAGCGCCGTGCCGGCCGCGGAGCTCATCTCCGAGGCGTACCTCGCCGAGCGCGCCAAGCTCTTCGACCCTGCCAAGGCCTTTGCGACGGTCTCGCACGGCGACCCGGCGGCGACCGCGTCCCCGGCGCTGCGCAGCAGCGACACGGTGTACTTTGCCGTCGCCGACGCCGAGGGCAACGCGGCGTCGTTCATCAACTCCAACTACGCCGGGTTCGGCACCGCCGCGATCCCCGCGGGCTGCGGCTTCACGCTGCAGAACCGGGGCGCCAACTTCTCGCTCGCGCCGGGCCACGCGAACGCGCTGGCGCCGCGCAAGCGGCCCTACCACACCATCATCCCGGCGATGGCGACGAACTTGGCGGACGGCTCGCTGCACTCGGCGTTTGGCGTCATGGGCGCGTTCATGCAGCCGCAGGGCCACGTGCAGGTGCTGCTGGGTCAGGTGGTCGGGCGGCTGACGCCGCAGCAGGCGCTGGACGCGCCGCGCGTGTGCGTCGGCGCGGGCTACGACGAGCCCGGCGCGGGGGGCGGCTGGGTGGTCAGCGTGGAGGAGGGCATGCCGGAGGAGACGGTGGAGGGGCTGAGGAAGCTGGGGCACAACGTGAAGGTGGTGTCGGGGCGTGGTCGCTCGCTGTTTGGGCGCGGCCAGATCATCCGCTACGTGGTCGACCCGGTTGACAAGACGCCGCTCTGGTCGGCGGGGAGCGATCCTCGTGGTGACGGCGGTGCGTATCCTTTGTGAGTAGAGATCGGCAACCTGGGAATATCCCGCAAAACGAATATAGATTGGCGAGTCGCTCGTGTGTAAGCATGATAAATTTCTGGTCCCGCCATCAACGGCGTGCATATTGTACAAAAAGAATCGTCTGCTGTTTTACATGTATTCCACTCGTTCTATATCCTCAACTCAAGTCCTTGTATTGTATTCCTCTTCGTTCGAATTTTTGTCGCCTTTTTGTCGACTTTACTTTACTCCTCGCCCTCGACGACCAGCTTCTTCTCCTCCAGCATCTTGGCCAGGTCGCCGTTCTTGTGCATCGACACCAGGATGTCGCAGCCGCCGACAAACTCCTTCTCCACGTACAACTGCGGGATCGTCGGCCAGTCCGAGTACTCCTTGATGCCCTCGCGCAGCTCCGAGTCCTCGAGCACGTTGAACGCGGCGAACTTTTCCGGGTTGACGCCCTGCACGCCGAGGATCTGGATGGCCGCGCGCGAGAAGCCGCACTGGGGCGTCTCGGGCGTGCCCTTCATGAAGAGCACCACGGGCGCGGAGCCGACGGCCTCTTCGATGGCCGCGCGCGTCTTGTCGGACAGCAGGCGGACCTGCATCGGCGTGAGGAGGGGGAGCTTGGGCGTCGTGGTCGTCGGGCGGAAGCGGCTGAGGGGGGCGGCGCCGCGCATGGCCGGGCGGGCGGCCTGGCGGCTGATGTTCTGCAGGTGAAAGTTAACGGGAAAGACTCTTCGACGGTAGAAAGTCTTGAGGACGTGCGTACCAGGGCTACTGAGCGAGCAAACATGGCGGCTGTGTGATGTTGTGGAGTGGCAACGATGGAGGTCGGCGAGCTTTGCGCAAGAAAAGCTGCTGATTACGGCCTTCTGGGTAGAGCCGACGGGAGGCGCTGACCAATCAGCGTTGGGGTGACTACTGTGTTGTGTAAGCCGACAACGGAACAAGAACGCCACGGGCAGCGTACCAAGTGTGTAATTGGGTAATTTTGGAGATTTTCCTTCAAGAGCTTCTTTCTGTGTCGGCGAATAATCAACCAGATTTTTGGTATGTAGTTCAATTGACTTGTTGGGTCGGTGGACAGCTGCGAGTCGACGCCTGAGGAACGCAGCCTTTGGCCCGGCTTGCCAGCTGCCGACTCCCGTTTGCTCCAGCAATGCTTGTTTTCGACAAGTACTCGGTCATTGGTTCATCTTCAACAAGAAATCAGCCAATAAACAGAATGGCTTCCGTAGCAAATGATGGCTCACAGCACACATTCCTATCCCTGCGAGCCAGGCTGCGCACTCCCGAATGTCCCTCGCAGCAATTCTCTGGGCGGGTTTCCAAGGCGGCACACCTGGACGGATCGAAAATGCAACAACATCTGCAGCGCGAGTTTTGCAAGATACTGGCTGCGCATCTGAGTCTAGAAAAACAAAATGATAGAGCTTCAGCCGGCGAAAACTATGTGTTGCTGGAACAGCTTGCAAGTAGGTGCTGACGGCCGGACGGGTGTCCTTCATCTAACCTGGCCAGAGTCTCTCGCTGCGACGGGGTCAAATCTGCACAATCAAAGCACAATCGGGATCCAAAATGCCAGCGAAGCCATTCGGAGAAAAATCGACGAGTTGAAGCGCGAATCGACTGCGGCGCTGACGACGAGCACCAAGCTATACCAGATCATGTCGCAGCCGCTTGCCGAGCGCGCAGAACAAGGCAGAGATGAGGAAGAGGATACAGTAAATGATCACTTGATACTTCTACATGAGGAATCTGCCAACGCCGATGAAAAAGTGGAATCCCTCCACGAACAGTGGCAAGCCTGCGTGCGGACGGAGCAGGAGGCGTGGAAGCGGCTGACGGACGACCACGACGCGCCGCAACAAGAACCGGAATTGCACAACTTGATAGACGCCATTGAAGAGATTGTGAGAAACGGAGAGCGAGAAATTAACACTATTGAAGAGGTAAGTATGGGGATCAGAGCCGAGCATGCAATTCGGCTGACTTGTGGAGGAATATGCCGAGTACATACAGATTGAGAGCCTCAAGGTAATGCAAACGCTGATGGAGGGCTAAGAATGTCACGTATCATCTTAAGAGTAAAGAACAAACACTTGAGCAAGGACGATGGCATGGATTTCATCATATATCATTTTTGCTATATACGTTTAGCTGTATCATGCATCATCGTTCTTCTGTCAGCCCGTTCTATCGGCATCATGTTTGTATCCCAGTCCAGTAACTCCAGCCGATGTAGGCTATAAACCTCTAGCAATAGCAAACAGTTTTTCTACCTGCAAAATAAACAAAGGAAAAAAAGTCATTCGAGAGAAATTAGCCGAGATCAGCAGCAAATTACTGAGCCTTTTCATTGACGACGACACCCCACTTGTGAGAGACGTTGCCGTACATGATGTCGCCGATCCAGGTCTTGATCTTGGTGGTGACCTCGCCGGCCTTGCCCTCCGGTCCCATGGGGATGTTGATGTCCTGGTCGCGGTGGTGGATCTGGGAGACGGGGCAGATGAAGTACGCGGTGCCGGCGGCGAAGGACTCGAGGATGCGGCCCTCGGCGTCAGCCTCAACAAGCTCGTCAATAGTGTACTTGCGCTCCGTGACCTCGACCTCGCCGGCCAGTCTCTCGCGGGCCAGCTCGACCGCCGAGCGACGCGTCACGCCATCCAGGATCAGCTTGTCGTCCAGCGGCGCCGTGATCAGCTCCTTCTTGCCATCGCTCTTGCGCTTCCACAGTACGAAGAAGTTGGACGCGCCGGCCTCGGTGCACTCGCCGTTGGGCCCGTACAGCCACAAAATCTGGTGGTATCCCCTTCGGCGGGCGTCGGCGGTGGCCAGCAGCGACGGGCCGTAGTTGGCGCCGACCTTTGCGTAGCCGAAGCCGCCGACCCACGCGCGCACCATGTCCTCGGGCGACGTGTGCAGGCGCATGCCGCCCGGCGGGCTGTCCATGCGCGGCATGTACGTGACGATGACGTACAGCAGCGCCTCGCGCGGCGCCTGCACGCCCAGCTGCGACTGGGTGCCGATCAGCGTCGGGCGCAGGTACAAGAAGCGGCCGGGCTGGTCGCGCGGCAGCCACCGCGGGCCGTCCACTTCCAGGAGGGCCATGATGAGCTTCTGCAGCTCGGCGGGCGGAAAGGTGGGCAGGGAGATGCGGCCGGCGGACATGTTCATGCGGGCGCAGTTGCGGTCGGGCCGGAAGACGCGCAGGCCGCCGTCGTGGCCGCGGAAGACCTTGAGGCCCTCGAAGCACTCGGTGGCGTAGTGCAGGCAGGAGGCGGTGGGCATGAGGCTGAGCGGGCCGTAGGGCTTGAGCTCCGGCGCGGACCAGCCGGAGGCGGCGGACCAGGAGGCGAGGACCATGTGGTCGGTGGCGATGGTCTCGGTGCCGGCGTTGGCGACGGCCTCGTCGGGGACGGCGCGCGGGTTCTGGGTGTAGGTGTAAGTCAGGCGGGAGGCGTCGAGCTGGGCGAGGACGGGGGTCGTCTCGGCGGCAGCGGCGGCCTCCTTGCGCTCGACGGCGGCGGCCGTGAGGTTGACGTCCTGGGCCTTGACGGCGGAGGGAGACATTGTTGGTTGTTTGCGGTTGTTGGGTGGAAGGGTTGTGAAGGAAGGTTAGGCGATGAGGCGTGTGGAATTGAACGAAGTGGAAAGAGAGTCGATTGGAGAACACAACAGCGACTTGACAGAGGAGGTGATGAAAAGTAAGAGAAGAGGAAGAAAAAAGTCGGAAGCGGAGGGGCGAAGTTATTAGTTTCTGAGTCAAGACAGAAGTCGAGGGGGGGGTGGATATCGGCGGGCTCTGGCGACGGGGCGGCGTGGAAAAAAAGAACCTGGCCTATGCGGATAGGGGGGGGGGAGTAGGTTAATCTCCACTTGAAGTTGTACCGGCTCAAGGAGGACGGATAGTTGGGATGCAAGATTGCGGATTGTTGATTGTGGTTTTGCGTGAACCGTGCCTCCGAGACGTAAAATATTGGAATTGGCAGCACCTGAGGAATTGCGTTGTCTGGACGCTGAAGTTGTGCAATCACCGTGTGACGGGCCAAGTGAGAAAATGCGGGAGGACGTGGTGCTAAATAGTCTACTATAGTCAGACCCTTCCGATGGTGTTTTTCTTCGGAGAGTTGTTTACAATGGCTGTTGGCAAGCTGCCGGTCACAGCGAACAAAAGGGCGGTCGGTAGGTGCAATGACGCAAACAGGAAGGGGAACCGTGGCCATGTGAGCCAATGCGCCACAAAACATGTTGAACCCAGCAGCAATGCGATATCACTAGTGGTTCACAGACCAGTGGTTACAAGGGGGGAAGGGGGGGCCACATGACTTTCAAAGTTGAAGCTTGTTGAGCCGAAGAGGGCGAAATGGGGGAAGTTGGACAAGAAATGGCCCGCCGCTGCCCGCCAACCCGTAAAGCCGCCCCGCCTGGAGCAGCCGCCCCGGGCCGGTGCATGTTGTGAACCAACGGAGGAAGACACGGCTTGCACGAGGAAACATCTGTGACGCGGGTCTACAAGAATGAAAGAACTAGCTAGTAAAGAAAGAACAATTGAATTGGCGGCTTGCTCTCAACTCAATGGATGCTCTGCGTCAAGGCGCACCATGTCTCGCCGCTCCCGGCCTAGGGCGCGCGTGCCCTTATTAATTCGGCGCGCGGCGGCGCGGAATGGCCCCGGACAGTGTTCTCGGCGGGCTTCCAATTACTATGCCGTGCCGATGTCGCAATGTGGATGCACAGTTCAGGTAGTCTCATACTCCCCGCATATAGATTGCATCCCCCGCTATATCTAGCAGAACAGCAAGCAGCCCAAATCTACCGAGTCTCTGCTGCCCTTTCCAAATCAAGTCAAGTCCAGCCAAGCTGGCATGGATTATCTTGCATTTGCATTTGCATTTACATCGTCCCCCTTTTTTTTTTTTTTGTCTTGGTTGCCAAGCTAGAGATTGACATCTGCGCCCTGCCAAAACTCCGAGGTCTATTCGAAGCCACTCCCCCATCCTCCATCCCCCACAACAATGCTGATAATGCCCCCTCAAGGTGGGCGGAAAGGCGCCAGCGACACGCCGGGGATAGCCGAGTCAGCTCAGCACCACCATTGATCCTCTTTGAGCCGAGCTCGGAAGGGCGTGACGAATCCTACATTCTGCAGCGCTACATTCTGCCAGCACCATGGTGTAAAATATTACACCACACTTCCCCAGTGTCCAGTCTCTTGACCCGCTATGCATTGGCTTTGCTCATATTCCGACACACCTCAGGGTTTCTCTCTCGCTCCATTCAACGCGCTGGTGCTCCAAACGCTGAGCTGCTGATAATTGAGAACACCCAGGAGAGCCAACAGAGCACCGGCGCACAGTCTTGGACAAATCACCAGAAGAAAAAGAAAGAAAGAAAAAATACATGGCACATCGATAAAAAGCTTTTCGTTTGGCTATATACGTTCTCGTCTGGTCATCTACACAAACCCCCACCTCCGCTTCCTTAGACAAAGTTGACGGTGCCGAAATACTTGGAAATGTGAAAGCTCGCCTTGTCCGGCACGCTCCACGCGCCCAGTTGCTGATCCGGGAACGTCTCCGGGCTGACCACCGTGCGGAAGAAGTTCATCCGCCACCTCGTCCCCCTCGCCTTGCCCTCGTCCACGTTGAACAGCCCCAGCGGGATGCTCACCTCGCTCCTCCACGTACCCGCCTGCTTATCCAGCGTCGTCTTCGCCGCGAACCCGTCCGCCGCCGGGTCGCTGATGAAGGCGTGGTCAAACGGCGCGCCGGCCGCGCGCTCCTTGGACGGGTTGTACACGAACGCCTGGTAGGTGACGTTGTTGGGGCTGACCTCGAACTCGAGGTAGGTCTGCGGGTCGGCGTCGCCGCGGTGCAGGAAGGCCTCCATGACCTCGTACTGCCAGATGTCGCCGTTGGTGGTCTGGGCCGGGTCGAAGTAGAAGCTGCGCTCGTCGCGCGCGGTGAAGGCGAGGTGCAGAGCGGTGGAGGTGTAGCAGAGGTCGACCTGCGTCGCGGGGAAGGGCGAGCGGTCGGGGACGCTGCTGTTGAAGAGCACGGTGCCGACGGCGGGGCACGCGGGGACGTCGACGTGGGGGAGCTTGCAGTTGCTGCTGGCAGTGGCCAGGCCGGCGGCGGCGGCGGAGGCGAGGATGGTTGAGCTGCGCATCTCGAGGTCGTGCTGAGGCGGGCTTAGGTGAGGACTGGTGTCTCGAGGGGTCGACATTGGTGGTGGTGGTGGCCCTGGCGAGCTATTTGTACATGGGGTTTTTCCAGGTAAGCTGATTAAATTAATGTTGGAGTGTCAATCTACGAGAGGGGGCTCTCTACAAGGGAAAATTAAGTGTTGAATGACAGTGCCTAGCATCTGTCCGCCGGCGCGTTCCTGAACAGGAACAGTGGCGCGACCGTGATGTGACGTTGCCGCAATCAGCTAGACCAGCTAGAGGCATCGTCAGCACCATGTCCTGGTCGCTAGGTAACAATCTAATCTAACATTCTCTCCTGGTGCAAATGAGAGCAACGGAATGAACAAGCCACAGCGCCAGTTATACGAAGCTGTAAACGGGGTCGGCAACTATGTATATATGCAGGCTGGCAGCTGGCGTTTGTTTGCCATGATGGCTTGCAGCGTTGATGACGCTGTGGAGGGGCCACCGACTGCATGCACCACTCCATGTATGTATGTATGTATGTAACATTACGGCCTGCAATCTAGTTACCTACTGCGAGCTGAGCTTGTGCGGGGAAATGGTCGGTCCAGTGGTGGAGAGAGAGTCTGCGGCCCTTCCATTGTTTCCAGAGGGAAAAAAGCCAGGGAAGAAAAAGGGCCCTTGTACCTAAATCACAGCAAGGCTGTTATCACAGGCCAGGCTGTGGAAATCTGAGCAATTGCCGTTGGGGCTATGTATCTACTCACCGCCGTTGGTCATGCTTATCATGTCAAGTTGCAAGTGCAACAGCTAACGCAGATGTGTAACCAATTTGCCGAGTCGTTCCCTGTCCAGGGCCAGATGCCCTGCGAGAGTGGTACCTCCACCATATTCGCGGCGCAGATCGTTACGGGCCCTTCCTCTGGCGAGTGCCTACCCTGGACCTCCGGTTCGTGACACCTCCCCCCTGCTTCCCTCATCAGTCCCCAGCTCCGCTCCCAACCCTCAACAACCTCATCACAAAATTCTTCGCTCGCCCGGAATACTCGTCAGTAAGCCCTCCTCGAGGACATCGACCAGCACTGGCAACCCCTCCACCACCACCCGTCATGTGGCGACGGCAGGACACCCTCACCGCCAAGAAGCAGACACTATCAAGCAGACCCTGGACGCCAAAAATGCAACTCGAGCGTCCGCGCCCGGCTTCACAACATGTTGATGCGGTACTCCGACATCCGCCATTCCGAGCAGGACATGCGACTTCGGAATGCAGCCTTGTGCCCGTAACCTTCGCGAGTGTTCTACCGAGCCCTACCATGTCTCCCCGTGCTGCTGCGATGACTTGGGAGCAATTCACAGCGACGACTGTAAATCGCAAAACTTGGGGGAGAAATCTGCGTGAACCTTGTCGGAGTCCGGAAGGGATCGCGCAAGGCGGGTCAATTGATTGGCTGTTAAAAACCCGGGGAATATTCCAGTGCCAGAACCAGAGAGCCAGCGAAAACCTCACTCGGTCAGCAGCAGCACCACCACCGAGGAAATACCCCTCATTAGTAAAAAAACAACAACTCCTCATCAAAGTCATGCACTTGTCATGCACTGCAGAATCAATTTGAATCAGCCGCCAATCACCCCCCCCCCGGCTGTCGGGCTCAATCAGCCGCCAATCCCCCCCCCCCCCGGCTGTCGGGCTCCGAGCACCGTGCAATTCTCTGCCCCAGCTTGTCTAGTCGTCACGAGAGATGGTGTCATTCCGGCCGCGAGCACGCCAACACTCCGCCAAAGCACACCAATGCTCTCTCGCCCGTCCACGGCTGCGCGCACCGAAAATCAATGCACCCGGCTTCCGAAGCGCCCTCTCAGATTAAAAGTATCTCTTCCATAGTCTGCTCCTACATTATGTACTTGTCACGCGCGTGGATCCTAGTGTCGATAATCCTGGACGCCATAGTTGCAAGACTTACATGTAGCCCGTCAGTCAGCAGTGGAAAGGGTGCGGGCATGCGGCCTCCTTTATGTGCTTGAGCACAAGTTCCGAGGCCGGATGGAGAAGCAATCAGCTCATGCAGCATGGAATTGTACTGCGTAATGCCGATCGGGTGTAGCTGCTCGCGGGGGATATATATACTCCAGATCGCTTCCCCCGTCGGGCACCCATCCACCAACTTCTGAAGATACCCTCACAGGCAAATAATTCATCTTCCCTTATCAATCAAATCCAACCAACCAACTACACCACCTCATTTTGATCTCTTTCCCTACCTTCCTTCCCCCCTGCCTTCAACATGGCCGCCACGCTCGACGTTGCCCCCGGCCTCCGCGGCCTCCCCCGCGGCCTGCCCTACCACCAGCCCGTCGACCGCAAGGCCTTCCCCGACGGCCTGCGCACCAGCGGCCAGCACCCGCCCGTCGAGAGCCAGCTGCGCCCGTTCGAGGCCTTCCCCGCCGAGATCACCGGCCCGACCGTCTGGGAGGGCAAGGACGTGACCGCGCGCCCGGACGAGTGGACGCACCGCTGGACCGAGGGCGAGCTTAAGGAGCTCCTCCAGGCCGTCGACGCCTTTACCATCTCCGGCATCCCGCTGGTCAACATCAACAAGGTAGGCAAATCCCCTCACAAGACGGGCCATGGTTGTGGTGACTGACACGATCGACTAGCAAAACTTTCACATCCCCAACGTCACGAGGACGCTGCAGGCGGCCCGCCATGAGATCCTCAACGGCCGCGGCTTCGTGCTCTTCCGCGGCTTGCCGGTCGATGCGTGGGGCCGGCAGAAGGCGGCGGTGGCCATGATGGGCATCTCGGCGCACCTGGGCTACCTGCTGTCGCAGAACAAGCTGGGCCAGGTGCTGGGCCACGTCACCAACCTCGACGCCGACTACAAGAACTCGCTGGACAAGGTCAAGATTGCCGCCACCAACGCCGCGTAGGTTCCAGACTCTGTGATGCAATTCATCATGTTCGGAGGCTAATTGCAGGAAACAGCCAGCTGCACCACACCGACGAGGCTGACATTGTCGGGCTCTTGTTCTGCGCGCCGGGCGAGTCGGGCGGCTTGTCGGGCTGCGCGTCGGCGCACACGGTGTGGAACGCGCTCGTCAAGGAGCGGCCGGACGTGGCCAAGCTGCTGGCCTCGCCCGTGTGGTACGTCGACCGCAAGGGCGAGGTCACGGCCGGCCAGGAGCCTTGGATCAAGGTGCCCGTCTTCTACCTCGAGCCGGGCGGACAAGAGCGCGTCTACGTCAAGTAGGCTCTCCCTCGCCTCTCTCCCCGCAACTATGCTGACTTGCTTCACAGATGGGACCCGTACTTTGTCAAGTCCCTCACGCGGTACAGCGACAAGGGCCTCATCCCCGCGCTCTCCCCGGCGCAGCTCGAGGCCATGGCGGTGCTGGAGGAGACGTGCGTGCGGCACGGCTTCGAGTACGCGTGCGACGTGGGCGACGCGCAGTTCGTCTCGTGCTGCCAGACGTTCCACTCGCGCACCGCGTTCGTGGACGCGCTGCCGCCGAAGCCGCCCCGGCACCTGCTGCGCACATGGGTCGGCACGCCGGAGCACGAGGGCGGCTGGTGCCTGCCCTTCCACGACAGCTTCCACCCGAAGCGCGGCGGCATCCAGGTGGACAGCACCCCGCCGACGGCGGGGGGCGGGGGGGGGGGGGGAAACGGTGGACGGCGATGTCGGCGAGGGAAAAGGAGGGGAAAGCACTCTGCGTTGCTATGATGAAATGAACAAAAGCCAAGGGTTTGAGCCGGGCCATTATTAATATCTACCCAAAATTAGCATCATGTATTTAGCCTTTGATTTAGTTGTTGCTCTGCAATACACAGACTGTCAGATTGACGAAAGAATCCAGGTACCATGGATAGCTTAAGCTGATCAAAGCCAGCTATGATTATGATTTACGGGTTGAATGCTAGTAGCACCTTCGCAAAGTCCTAGCATCGATATCTGTGTCGGAAGTCGGCGTCTCGGCCTCGGTGTAGTTTGGTGCCAAGCGACCGCAGCCGGCAGTGAGGCCATCATGGCCAACATGAAACGCCTTCTAATCTCACGCAGCACGCAGTTCTCTACTAGTTTATAAGTTCATATTACTTGTCCCAAATCGGCGCCATCAAGCTGCGACAAACTGAACATGAGGCAGCCAGCTGCAAGGCACGTCCACCAGCAGGTTCACGACGAGGCGCCCGTCGGCGAGCAGCGCTCGGTGTCTTTGCATCAAACGCATCTCGGCCAACTATTGAGTTTCATGCAAACTACTCCGTAAAGCCGCCCGCACTCGCTTCTTACCATCGACGAACTTGGCGGAACAGCAACCCGCTGGGCGGAAGAGCACGTCAGTGCACTCATTCGAAACGCGAAACGCGAACCCCCCGCCCAAGGCTGCAGCCCCCTCGCCCACGACCAATTCACGTTTTAGTCGAAACGGCGTCGAACGGTTTAGGACAGATTGGGGCAAGGTCAGGGAGAAGAACGTCAGAGGAATAGTGCCCCAGGGTTGGATTGTTCTTCAAACGCATTGAGGAGATCGGAAGAGGGCCGTGATGTGCTGAGCCTGGCACAGGGCTGAGCCGGGCAAGCGACGTCGTGACGGGGCAGGTTCACCACCGATAGAGCGATATCAAAAAAAGAAAAGGTGCTCGGTCATGGAAGTAGGCCTGCGGTGGGATATAAACAAGAAGATTACGATGGATTTTAACCGCCTAGCACGAGGCACTCTGCGGTCCGTTACCTTTGGCCAACGGGCGGCGGCTTGGACGCAGACGGAGATTATCCGCCCTGTTTCAGAGGGCCTTGTGGCTTGCATTCGCCAAAACGATTGCCCCCTGAGGTGTTGCTGAGCACGGAAGGGAAGGAAAGGAAGGGAAAGGAAGAAGGAGAAAGACGAAAAAGAGCATCGTCGCGGGGGGGAAAAAGAAGAAGAAGAAGAAGAAGAAGAGCATGTTTTAGGCTGGAGCTCCTGCAGATTTTGGCTCATGGCTGAAACGGGGACGGACGGACAAGGCAAGGCAGCTGGGCGGGGTTGGAGGCGGGCCTCTGTCTACGGGAAACGTGGGCTTTGCATGTTGACCTGGGGAGGGAAGAAGAAATTGAACATTGAAACTGGTACGCCGAGAAACCCGGATGGACATTTCTCGCTGGCTCTAGTTGACAAACTGTTGCGGCGCCATTGTCCATGATGGTAACCGCCCTTGCATATGATGATGAGGGCTGGCTAAGAAATGACAGCACAGTATACATACATAGGTACAGTAGATGGGCTGGGGGCATTCTATATTTGGTTCCTGTCCTTGGTTGGACAGACAAAGGGACGGACGGGAGAGGAGCTGGCCGTCTTAAGCGCCCGTAAGTAGCGTACGGCGGGCAAACAAGTGGTGCCCGAAGAATGAGCGGAAAAAAAAAGAAGAAAAAAGAAAAAAAAAAAGGCCGACAGTTCTTGGCGAGTAGGAGAATTAATCTTGGTAAAAGATGGGGACAGAGAGAGAAGATGCGTTCTGCGTGCATGGGAATTATTACTACTCTGTGCGGAGATGAACCCCGGCTTCATTGTCTGCACACCGCATTGTCTCTGGGATGGGTATCTATTCGCATGACAACATGCCTGCTGTCTCAATCTGACGTGCAGCAGGCCGATATGTTGATCCGGAGGCCTAATGCCGGAGAGAGGGGTGGTGGTGGTGTGAGTGCACCAGCCAGTGTCTGTGTCTGTCTTCCCTTGTCCTTGTCCTTGTCCATGAAAACTTCTTGTCCTGGAAAAACCCCCCAGGGTGTGTGCGCTTTTTGTTCTATTACCAGGGTCGTCATCACAAACCGCGCTGCAGTCTCTTTCCCTCTTGGCCTTGAGGTCGTCAGGCTTCCCGACAATGTGGAATCCGGCATTGGTAAGCTTCGGCGCCGAACACGGTACTCTGTGGTGTGCGTCGGGCTTTTAGAACACCTGCACTCATACTAAGCCATGCAAGCTATCGATTCCATCGCTCCTTCTGTCAGATGAAAATAGATTCCTACCTCTTCTCCATCCAAGTAATCCATCTCCTCCGGCCGGGAATAGTTGCCGTTGCTCAAGAGCCCTTTTCTCTCCGGAGGAGCTGGCCGGGGGTTGCACCACCAACGAGACGAGCAAGCCACCAGCAACCGCCGACCTCCCCTCCCCTTCTACTAATAGCAGCAGCTTAGTAGCTGGGCTGGCTTGACTGGCTTCTTCCCGTCTTTCCTATTCCATGCTAGCTACTGTAGGTCCCTGTCCATCCATCGCTCTCACTTCTCGTTTTAGCGTCTCAGCCCAGCCCACACATATCTTACCGCTGGACTAGCTGGCTTGGTCTTGGACTTCCCCGCCGCCAGACCCCTCCCTCAATGTAAGCTGAGCGGGAAGAGAGAGGGAGAGCGACAGGAAGAGGCTGGTGGCTGCAGGGGGTGATTTCGAGCAAGAGGAGGCTCGTCAAAGTTTTTATCCCAAACGTCTAGGGCGAGGGCGAGGAACGCCCTGCTTGTCTGTGCTGCCCCGTACTACTGGTGCTTGGAGATATAAAGCAACCCCAGCCTCCTCTGAAGAGAACGACCAAAATCGGAAAGACTCCCAACCACCACCACATCAACGACCTTTCCTTCTTCACCATCATCTCCCCTCTGCTATCGAAATAGCAACCAACCCGTGAGGCTTATGCACAACCGCCCCCGCTCGCCAACCTCTCTTGCATACGCCCAAACTTTCTGCAAGCGCCCTGCCTTGCCCGAGTAACCCACACCCACCACCACCCCCGATAGTACCACGTTATTACACTGCAGCATTCTATTCTGGGAAACAAACGCCTCTCTTGCTACTGGTCGTTGCCCGTCACACCTGTTTGCCCGACCTTCCCGTACCTTGCCTAGTCTCGGAGCTCTCTCAACCCAGACTTACACACTTACCGTCTTGTATACTTATACCCGAGACAATCCTCTCCCAATTCGGCTTCGATCTCATCTCAACCATCTAAGACATACATTTCTTCCTTTTCTTTTCCTTTTTCTTTTTTCCTTGCCTCATCATTTCCATTACATATCAAGTCTTCTACTTCTTTACACATCAAGTCTTCTACTTCTTCCCTTGCCCGCCATGCTCTCCAAGTCTCTCCTCCTCCTCCTCGCCTCCGCGGCCTCTGTCCTCTCTGCCCCGGCAGCCTGTCCCGCGCCCAAGAGCGTCACTCCCACGCTCCCCTCCTCCGGCGGTGGTATGTCCTTCTCCATCCTTCTTACCTCACACAAACCTCACATTGCAACTCGACTAACACCACCCGCAGCCAAGGACCTCACCAACCCCCCCGAGGGCCTCAAGCTCCTCCACGTCGCCCTCGGCTTCGGCATCCAGAACTACACCTGCACCACCCAGGGCCCCGGCGCCGCCAACGCCACCGGCGCCCTCGCCGTGCTCTACGACGCCCGCCCGCTCTACCCCCTCCAAGGCGCCCGCTCCCTCCCCTCCACCGCCTCCTTCGCCGCGCTCCCCGGCTCCGTCCTCGCCTCCCACCCCGTCCCGCTCAACCTCGACAACTTCCAGAGCCGCGCCGACCCCTCCCGCCCCGGCGCCTCCCTCACCTCCCCGTTTCCCACCCCCGCCGACCTCACCGTCGAGGGCGTGGCGGAGCCGCTACGGTACATTGGCCACCACTTCTTCACCGACAAGGGCGTGCCGGCGTTCTTCGTGGACGATGGCGAGATTTTCTTGACGGCGAAGAAGGACGAGGCGGTGGACGCGCCGGCGGACGCCGACAAGGGCCCGGACGGGACGGGCGCGGTGGCGTGGTTGAAGTTGAGCGCGACCGAGGAGGCGAAGGGGCCGGCGAAGTTGGTGTACCGCGTGCTGACGGCGGGTGGAAACTCGCACGGCTGCGCGGCGGGAGTTGGTGAGGACAGCACCAGCTACACTGCTACCTACTGGTTCTACGGATAAGTATAGAGCGTGCTCTGCTGCGCCGGCTTGACAGATGGTGTTAGGACTTGGACGTTTGCCCAAGTCTTTCTTTTTTTCCTTTTCACTCGCTAGATACCTTTAATGTTTCTGCCCGCTCTGTTTTCTTTATACAGTGGGAAAAAAAAAAGGCAAAAAATGGGATGCGGGCATCAGTTTATTGTTTATTGCTTTCTTTGTTTTATATTTGCATCACACGGCTCGTTTGGCATATAAAGGTTTACAGTTTTCTTCTTTCCTTTTCACGTTTTCACGTCCTTTCATGACGGAAAACGAAGTCGTCGATCGCTAGAGTTGTACATAGCAAACATCAGAATTGTTCAAAGTCACTGCAAAAAAAGTCTCTAATCCCATCTTCCTTCCACTCGCGCTTCGCCGCGGTGTTTGCTCGTTCTACCACCGGCTGTTAAGATTGCAGTTGGTGGCAGTGGCTGACAGCTCACGTCGTCGAAACCCGGCGGCTATTCCACACCCAATAACATGTACACCATTATAACACCACTAGCATTGAACCCACCACCTTATGACTTGGCAGTTTTCTATGCGGAGATCATTTCTGGAATCCCATCTCTTGGCAAATCTTAGCCATTCCGCTGGCTGGTAAGCAGTGCCCTCCCAATGCCGGCGACAGTGACCCACCATCTCAGGTCGGGGCTATATGTATGCACCTGGCGGCTACGGAGATTGCACGATATCCATGTCACTTTGGTTCGCTTCTCCAAAATATTCTTAGTTCATATGTAATCATTGGTCATCAAGAATCCAACACACGTTCAGCCTTTTTCTTCGCCACACCACCCTGACAACATGCAGGGCCTGGCATGCACGGTCCAGCCAACACAGTCTTGCTTGGCACATCCTGGCTGACGTACGCCATCTATCTCATCCCGGCGTCCAGACCACCGGCCAGGTCCTGCTCCAGGCCGTTGGGCCCGCCCATGTACTCCTGGGGACGCGGGTCCTCCGACTTCCACTGTGTCGAGCCCTGCGGCATCGGCACCTGGCTCTGCTGCTGCTGCTGCTGCTGCGTTAGGGCAGGGCCCGCCGCAGGCACCGTACGGACCATCTGCCGGAAGCGCATCACCTCGTCCAGAATCATGCGACGCATCTCCGGAACCTCCTCAACAACTTCAAAGTCAAAGTTGAAGGTTGTGGGGCAGTCAGGCTCGTCCGAAGCATCGTGCCAGATGTGCAGGTATGGGTGCTCCAGAGCCTGCTCTACGCTGATGCGCTCCGACGGGTCAAAGGCTAGCATCTTGTCAAGGAGGTCCAGGGCGTCGGGATTGGCGTTGGGGAACAGGCTGGGGAAGGATCTCTTGGGCATGAATGGCAGGTTCCGCACGTATTCCTGGGCGCGAGGCGAGCCGATGCGCGATAGCGTTTCCTCGTTGGGGGTGCCGAGGATGTGAAGAATCTGGTTGAGCTGGTCGACGTAGTCCCTGCCCTTGAAAAATGGACGACCACCGAGAAGCTCAGCAAGAATGCAGCCGACAGACCACACATCAACTAGTAGTCAAGGTTAGCATCATGATGTCACAGTACTGGGAGGGGGCCGATACGCACTAGCTTTGGTGTAGCTCTGGAAGCTAAGCATAATCTCGGGTGCGCGGTACCAGCGAGTTGCCACGTATTCTGTCATGTAGCCGGCATTTTCCTGGGGGTCGACGGAGAAGCCACGGGCAAGACCAAAGTCGCAAATCTTCAGCTCGCAGTCGGCGTTGACGAGCAGGTTGCCCGGTTTCAAGTCACGGTGCAGCACGTTGGCTGAGTGGATGTACTTAAGACCGCAAAGAATCTGGTAGATGAATGACTGAAAGTGCGCGTCGGTCAAGGGCTGTCCTGAGCGAATGATGGCCGCCAGATCGCATTCCATAAGCTCTACGGGGTGTTAGCGGAGACTGTGCAACAGGGCGAGGCAGGGGGTCGGGCTCACCTTCGTATAGGTATGTCTCGTTGAAATCATTTGGCCGAGGAATGTCCATATCGTAGAGGCACGTAATCTGGCCAAGAAGTTAGCTGTGTGCTCTGGGGAAGGTCGGGATCGGAGAGGTGGTCGGTCGTACATTGCGGTGGCCGCGAAAGTGCTGCAGCAGCTTTATCTCGCGCAGCGCACGCTTGGCGAGAATCTTTTTGGAAAAGACATTGGTGACTTTTTTAATGGCGACGCCCTCGTTGGTTTGGTTGTTAACGGCGGCACTAGAATCGAACGGTCCCGACGGTTAGCTGTGGCTGCGATGCGAGAGGGGTGAACGGCGGACGGCGCGGGGTACGAGACATGCGGCCTGTTGGGAGACTCACCAGACAATGCCGTAGGCACCTTGTCCAACCTCCTTGGTGACGGTGTAGCGCTCGTCGACGATGAAGTCCTGGTTAAAGACCTTGAAGACCTTGCGTCCCTGGAGATCGCCCATGGCGGCGAGTTTGCTGGAGCGCGCGGGGAGGAGGCGCGCAAAAAGGCGAGAATGCGGGGCAGAGGCTTGTCCGAGGTCTGTATAGGGAGCAGCGGCGCGGGCGCAGTTGTGAAGCTTATCCTTAGCAATGCCAGCGGGAGGAGATGTCGTTGAGAAGCAGAAGAAGTCTTGGGCAGGACGAGATCAGACGCTGGGGCGAGCTAGAGAGATGAAAACGAGATGGGATGGCGGTTGGCCGCAAGATTATATAGAATATATGGAGTCGAGGAGCTGGCGAGAACGAGGTGGTGGGCGGCTACCTCTGGTGGAGAGGAGACAGGCACGTCCGTTATTGGGGGAACAACTGACTGACATTGGCCCATTTTGTAGGGCGAATGAGGGGTCATGACAGGCAGGAAACCCACTAAAAAGGAGGCTCTTGTTTTTTTGCTTCAGCGTATTGGCGGGGATTGGACAGGGGACTGCTATGTAGGCTCAGGGCGCTAGCATCCCCTGCAGGCCCTGTATTAAGTACAGTCAATGTCTCCAGCGTTCGACACGAGCATCTTTCACCCTCACTCACTGTTGTGCCACTGAGCCTACCTGCTCCTCCGTTTGCTCCCTGCGTCTTGCATCTTCTTGATCCGCTTCATTCATCAATCAACAATAATCATCATCAGACATCATACCCGCCGCCTCACCTTGTTTTAATCTACCGAATTCCCTCGCCATCCCTCCATCTCGCGCGGACGATCCCAATCCAAAGTCACCGCAGTCCCCTACCTAGCCGCCCAGCTTCACACCTCGTCACCTCCACTCGTCGCTCTCATTGGCCGCCCTGGACACTTTGCCGCCCAGCCCATGCTGACAATTGGCCTCACAACAACCGACATGTCCTCGGCCCCTATATTAATCACTCCTTATCCAGTCCCATGTTTTTTTGCCGACTGAAACAGTTGCCACGGTTCGAATCATCTCGCCTCTTTGGTCCGTCCACGCTATCCTCGTCAAGGCAGCCAGTTTCGCATTCGCTTGGTAGCTCCTCTAGCAGACGAGCAGCCAGCCTCGTTTGTCACGAGCCAAACCTTCAATCTTCTGCCCAGCTGCCAGGACCAGAAGGTGATGGAGCGGAACGCGGCCAACTTGTTGCTCATGGCCTGCCAAACTGAGCCTCCAATGCAACCTGCTCCCATCAGTTACGACCCCACAAACATCAGACCACCCGCAATATGACGACAGCTTGGTCTTGTCAGTGCTATGCGTAATTCGGCTTGCTAATAAAAACCTGCCTTCTCTCGCAAATCCAAAACAACCATTCTTGGCAGCAGCTTTCCGTAGAATAGATGTTAACGGCCAACTAGCCATATGCTGCAATTTGCGCCCAGCACCACCGCAACATTGCGTCCACCTCTTTGTCCACGAATCGTTCAATGCCTCGGGTGGCTTAGGTACCTGAATCGTGATGGTGCTTATAATTGTTGATAGTTGCTGATAACATATGGCGTTTCAATTGCCCTCATATTGTAGGATTACCAAGCCGTGATAACCTACTTCCATGGCATCACCTTGTCAGCAACCTTGGGGTCATCCTCAAGTGCCAATATGTGTTCCGGCTGGGCTCCTACCGCTATTGCGGGTAGTTTGTTTGATGATCTACGAACCCGCCCGGCAAAACCCGCGAGAGATGGAAATAAGCTTGCAGCTCAGCGCACTTTGGCTGCCACGAGCAGGCTACATCCAGTGAGTGGCAACATGCATTCTCCCAGTGTCAGGGATTAATTCAAATACCTAAAAGAGGTGAGATGGGTGTCTGAGGGCTACGAAAAGCAAGATAGCTGTGATATGGAACGAACGGCACGGTTAACTCCGAGGCAGCGCCTCTCCCGCCCGATTTTGCGGGCCTCGCTCGGGGTTAACCAGCCTCCAACTCTTGCCAAACGCAGGCGATTTGGCTCGGTCACCCCAACTCACGATATGGATAATCAAAGGGCCAAGAAGCAGAGAAATCGGAAGCCAGTCAGCTGCTGGCCATGCCGTGAGCGGAAAGTACGATGCGATCGGAGGCTACCCTGCGCAACCTGCAAGCGGCGCGGCCATGTAGAGATGTGCCATGTCGAAGCACCGAAGCAGCTGTCTAGCCGCGATTTACAATCGCAGCATGGGCTTCCCACTGCGAGTCAACCAAATACCGCGGAAAGCAGCCCGCGTAACTTGACCTCTATCCAAACCCCTCTGCCTGGCCTTATCCAGGTCGACGCCACGGGTGCTCGCCAATTGAGCGACACGCCGCAGGTGATTGCGTTGCTGGACAAGGTATCCCAGCACTTAAAGTCAACTCACAAAACGGATGACGTAACGAGGGAACGGGTCTTTCTTGGCCAGAATTGCGCGGCAAACTTCTTCCGCGCGCTCGTCGATCATGGCCCGCATCGAGCGTCGTTGCCGAGCCGAGTATCCATCGAGTCGGCCTTTGGCCTCACAAACCGCACAACGCTGCACCCCTTCGGGTCTCTTTGGTCCTACGCCGGAGAAGTGTCGTTGAACAACATATTACAATCACTTCCCACGGTCGAAGTCTGTCTCAGGTCAGCTTGCCGCCGCGCCTTACTCCCTTACCTTAGCTGACATGCGTAATTCCATCACCTAAACAGGTATTATCGCAATTTTGACCAAAACATACTTCCATTTTATCCATTTCTGTTGAACTCGAAAGTCTTTGAGAATCGATTATGTGATTTCTTGCAGACGCTAGGCGACGAAGGCATTGCCAAGGCGCTCGAAATGGCTGCTACTGAAGGTGCCTTTCAGGACGCGGCTTGGTATGGGGTACTTTTTGGCGTTCTGGCATGCGGCTGTCAGTTCTACGAAATAGAGGCAGCTAGTGACCGTCTTCTGAAAGCCCGGGTCTTTGGTGCGTATAGGTGTCCCTTGACGTTCACTTTCTAACGTCTGGAGCAGTCGCTGCCGCATTCGAGTGCTTGCGCCTCGCAAATTTATTTGGCATGCCATCTGAATCAACCATACAAGCGCTCTTGATGATTGAGCTTGTCATTGCAAATGACGCCAACCCGGGCATGGCATGGAGCCTGATAGGCACGTTTCCTTGCGCCCTGCCTGCCTGCCGAGATGAGGCGACGAACTGACCCTGACCGCATAGGAACCACTGCTCAAAATTCTCAATCAATAGGGCTACATGTTAATGTGAACAAAAGCGTTGAATGGGATGCCGCGATTCATCCCCTCTGGAGCGCTATTTGGTTCCTAGACTCGTCTTTATCTCTTGCATTCGGGCGCAGGCCGAGCAGTTTTGTTGCCGGCCCTGACCAGCACAACCTCCACATAGTCCACGGCGTGACGTTTCCTACCTTTTGCTCCTGGACCGGAGCTATCCACAAGTTGAAGCTGAACTGGCAGCTCGAGCAGCTCCATGATCTAAACGCAAGCGACATACCGCCGTCGACAATATCCCGCTACCTGCAGAGTCTGGCCAATCTGGAGATCATTCCGCCGTACGGCCCACGAAGCGCAACCAAACCCACCACCATACACCGGAGGATTGAACAGCTGGTGTCTCTCATACACATCAATCACTGCAAGGCTGAACTACTCCGTGCAGCTGCTCTATCGTGTGCAATCGAGGTAGAAAGCCGCAGGGAGCACTTTGATGAGATGCTGCGGAGCCTGGGTGGACTCATCGCTGCATACTGCACTCTCAAGCCGCTGTCGGCAGCAATGGCTAGCTCATGGCCAATATTGTACGCCACTGTCAGCGCTGCCTTACTGCTTTCGGGAATTCACCGCAATTTGAACGAAGAAATACCCCCGATAGTAACCAAGTTGATCAGTGTATTCGGCACGGTGGGAGAAGGCGACGACCATGAGGCAATCGGCCGTAGCCCGTATGGCGATGGACTCCAAGCCTTACGGCATTTGGTCGTACCCTAAGACAAAAGGTTATACATTTCTTATCCCTCTTATTTTTTTTTATATTTACGAGGTACAATTATCCTGCCAAGCAAAAATCGCACCGACGCACGTGTCGCTTGTGCCAGGTAACCTGCGCGGTTAATCCCCGAGCCACTGGTGTCAACATCGCAGACTAAACCCGAGGTAGTGCCCACCACATGAGATAGTTCGGGGACATCGCCATGACCCAAAGGCAGCTTTGCATGTTCACCTGAGAATATATCCGAGAGAATATGCTACCTCCAACTGTTGTCTGCGCATCTCCCGGGCTGCTTTCGCCCCAGTCATCTTAGCAGCAAAGACTCTCGGGAATAGCCTGGACCCATCGGGTGTTGCTGTTGAGGATGAGCAACTATTTAATGCTTCCCAAGCCGCGCTCCGACCCGTCTCATTCTTCAATCCTTCCTTCTTCTTCATTAAGAGTACAGGCTTTTTTCTAGTCTGCACTCCCACCTAAATCCGTCCCGAACACTTTCGTGCGCCAAAGCCACAATGTCAGACATACTCAGCAACGGCTGGACTGCTGTTCCCCTCGACGCCAGCAAGCTCTTTGACGGGAAGCAATACCGCGTCGCGCCTGAGCCCTTGAGCCCAGCAGAAATTGTCTGGCCGTCCGATGACCCAGTGGTGGCTGAGATGGAGACGTATGCCAAGGAGCATCTGTCGCTGGAGATTTACAACCACTCCATGAGGGTGTACTATTTCGGTATGTGGACCTGGTCTCAACAATACATCTGTTTATAATTCTTAGAAAATCAGGGACTGAAATGGTTAACAGCTACCACCATTCTCAAGCAGCAGTTCCGCGAGTTCGCCACCACCTTGTCCCCGGCCACGCTCGCGCTGACCTGTCTCCTCCATGACCTCGGGGCCACCGAGGCCAACATGGCAGCCACCAACATGTCGTTCGAGTTCTACGGCGGCATTGAGTCCTTGCGCGTCCTGGAAGCCGCCGGCGCCCCGACGGATCAGGCCGCGGCGGTGTGCGAGTGCATCATCCGGCACCAGGACATCGGCGTCGACGGCAGCATCACGCTCCTCGGACAGCTGGTCCAGCTGGCGACCGTGTATGACAACGCCGGCGAGCACCCGCATCTCGCGGGGCTCGACGGCATGATCCACGAGGACACACGGGAGGCGGTGGTGGCCATGTTCCCGCGCCGCGGCTGGCTGCGGTGCTTCGCGGAGGCGGTGAGGACGGAGACGGCGCGCAAGCCGTGGTGCCACACCACGCACATTCCGGGGTTCGCGGAGAAGATTCTCGCGAACAAGCTCATGGCGCAGTATGAGTAGTTAAGGGGGAATGTGAATGGTTCGCTCGGGCAACGATGGTGAGAGGGAGAGTGAACCACGAGCACTCGTAAGATGTGACAAGACAGTCAAAGATGCCGACGAATATATTTCAATGTCTAGTTTGCGGGATACTTGTCATGATGTCTCGAGATGACGAGTGCAGGCTGTGACGTATACAAGCTTACTCTTGTATTTGCGCTGGTCGGGCACATTCCACTTGAACCTTGAATGTCAAATGCCATTGGGCTGCTCTCGTAAACTTTGTGGTGGGCTGATTGTGTCTCGTGCATTCCTCGGAAAACACAAGACACAAACTTGCGAAAAAGAAAAGGCCAGTCCTGGCACGTTCCGTACCTAGACGCCGCAGGTTCTCGGCCTCGGGTAAGGTCACAGGCGCTATGTGACGACTTGATACATGGTACTCACAGCATCAGTCACAATCCCGTGAGCGGATGAAGGAAGGGCATTCCAACGGCGGCAGTGGGAAGTAGGGACTTTTTCGACGCGCGATGAGAAGGCAAGCGACTTCGACGATGGCCAGTTTGAGTATATAAAGGTGGCATTTCCACCTTCGTGGTCTTCTTGTTCACCATTCACAGCATCGCCTCACAAAATCGACTTGGCCACTTCCTTGACTCTTTAGCAGACCACATTAACATCCCATCTGAAGTTCCTCGCTGTCCTCGCCACTGCCGCGCTCGCCGCCGCCGCGCCCACGACCAACTTCAACGGCTTCATCACCAACAGCACCAACACCACCGCAGCCACCGACGGCGCCGTGGACGCGCAGGGCACGCTGTCCCTTCACGGCAGGCATCCCGCACTCGGCGCCGGCAGCGGAGACATCTGCGTCGAATGCGCCAAGTACTGCCGCGACCCCAGCAACGCCGTCGCCGTAGAAGGCGTCTTGCATCTTTTTCAAGTGCGGCATGCAGGTGAGTGGTTCATTGTTTCCCCTTTGTAGAAAAAGATGAGCAGTCCGCTAGCACGGTCCGTCTGAAGTGCCTCATTGCTTGAGTAGTATCCGGCCCTCCGGGGAAGGGACCTGTCCTTGGAAGTGTTGTGTGCGGGAGTTGGAGCGGCGATCCCTTCAACAGGGAAGAAAGTAACGAGATTATCTAGTCGTTATAAATGTGGCCACTGTTGTCACAACCGCTGTGTCCCTGCAGTCGTGTTTCTGAGGCGTGTTGAATGTGGTTTTCCCATATATTCTAGACAAGAGGTCAGGCTTTCCGCATGTTTCGTATGTACTGCATTCATGACTATTATCAGGGTATTTATGCCCGCCGCAGCGGCAGATGATGTTGTCTATTCCATGACCACAACTTCCTTTGTCTCTTTTTCATCTCCTCTGCCCGCCTTGCCCTTGGGTATCAGCAAACCATCCGTCTCTCCCTTCTTCTCCCCCTCGCTTCCTCACAAGGCCGATTTCTCGTCCCCGCCGACCACGTCGTTGAGAAAGTTGCGCGCGAACCGCGAGCACTGCTCGAACGCGCGCTTGAAGCCCGCGTCGCCGCCGTAGTACGGGTCGCTGACCACCTCGGCCTTGCCGGTGCCGCTGTACTCGCCGAACAGCACGACGCGGGCCTTGGCGTCCGGGTTGCCGCGCTGCAGGCGCTCGAGGTCGGACAGGTTGGAGCGGTCCATGGCGAAGATGTAGTCGAACTTGTCAAAGTCGGACGTGGCAAACTGTGGGCGGTCAGCGAACATGCGTGGAGGGGGACATGGATGGAAAGTAGAACGGCTACGTACGCGTCGCGCGGCGTGGTCGTAGTCTGTGATGCCATTCTCCTCGAGCGTCGCCATGGTGCGGTCGTCGGGCGACTCGCCCGTGTGGTACGCCGCTGCGGTGGAGGGGTAAACCCAATCGTCAGCCAGAGAAAAAAGCCACTGCCGCCGCCATAGCCGGAACGCGGCAAAACGATGCAGGGGGAATGAAGAAGCCTCACCTGTCCCGCACGAGTCGACGCGGCCAATCTTGTCCTTCCACTCGGGCTTCTGCGCCAGGTGCCGGAAGATGCCCTCGGCCATGGTCGAGCGGCATATGTTGCCCAGGCAGACGAAGAGCACCGAGGTCTTTTCCGGCATAGCTGCTGGCAAGCGTGGCGTTGGGATATTAAATATTAGACAGAAAATATTATTAAAGGGCGAAGAAAAGGCAAAACGCAAAACAAAGGCCGGGGATGCTTGGCTGCAAGATCGTGATCGTGGGTAGCGGTTGGTGTAACGGGCAGGTTTTCGGTGGCACAGCCCGCGTATCTTAAATTCGCAGGGTCGGCGAATCTACAGAGATGCAGAGACAAGGTAGATGATTTACCTTCAGCCTTGGCTGCAAAAAGGCCAACCTCTTTTTTTTTCTGTCATTTTTTTGCCGTCATTTTTACCCGCAGGATTGCCCCTCCTTCACCCACCAGAAAGATACCTGTGTACTACTGTAGATAAGGTAGTTCGTAAGCAAAACGTGCGCGCCGGCTTCCGATGGTCAGTTCAACCCCACGCAAGGCTAGGAACGGCAGTGTACAGACACGTACCGCAGGTACACTTCGGCAGCTGCCGCGGACACATAAACTCCTTGAATTCATTCCTAGATACTGTTTTCCTTTTTGCCTATACTCAATACAAGAGAAAGGATGCTGCACACTGTGTGCTGCAGCTATACACGGCCCCCACCGGCCCGACCATCCTTGCATCGTCCTCCGTCCTCCATAATGCCCCAACACTGTGACATGAAAAATAAAAATAAAAACAGAGACGCCATGCTGAAACAAGAAAGGGGGGTGATGTACAATATGGATGCAAAGATCCGTCATAAACGGCCGATGAACTTGTCAACGCCCGTGCGGACACATGCCAGTTGTTCGTTAGTGTGCCGCGTCGTCGTCATGTTATACATGTGTGGTAGGTTGAGTCGATCATTTACATGGCAAGCTGCTGACGCTGCCGCTCGCGACGGATGGCCTCGAGAACGCCCAGCACGCCATTGTTGCGGATGCGCTCCAGCACCATCTTCATGCCGTCGCGGCTCTTGCCCAGCTGCGCCTGAGTCTTGGTCGACGCCATCGTCTCGATGCTGCGCTGGATGCCCTTGGTGCCCCAGCCGCCGATGATGCCCGAGAACCAGCCGTCCTCCGCCGTCGCCTGCCCGAGCTTGCCGCGGATCTTCTCCCCCAGCCGCGACTTGAAGATCACCGATGTCTTGACGTCTGTCTCTAGCGTCGGCGCCGCACGGCTGCCGTCGCCGGGGACGCTAAAGTCCTGCTTCTCCACGACGGAGAGCACGCCGGTGAAGTTGAGATTGCGACTCTCAGTGCGCATCCAGCCCTCCTTGATGTCGACGACGCTCGTTTCGAGGATGTACGATGCCTTGTCGCCGGCGCCGCCGCCCGTGACGCTCGCAGGCAGCAGCTTGTACACAGCGCCCGGCAAGCGACTCTTCTTCAGGTGGATGCGCGTCGTGTGCAGTCGTTGGGTGACGGGGTCAACATGGCTGGCGATGGTATCGGTGCTGAGGACGTGAGCGGCGAATGGATTGAGGTTGGGCGACGAGTATCGGAGGAAGTAGGCGAGCGTGACGGTCGGGAAGGGATGCGAGTAGGTGTGGTTGGTGGAGTGCTGGAGTACCATCTTGTCCGAGGCCTGCGTCAATTGCTTCCGCCACCAGTGCGAGGGAGCAAGCTGTACGAATTGCGTGGTTGGCGTGGTGTTGGGTGTTGTTGGTGTGTTGCTGCGGTGCCCGTGAGCAGGTTCGGCTCAGTCGGGACAGCCCATGGAAGAAAAAGGAAAAATCACGAGACCAGAAGAGAGCCCGTAAGGAGATCAAGTAAAACAGGCCGAGGTGAAGAAAAGAGAATCGAGCAACGCAGAGGATGATGGGCTGCAAAGAGATGATGAAGGGAGAATGAGCGGGATGGGGAGATGGAGGGTGGTGTGCTCCAAGACCTCTGCAGAAGGGGAGAGAAGAGGCAGCAGGAGGAGGTTTGGGATGCCAATTGCAGCTGGTAGAGGCGAATTTTCTCCTGGCTACCAAATGGACGCGGCGCTGATTGGTTCGAGCTGGTGGGGTCCGCTGGGAACGCTGCTAATTGGCTCGAGCTGCGGGGCAAACAGTCCGGGGTTGGGTAGCGACACGTGATTCGTTGCTAGAAATGAGACGACACGGTCGAGACGGTGGTCAGGCTGTGCATCTGCATACGCCAACTTCTTGGCTAGGGAGGTATGAAGCAGGCCATGACTAGGGTTTTCTTATTTTGTGATGTAGTATCAACAGCAGCCACTTCATGCGCCCGCATCCTGTCACTATCGTGAAGCCTGTCGCTGCCGGGAATCGAGCGAGGGGCCGACTCTATTGCATCACCATCCATCCACACTAAACTAGTAGTCTAGTCCAGCGCCAGCTACTGCGCCGTGATGTGGCCTGCCACTTATACCATCCGTCACTGGCCGAGTGAGTGCTGCATTGCAATATGTACGACCATTTTTTTTTTGGCGCATTTTCCAATTTCTTCTTTGCAAAGAAGCCCGATGCCTAGCCACTATTCTTAGCTTCATACGTCCATGTCACACAGTTTTCATACAGGCACTGTCAGTCAGCACTGCCACAATACCGTAAGATGCAACCGCATACCCGGTCATCCATCTATTAAAAGTACATTCTATCCATTGCTATAAGGAAGCCGCACATCCGTTAATTATCTACCCAAGGAACGATGACAAAAAAAAACGCTCGTGAATAATACCAGTTGCACGCCCCCGCTCTGCCTACAGCAAAAACTCCTCCTCGGCGTAGTGCCCCATCACGATGAATCCTTCATCATACCTCCTCTTGTCGATGCGCGCGATGATGGCCCCATGCGAGTGCCCCGTGTTGTGAATCCAGACCGGGTACTTGCGCCATCCCATCGCGTCGAGGTTGCGGATCATGTCGAACTGGCAGGGCGCCAGCGCCAGCGTCGGCTGCGTCGGCTGCGACAGCCTGCGCTCCCGCGTCAGCAGCCTCCTGTCCTCCGCGTCCATCGCCGCGTCGTCGTCGTCGTCATCGTCTCCGGCCCCGAGGAACTCTTGCTGCTGCGAGTTGTTAAGTGCCTCGTACGCCGACTCCACCTCGCCGCGCAGCTCCTTGATGAGCAGTGGCACGCGGTACTCGTCGGTGCTGACGCCCAGCTGGCCGCGCTCGTGCAGCCGGATGCGCTGCGCGCTGCGCACGTTCTGGATCACCGAGTTGACCAGGAATGCGGCCACGCCGATCGGCACGAACACGGCCACGGCCAGCGCCAGCGGTAGCCTTCGCGCCCACCCCACGCAGCGGCCCCAAATCGCCGCGACGGGGCCGCCAGAGTTTGCTGCCAGCTTGGGCCGCGAGAAGAAGGGCGTCTCCGGGTCGAGCAGGACCTCGCCGACGCGGCCGGCCAAGAAGTTGGGCCGGACGAGGTCGAGGTCGCGGTAGGGGTCCGTCTTCTGGATGCAGGTGGTGTAGTAGACGGCGCTCTTGTCGTTGGTGATGTTGGCGTAGAGGGTGCGGCGGCGGAAGCGGCGCAGGCCGCGGGCGAAGATGCTCTGCGGGTCGGCCATGACTTGCAGCAGCGGGCGGCCGGTGTCGCGGAAGCGGTCGGTGGTGAAGAGCTGCTGGCCGGACATGGAGAGCGTGCGCGCGCCGACGACGTTCCAGACGTGGTTGTGCCAGCCGCGGAGGGGGGTGCGGACGCCGAGGTGCGGGCTGGCAAATGTGCAAAAGTTCTGTCCAAAGGGTCCGAAGTCAGCACGGCAAGCCCGATGATCATCGAAGAAAGAGTAGTTTGTAATCGTTGTTCTGTTCGTACCATGCATTCCATCCCGTCGAGGATGCCCTTGGCGTAGAGCAAGCCGACAGTGTAGCGCGACACCAGCCCGCCCAGCGAGTAGCCGATGATGCTGAGCTTTGTGATCTTGCCACCGCCGGCCTCGATGGCGCGTAGCTCCTCCTCAATCTCGGCGCAGACGCGCTCGCCGCCGCGCTCGATACCGTCGTAGGTGAAGCTGCCCGTGTTTCGTTTGGCGAGGAGGAGATAGAGCTCGTCGCGGGAGTGCTGGTCGCGGAGGCACTTGGCAATGTTGCGCATGTGGTCGGGGTTTCCCCAGAGCTGTGATTGCGCGGGTCAGGTCAGCATATGTAGGCCGTGAGGGTCAAAGGGTCGGGTAAGCTGCTCGCTGCGATGACGTACTCCGTGAACTAGGACGCAGAGATGGCCAGCCTTGGAGCTGCCGCCTTGCGAGTCCATGGTGGCGGTGGTGGCGGCAGGATAATATGGTAGAGGGAGAAAAGGTCGAAAGGTCGAGCAGTTGGGGAGGAGGCTAGGAAAAAGGCATGTTGAGGGAGAAATGAGAAATAGTGGCCGAGATGGACCAAGTCAGCAGTTGAGGACTCAAGTTGGGTAGGCCACACGTAATCGCGGCATTCAGAGACAAGCCGGAGCGGGCGGGCCATCACAACTAACTTATTAACGGGTCCGCCACTACAGCCAGCTACACAACTAACTACCACCCACCACCACCCACTTGGCCTCAACCGAGGCACATCTTTGGTGGTGCAGGGGTTATTTGTTCGTAGCAAAATTAGCGTGTAAAATTATACCCGTTGGGATATATTATCCACTGAAAAGGCTTCGCCGCGCCGCACCGTTGTCGACCCGATCCAACCTGTTGGGCTGCTTATCCCGCCGAGTGACACCCACGTCGGAGTTTCTCGTTAGTTAATTAAAGGACAACAATCAGCACTCTTTGCTGTTTCAGCCTGTGGCAGGTAAGTATTAATCCCATCCCTCACAAGTTGTGCCGTCATAATGTGCATTAGTCTCCTCAGTGTCACATACTGTAGTAAGCTAGTTGTACATACATGAACAAAGTCTGATACTCGGTCGCTCCATTCTTGTATAAGGTTGATCATCTGTGCAAGGGAGCTTTCACTGAGCTAGTAGAGTAGTTTTTTTTATATGGGCAGCTATAACGTCTGAAGGGTCACATCTGCAATAGAAGTGTGAGCTCAGCCACTGCCGCCCCGACGTATAAGCAGCACTTAAAGTGTCACGCTGGAGAGCCTGCACACGAGCATTCATGTGTACGTTGCACTTGTTGCCCGACATTTTTGTCCCGTCTTTCGTCATTTCGGACGTTACAGCATCAACTACATGCTCCGCTAATTAGAGATAAAGCAACATCGGGGGGAATCACACCAAAGCTGGCACGTCTTGGACTTGTGCACCCATCTTGTTCCTCCAATATCAACCTCGTGAGCTGTTGGATAGTCTCGTACCTTGAAAAAGGAACCGGTCTCTGTTGAATCTTGAAGTTGATAGTTCTTGCACGGTGCCTGTCACGGTGGTCTACGGAACATACTTGCTTCATGCTCTGGCTGTGTGAACATGAAGCACTCAAATAGAAGCAGAGGAAAAACTATAAAGCCTCCCACAAACCGCTAAACAAATGTGATCTCAACTCTTACATCAAATGAACCGTCCTCCATTCCGCATACATTCCTACAGACCGAGTCCCGCCCTCAAGCGCCAAACCGCACAATCCTCAATGCAATCCCACAGCTCACTTGATCAATACTCTTTGGCACTCCAACAAAATTGCTAATTTTATTGTTACCCATACCCAACAATGAGTAAGCAATTACCAACCGAATGCACTTGCTCTAATGTGACTGTGCACGCCACTTTTCTAAATTGCAACCATCGGGTTACCGAGGAAGCAATCTATCAGTGCGATCACGACGTCGTTTTTCACATCCCGCGCGTCGAAGAAGTGGCAGTTTTCGAGCCCGAATATTGCGGCGAGTGTATTGAAAAAATGCCACACAGTGATGAGAACATTTACGAAGACGGAATCGCTATTGAGACTGCGAGGTTTCTCTGAGCGCTTGTTTCACTTTCGAACACCCGTTTTCTGTCCCAGAAGCTCGGAATCCTGTCTATGACCATAGGATTCCTTGTTGCATACAACAGTTTTTATAAGAGGAGCTCTTCTTATTAAGTTTATACCTTAGACTATTAAACTATTACTCTAGCTAGACTATAGTCTAAGCTCTTATAATACTCTATATAAAGAAGCTTTTAGTTAGTTAATATAGTAGTTCTTTAATTTAAGCGGCTATAACGTCTAAAAAGTTATATCTATAGCAGCAGTGTAAGCTCAGCCGCGGCCACCCCAAGGTGTAAGCAGTATTCAAGGTGTCACGCTGGAGAGCCCTGGACACGAGCATCTATGTACGTTGCACCTGCTGCCCGACTTTTCTTCTCCATTTACGTGACGTTGGACATTGAAGTACCAAACTACATGCTCCGCGATCATCGCTGGAGGGTTTCGTGTTCTCGAAGGGAATAATTTGTTGAGACGTGCGTGCGCTGATATATCTCTTCTTCACGCTCAAGAGAGTTGACTTGTGTACAAGCTCACGCCTGAGGCCGCCTTGTCTTTGAGGGCCTGCGAACGATTGCGGAGGGCGGGACTCTTAAAAAGTTGCCAGCGGCGTGTTGATCGTGCTGATAGTTCTGTTGCGTGTCTACATCATTCGTCCTTGTCCTCTCCTTCCCCATCGGTCTCTTTTTCTCCTCCTTCTGCTTGTTCTTGACAGTCCGGTATTTCTTCGGCCCTTCCCATTTCGACATCTTTTTCAGCATGGATGGCACTCTCACTGGTCTGTGGCTGTTCTTGTTCGGTATCTCTCATGTCTTCGTCTCCTCCTGAAGCGGTGAGGTCATACGCCGTTGAGGCTGTGAAATTCGTGAGTACTGGTGGAGGCTGTTGTAGAAAGGATGAAGAAGCTATTCAACATTAGTGTTCGTCATTGCTGGAACAGAGCGAAGCATGGCCGGGCCACGGCATAGGTGATGGGGGGCTCCATACTCAAGAGATTTTCCAAAGATGGCCCGACGAATGGCAATAGTAGGAAGAAACAGCTTCAAGCCTTTAGGGTATTCCTCGTTGGCACGGCTGATCTTGAAGGCAGCTTACTCCATTGCAGCGGCTAGTGGGATAAACAGCAACGAGTGTGTCAAGTGAAAGAGGCGATTTATTCTCCTCTCTGCCATCAAACAAAAATGTTTGAAGGCGCGTATGCTGCCGTTTCTGAGTGTCTCCGTGTCCTCTCCTCGCCGCTTACTATGGAAAGTCGCAAGCTAGCACTCATCGTCACTACAGGCATTATGGTTGCCGTATACTACTCCATTTCTACCGTATGGGAGCATAGATAAAGCTGAAAGGCAAGTCTGCTGCCTATGGTTGGCTATCGTCACGCCCAGGAGCCAACCTAGTCATTGTGTGTGCGGTTTACAGGACGCAGCCGAGAATGATTGCCCAGGGCTACCACAAGTACGGCTCAATCATAGTCCCCTCTCAAGCTCCTACAATTACCATTCTCTTTACTGTACCAAAAACGCCGTTCAAAATAATGCCTCCAAAGTCCGCTGCAACGGTACCGACATCGCTGTTCTCTCTCCTGCTTCGTGGACGAGCTCTGCAGCCTTGCCGAGCCTAAAGCCAGCTCCCCCTAGGCTCTCTACAACACAGGTGTCAAGACCTACACCGGCCTCGGCATTACCCCTGACAATTGTTTACACATTTTCGGGCCATCCACAAAAACAAAAAGCTCAACCCGTCTCTGACTGCCATCTTGTTGAAGCGTAGTACTGGTGGAGGGCCTGCAAAAACGCTGCTGTCGGCTGAACCAGAGGCGACAACGAGCGCCACAATGGCCACGATCACCTCTGGGCTCGTGCTCGCATTGTTCTTGCTCAACATTTTGGTATCCATTCGCTTCTTCCACAACCGATAGCGGCAGCGTGTTGATGCGGCCGCATCGTGTGTGGCCGAGCAATTACGTGATTAGTGGCGCTGATCCTATGGTCACCATAATAACCTCGGCGGCGTTCATGTTACCATCCAGATATCATTCATTACTGCCATTATATATTACCTTGAAAAGATATCTTACTAGTTTTATAAAGTTTAAAAAGATTAACACTAGAATAATTTATCAATATTGGTCGAAAATATCTTAAAGCTATTTAAATGATACCAACCTTATTTTTACAAAGTATGATTCTTAGATGTACATAAGCTGTGACTCAGAAGAGACCACCGTTACAGGAGGCCTAGCGACTCTGCCATGCAACCATGGAATAAGGCTCTGGCGTCGGGTCTCGACCAGGTGCTGACAAGGGGGAAGCCGGAGGGGCGGATTGGGTTTTTGTGAAATTAATGAGGAACATCGAGGCTCTCAGCAAATAAAAGCGAAGCCCGCCCTCGCTTCACATGAGTAGACAGGCTCTCAGCTATCATATTATCTCTAGATTCACTTCATACACACATTTCTTGAAATTTGTGCAACAAAGAACAGCAGAGTTCGAAATGTCTCCCGCAAAAGCAGACATCCATTTTCAATATTATCCATCAGATCATCCCGCCGGAGTCTCACCGTTTGAGGCCGATTTCGGGAATAAGCGAGGTAGGTAACAGGGGCCTGCCGCATTGATTTGACTGCCAAAATAAAACCGTGACTGATTATCCAACCTACAGCTCGTCTTGATTGTCACTGGCGACTGAACCTAAACGAGCCATTGACTAACGCAGTGACCTCGGCCACTGGGACACGACTCTTGCCATGCTTGACACTGGACCTCCTGTTTACACCTATTTCGTTCTGGTCGCAGGATATACCTACGAGACAAGAGTCTCATGTATGTAACGGAAGCAGCGTCAATGGATTGATCGCGGGCGAGACGTCGACGTCTTCAGTCGACGAAGGGCCAATATTTGGTGAAGACAACCACGGCGACGCCTTTCGTTTCGTTCAAGACGCAATAAAAAAGAACCTCAATCGCTATAGCGCCTCGATCACAGCGGTGAAGCTTCTTTTGCCGACTGTCACTGGCTATGCTGTGCGCAGTGATATTATCGAAAGACGATTCCTCACCTGTCAGCTAGCCGACAAGGTCGCAGACTTTACCGCCCCGAGACAGCATATCCAAGCTTTTGAGTACAACAAGGGCTTTTCTTTTCAATACGCATTGAGTACAGCCGTTGGCGCCATATATCTCAAACATCTGCCCGGTCCTGATAGAGGACTTGTCGAGCGTGCTATGGCTTCGTTGGAAGCGGATGTTAGAGCTCGACTGTCTTTCCCCTGGATCGTCGACAAGCCTTTGCCCAGAAAGCGACTGGCGCTAGTTGACGGTAAACCCTACCCAGATGTGTCAACAGCGCCGCTGGGCATCTATCGCGCCGCAAAGACACTTGGTATCGAGCTCGTGGTGATTGACCGCGAAGGTCACTGGACAGGAGGCGCAGCCGGTGACGAGTGGTGCGACGAGTTTATCCCCTGCGATCTGACACTGGATGACGGCTTGCCAGATCGAATTGCTGCTGCTTTATCCATCAGCAAAGCTCCAATAGATCACATCACGACGTACTCCGACAAGCTACTCCCTGACACTGCAAAGGCGGCTGAGAAGGTGGGAATGTTTACAAGCCCGGCCGTGTCGATGGATATTTGCCACAATAAGCGAAGAACGCGCGAGTTTGCGCCCCCAGTCGGCTTCCAGGTCCTCGCTTTGAAAGGCGTCGCGGATCTGACGAGGCAGCTGGCCTCCCTGACCTCTCCACTAGAGTATCCTCTTATTGTCAAGCCGATTATTGGATACTCCTCTGAGGGTGTCACCAAGGTCTCATCAGAGTCACAACTCTTTGATGCTGTGCGTAGAAACGAAGAAACGTTTCCCGACATTGGCAGTCTCATAGAGCCGTACATATCGGGGCCAGAGGTGGATGCAAACTTTGTGCTCATGGACGGAGAGCTTGTTTGGGGCGAGATAAACGATGACTTCCCTTCCCACGCGGAAATTTCTCGAAACGACGTTAGAGGGTATGACAAACGTATATCGCCGTCGGTACTTCCTTCGCAGGTCTCAGCACCAACATCAGCGCTGCCTCACTCATTTGCTGAGCTGTCAACGATAATGCCATCGATATTGCCCGAGCAGGAAATCGCGCTGCTGAAGTCGCAACTGACTGAAACCCTCTTCGCGCTTGGTTTCAAAAACGGTGTTTTTCATCTGGAGGCAAGAGTGCAAAACAGCAAGATGGAGTATGCCATGACTTCAAGTGGTATGGAACTATTGCAGTCTCGGTCGGACATGGGCAACGCCTCTAAACCAAAGGTGTTTCTCATCGAAATCAATCCAAGAGTTCCAGGCCACCAGGAAACATTTGCAGTTGAATACACTTATGGGATTGACTACTTTGTCAATCACATGCTCGCTGCCCTGTCGCCATCTGCTTCTGCACCGCAAAATGACGATGACCACCTGGCGTTAAAAGCTGTAATTCGCTCGCTGAGCCACCCGTTGCCAGAACGCGTCCAGTTTCCCACACACGTGGTCTTCATCCCACTCAACCGAGGCGGAACCTTTGTGAGTGCAAAGCTGCCCCCAGAGGAACTGATGCAATATGTTCCCGAGCATTTCGTCTTCATGAAGGCTGGCGAGGTGTGTCAAGATCCGGCAAAGGACGGAAAATGGCCATTCGTGGCCTATTTCCAGGTGGTCGCAACCCTGACCGGGGCTGAAGGGCGCGCTCAGGCTAGGACGATAGGAGAGTTGGTTAGGGAGTCTTTCGAGTATGCAATGGAATGATGGGGAAGGAAGGAGGGTCGTAGGAAAATTTAGGCATAACGTGGTTCACAAGTGAGCGGGCCATCGCATCTTAAAGGCGAGCTTTCCAGCAACATCGAATCTCATATGGAACTACGTGCTTATATTTTAAGAGTAGGACAGTATGTTGGCCCGTTGCGCTGCACATGCTCAACAGCATCTAGAAGATCCTGCTCCAGGGTATCGAGGACACTAGGTGCGGTTGGGGTAAAGCCCAAGAGGGACGTTGCACGATCAGGACGCACACGCGTATTGCAGGCCCAGGTGTAAACCCCCATAGGCCCCCAGCTCGAACCACCGCGCATTTCTCTCACATCTGCGACGCTCAAGCTCTTGGGCTCGGCAGCAGGAATTAAGCCATGCTTGTGGAGAATCTCGCCCGCCGCCTTGGCCAGGTCCAGCTGCGACAGCTCTTGCGTGGTGGCAAAGTAGTATCCCTACAGGTGGACAACCAGCATTAGGAACCATGAAAACGCTTTTAGAAAAGTTCAACACCGTTGTCATGTCAGACAATCACGTACCTCTTTGCCCCAGACTGCATTTCCTCCACCCGCGGCAGCAGCCTCCACAAGCTTGAGGTACACGTTCACAACGTCATCCACATGGATCCAGGACCGGCGGTTGGCGCCCTGCTCGGCGTAGAAACCGTGGCCCAGCTCAATGATGTTCTCACACATCTCTGGGATGAGCAGGCTGCGGACATTACCGGGGCCTTTGCCTGGCCCGTAGATGCCCGACGGGGTGATGATGGCCGTCTTGAGCCTGTCGCCGTGCTGAGTAGCTGCGTCTTGCAAGATTTTGTCAGCTGGGCGGTGCAAACAGGTCTCTGGAAGTCCGGTGATGACGTCAATGTCGTCAACGTCAGACCAGACTTTCGGGTTGAGTACGGCGTACGGGCCGTCCTGCCAGTCAGCGATGATGCCCGTGCCGGCGAGGCGGATTAAGAAGCCGGGTCCGGGCTTGGAACGGCGGAGGAGTCCAGAAATTTGGGCTGTCAGACTCGGGAGATGCTTTGGCTTTCCGCCGTCTGTGAAGCTCGCATTAGCATTACAACTCAGGTGGAGAACAGGTCGAGTTTTGGGTAGGACATTGGGCTTCTGCACTTACGGATGACGATGTCGTTCTCGGCCGCGGTATCCTCGATGAGCTTCGTATCGTCAAAGGTTCCCTGGATGACACGGACATTGGGATAAAGGGCTGCGAAATCCTCGGGGACGCTGCGCAGGAGTGCGGTGATGGCGTATTCAGGATGACGCTTAGTCAATGCGTCGAGGACAGAGCCGCCAACGTAGCCGGTGCCGGCAGTGCTGAACAATATGGTGAGCCAAAAACAAGATATTCTTTCAATGATTGATTGGCATTGGGTGTTTCATGCCCCACGTACATGAAGATCTTGGTGGCCATTTTACAGTGACGTAGTGTTCTTGCTTGTGAGGAATGGGGAATTGGATCGAGTCTCGGAGCATGCGTCAATACGAGACCCTATAAGTACAGAGAAGAGGTATGACGTATAGGTTGCGTGCAAAAGGTTTTAGCAGAGTGCCCAGCAGGCGAGGATAGGGCTTCGCTGTCCTCGCCTGTCTCGGCCTGGAGCAGACAGAGGCAAACTGTTCACCCCGGTTTACACGAGGATTGAAGGATCAGGCTCCGAAGGATTGAATTGTGTGATCGCGCCTGGTATCAGGTTGGGGATTCAGGCTCGGCAGCAGCGAATAGGTTGGTAAAGCCTCACGCCCTGAAGCTCATCGCCAATGCCGTTTCTCCGTGATGAGGCAGCCTAGATGCACCCCGAAGTAGCGTTGATTTACATGTCAGATTGCGTAATATGTGATAACGCAGTACGTGAATGGCACATTTGCTGTCAAAGTACTCTGTAAAAGCAGGCTCGCTTGGCATTGTTGAATACGTTACATGTGTGTGTGTACGCAGGCTGAACCTGAGCCTCAGCTGGAGCCTAGTTGTTGTGTTGTAGTTGGGTCAATTAGAAAAGTATCAAGCTGGCTATTTAGTCAATTGGTTGCAGTGAGAAATGTCAGAAGGGTAATGTAGTTTTGAGATCCTCGCGCTGTTGCCTTTCCTCCTATCTCTTTCTTTTTATGTTTGATACCTTCCCTCCTATCCAGAATTATACGTATTAAGCATCCGCCTACCTCGCTGTCTTCGGTGAGTTTGCACTTCCAAATCATCATGGCAGTCAACATACAAGGAGACGCGGCCCCAATCGGGCAATCGAGTGCGAACCTGTTGGCGGCAACTTACCCAAAGCCAAGCTTGCCCAGCAACGTCGATGCTGAGACCGTGGCTGCAGAATGGGTGAAATCTTTCCAAGAGTTCATGCAAGCACGTCCATTCTTTCCACCCAAGCATCTCTTTTTCGAAGAATCCTACTGGCGCGATCACTTGTGTCTTTCCTGGGATTTTCACACTTGGCGCGGTCCCGAGGCAATATGCGCCGCCCTGCAGAAAACACAGCACGGGAGTCAGTTGCAGCAATTGTCAATAATCATTAACAGTGATGCGGCAAAAAAACCTGCGCTTCAGTCTGTTGATCATTATGGTAGTGTTCGAGGTGTTCAACTACACCTCGAGGTCGAGACAGGCGTCGGAACTGGAAAGGCTCTAGTAAGGCTGCTCCACGACGCGGATTCTCAAAAATGGAAAGCATTCACCGTCTTTACGGTGCTCGTTGAGCTTCGCGGCCATGCAGAAACAGTCGGGCACAAGCGGCCAGTTGGCTACATTCACTGCACTGCTAGCAAGCTTGGCAACTGGCCATCAATGAGGCATGCGCAGAGGAACTTTGAAATGGGCTTGCAACCAACTGCTCTCGTCATAGGTAATGTACTACAGCGATGCTCCCGTATATTTCCGACGTCCTGAAGTGCAACTAACTGAACTTTACAGGAGCTGGCCAGGCTGGCCTCTCGGCGGCTGCGCGCCTAACACAACTGGGTATCCAATGCCTAGTCATAGATCAGCGTCCAAGACTGGGTGACTGTTGGCACAGTCGCTACTTAAGACTTGTCCTCCATGACCCGGTTTGGTGTAAGTAGATCTGGACTTTGTGAATTGACTGGAGGCTGTACGCTGACGAATTACTGGTAGACAATCACATGCCCTACATACCATTTCCAGACAATTGGCCTGTATTTGCGCCCAAAGACAAAGTTGCAGAGTTCTTGAAGTCATATGCGCAACTTATGGACCTAAACACTTGGACGTCCTCGACCCTGAAACACGCAAAATGGGACGGTGGCGGCTGGGAGGTGGACATTGAGCGCGTGACAGACGGGGGACGCACCGAGGTGCGAAAGCTGCAGACCAAGCACATCATCCAGGCCACAGGAATAAACAGCGAGCCAAAGATCCCCAGAGTTCCTGGCATTAGCGAGTTTGACGGGCCCATCTACCACTCATCCGAGTTTACGACTGCGGAGCCAACCACGACACCCAAGAAGGTGGTGGTGGTCGGCACCGGCGTTTCCGGTCACGACATCGCGCAGGAGTTCTCTGAGCAAGGACACGATGTAACTCTTGTCCAGCGCGGCGCGACGTGCATCGATAGGACCGCATATGTCTACGGCCAGGGCCTGTATTCGGAAGACGGACCCCCAACCGAGGACGCAGACTTCATCACTCACAGTGTCCCGCTCCCAGTCTTGAAGAGAAAGGAGATCGAGAAGACTGACGAGCACATGATAGAGAACAAGCAATACTTTGAAGCACTGGAAAAGGTTGGCTACAGAATTGACAGAGGTCCAGATGGCGCGGGGTAAGTGTCCAGATATCTTCGATTGTTCCCCATCCGCCATTAGCAAAGACTAACCGAGGTTGTCATCGCAGACGAAAGTTCAAGTTCATCCAGTACGCCGGCGGCTCCTACATTGACGTCGGCGGGCTGCAGTTGATCATCGACGGGCACATCAAGGTCAAGCAGGGCGCCATCGCGCAGGTCAAAGTTCACTCTTTGGTCTTGGAGGACGGCACCGAGCTGCCCGCCGACGAGATTGTCTTCGCGACCGGATTCAGCAGCATGCTGGCGACGGCGGGAAAGATCATGGGCGGAGACTTTGTCCGGAAGCTCGACGAGGTCTGGGGAGTCGACGAGGAGGGCGAGATGCGGTCCATCTGGCGGCAGTCGGGACATCCGGGCTATTGGTTTGCAGGCGGCAACTTTGCACTGTGTAGGTACTATTCCAGGCTGCTGGCGCTGCAAATCAAGGCAATAGAGGAGGGCATTACATGCTATGCGGACCTGTAGAGGTGCAGGTGGCATGAATCTGGTTGGTATGGCACGTGAAAGGGAAGGAAAGGGCTGCGTTAAGGGTGATGTGTGACGGAAACTAGAATAGAGTCTCACGATTTTGACTAGAACTCATTCATTTAGGTTTCTTGTGGCATCCTGTGTGAGCTTGTTTCACAAAGAGGAAAAAAAAACAAAATGTACAGTTTCTTTCAGAAGCCTTGGTCAAGTATCAACGTGATGTCTTTTACGGCGCTCGAGAATGTAAATCATCAACTAAGGCTGTCTGAGCGGACATGCGACCGGAGGTAGCAGGCGCCCATCGGCATTTGGAGACTGACACGTCAGCATTTTGAGTGACCTGGGCTCTGTAATTCTGCTTGCGAGTGGCGCAAATATTTATACAAGCATGTACCCAATGCTGTACTACTCCTGCGTTTCCTAAACTACTATTGAGAAACTTGGCTCGGATCGATCCACGGCAATTCCTCACAACCCGCTCTGGAAGGGCGAATCTTGACTGTTGTCATAATGTCCATCACGCAATTAACAAGGCGTGAGGCGAAAGCATTTCTGAGTCGCTATGATGTGAGTAGTTGCGCGCAAACGAAGTTTATGACAGCCAACACTCACAGTTGACGTGGCATAGACATTTCTGCTTGACTGTGATGGTATGCTACAGAACAGTATTTAGACTTGTGATTACACCGCCTAATGTGACTTTAGGAGTGATATGGTCTGGCGACGAGCTTCTTCCTGGCGCTGCGGACGCAGTTTTGTTCTTACGAGAGCAGCGTACGTCCCATTCTCCCTCCACGCGATCTGATGCTCATCTCAAGACAGGAAAAAGAATCATCTTCGTTACAAACAACTCAACCGCATCACGCGACAGCATTTGCCAACGATTTCGGAAGTTCGACATAGCGGCAAGCATAGATGACATATTTACGTCAGCTTACAGCACCGCGGTGTACCTGACGCGAGTCAACAAGCTTTCTCCGCCGCGCGACAAGGTTTTTGTTCTTGGAAGCGCAGGCATCGAGGAAGAGCTTGCAGCCGTCGGCATCGAGTTCTCCGGCGGTACCGATCCGACCTTCCAGCGCCAGGTGGTGGAGGATGACTTTCGACGCCTAGCTGAAGCATCCAATGCCCCGAGTACCTTTGGCGCGGTTGTCGTCGGCATGGATTTAGACGTCAATTTTCTCAAGCTCAGTCATGCCGTGACACACATACGGAACGGCGCTACATTTCTCGCGACCAACTTGGACGCCACGTTTCCCACCTTGGGGGCCGCATTTCCAGCGTCGGGATCTTTGGCGGCAGCGGTCACCAAGGCTGCCAGTGTAGAGCCTCTGCTCACGGGGAAGCCGAGTCCCTTGATGATGGACGCCATCTTGGCGCGCTACGGCCCGCTCGACCGGGACCGCACCTGTATGGTGGGCGATGGGCTTGACGTCGATATTCGTTTTGGGCTGGAGCAAGGGCTAGGCACGCTTCTTGTGCTCTCAGGCGTCTCGTCGCTCGAGGACCTGGAAGATACGCGCTACAAGCCAGAAGCAGTTGTGGACCGGCTGGTTGACCTGGTACCTGAGTTTAGCGTCTAGATGTGGCTGGGATACATAGACAGCCGAGATACACAGTTGGCACCATTTGATGTACATGTCACGTTGATGCACTTTGGCGTGATGAGCTGGATAATTCAACTGTTAATCCTATCAGTAACGCATAGGGAAATAAGAGTGGAGTGACGGCGTGACAGCAGGCGGTAAAGCCGGCCACGGAAATATTAGCACCACCATAATCTTAGCGTGGCTCTTACATATAAAACATAACCTTTTAGCCTTATATATAGAATTTCTATAAATAATAATAATTCTTTATAAAGTAAAGGAATAAAAGTTAATAGTTACTAGTAAATTACTAGTAAACCTTAATACTTCTTTTTAAGTTTTAATTATTTATAGAATTTTATAATAAGTCTAGAATAAATCCTATATAAAAGAGATAAATTTATATACACTATATAGTATCTCCTTATTATTCTATAGATTGTATATATATATTTAAAATACTTAAAATAGTTTTTTTAGATAAAAGTATTTAATTATAAAGAATTATTCAATTTATATTATAAATTTAGAAGACTTTTTTTTTTAAATATAATATAGTCTTTAGAACTCCTTTAGACTATTTATATTTATTCTATACTTTTATATAATAAGTTATATAGAAATATAAAAAAGTACTTTTATAGTATATTTTACTAATAAAACCTTATTTAAACTCTAAAAATCTATATAAAGGGAACTACTAAATAAAAGATTATATAATTTTTATATAACTTTTATATAAGACTAGTAAAGTAAAGAATTAAATTTTATATATACTTATATATTTTGAGTGTATAGGTTAAGCTTTAGAATCTCTAGAAAGTTATATATTCTTCTGTTTTTTAGACGTAAATGGCTGAGGGTGGTGCTAACATCTGGGTGGCCGACGTTAGGTGCCGCGCATGCGTCTGTGCCTAGCGGTATCGCCGTGCTATGCTACTACAGGGGGTTGTTGTTATTCAGAGTAACAATCGTGCCGGGTGGCATGCCAGACCAGTTTCTGTCGCAGGCTGTGCTCGCTGCCTTGAACGTCAAAGCTACTTGCATACACAGGAACCGTCAAGGACTCATGGTAGCTGTGGAGCCGAGAGGCGAAGGTGTCGGAAGTTTCGCATGAGGATGCGTGATTCTGCGGCTGACTGTCTCTAATCCTTTGACTTTGCCCATTGCATGTCATTGATAGGCTCTCGTCACGACAATGCAGGTGTAAATTGGCTGAATGTGAGCCTTCAGTTACAGAATTAGGTGAGCCTATCGCCGTGAAACGTTTCCCTGGCTGAGCGCCAGGCAACACAAGCCATGCCTGCAGGCTCGCAGCGATGCAACGTGATTGCAAGGAGGATTGGTTAGGCAAAGATGGGACCGAGGGAGGCAACGAGAGAACTTGACCGAAAGCGACTCGATTGTTGGGTGACTCCTTTAGCGGTCAGCATTCCTCTGCTTGATTGGGAGCGAACTCCGTAAGCGGCTGCACAATTGTAGCCTATGTGAGAATAGTGATTGTACACTGCATATCAGGCTGGGAGCCTCTGATTCCTGCATGTCAATCAGGCTGGGGGCCTTGTGTGATGATGACGCGGCAAATGTGTACGGGATGGTTGTAGGCGCGACGAACACTGCCTCTGTTCCAATAAGGCTATAACTGGTTAGTTTGAATTTGTATCATTTTGAAGAGGAAAGATGCGAATAGCATTGTATACTTGGTATTGAATAATATAAGCGTTCTAAATTATATATATTTAATAGATAAATTTAAGGATAAAAATATTTCACTTATTAAATTATTTTATATTACTTATAATAAAAAGTTTCTACTTAATAGTCTACTAAGTTTATTTTATTCCATTTTACTTGGTTATTAACACTATTTGTTATTCATAGCATAGACTACTCAATATAATGAATCACCCGTGCCGCGTCTTCTGACCGCTAGTCAAACCGGGCAACAGTGGGGTGAGCGCTGTAGCGGACCGATGCGGGCGCTGCCTGCGGGCGTTGAGGGTGCCGATTAAGTTCGTGGTTAGTGGGGACGTTCCGCAAGCGTCTACCCGGCATCGCTGCCACAGCAAGAGTCACATCAGTCTTCCAAGACTACCCCATCAGAACAAGTTTGATGACAAAAAAAAAACACATTTTGCGAAGCCATCGCCATGTAAACCGGCCTTCAATCGCAGCCAATTGCTCCATTTTCAAGTCTTTAGGCTGTGCTTCCGTTTGCAACATGCCTACTGACGCGAGCCCCGAGAAGGGCTCGACGACTCCCGCTAGGAGCAACCAGGAGCAAGAAATCATACAGCGGCAATTGCATTTTGAAGAGGTCGACTCTTCATTCTTTTCTCTCTTTCAATACGCAACGCCCATCGACTTCCTCGTTATCGCCATCAGCGCTGTGTTCGCTTTGATCGCTGGTGCTCTCGTTCCCCTCCCCGCGGTAGGTTCCTCCCGTCCTCTTCCTACCATTCTAACTGTTGGCTAATGTCATAGCCAGGTCTTGTTTGGGCAGCTCTCCGATGTGTTTGTTAGAGTAGAGAGTGGCGGCTCTGCCCACCACTCAGGCTCTGGCCAACAGATCAGCTACTACTCGACATTCTTCCTTTATATAGCCCTGGCCGCCTTGGCTTCCTGGTTCATCTCTACTGCGGGATTCTCTCACGCTGGAGCGAGAATCTCCCAGCAGATCAGAATACGATACCTCGAGGCGCTCTTGCGCCAAAATATGGGCGTCTTCGACGACATGGGTTCCGGCAACCTGGTGTCACCACTCGGAGCAGACTTGAATGCCATTCAGGACGCCATGTCCCAGAAACTGTCAATCACTGTCAGCAGTATTGGTACATTACTTGCCACTTATATTATGAGCTTCATCCTCCACTGGAAGCTGACTCTGATGCTGACATGGTCCTTCTTTCTGGGCCTGGCCCTTCTCTACCTTGGCAACTTGGTAGCAGGTCGATACTTGGGACGCTCGACAGAGGCCCAAACAGCTAGCAGCTCTGTCGCAGAGGAAGCTCTTGGGTCCATCAAGAGTATTACGGCCTTGGCCTTTCAGAAACAAATATCCAGCAGCTATGACTGTCAGCTCAAAAAGGCTGAGAAGGCTGGATCTGCCCTCAAAACACTAATGGGTATCATGGTAGCAGTCACGGTCGGCACTGGCTACTTGAACGTTGCCCTCTCTTTTTGGCAGGGCTCCAATTTTCTTGAGCACGGCAAGATCTCATTCATGGCTCTTGTTGCCATCACGGTCATCGCCAAAACTGCTGCTTTCTGCGTCCTTAGTGTCGGCCATAACGCCGAGACCTTTGTGACAGCAAAGGGCGCAGCGCTGCGGGTCATGCGAATGACCAGCCGAATTTCTCCTATTGATCCCATGTCGGACATTGGCCAAGTACCTGAACAGATAGATGGTACTATTGAGCTCCGAGACATCAAGCACATCTACCCTTCGCGGCCCGAAATCGCCGTCGCCAATGGCCTGAGCGTGCGATTCCCAGCCGGAAAAATTACAGCTGTTGTTGGGGCCTCTGGCTCAGGTAAAAGCTCTATTGCGAAGCTGATCATGCGTTTTTACGAGCCTGTCGGTGGTCAGATCCATCTTGACAATCACCGCCTCCAGGATCTTAACCTGAGATGGCTGAGGCGTCAAATCAGATTGGTGAACCAGGACACCTACCTCTTTGACACCACTATTCTCAAGAACATTGAGTATGGCTTTTGTGGCACGCCGCTTGATAATTTGACCGCTGCAGAGAAGCTGGAAAGGGTCGAGGCGGCTGCCAAAAGTGCCTGCGCCCACGACTTCATCATGGGTCTACCACAGGGTTACCAAACAACAGTGGGCCCTAGAGGCTCAAAGATGTCAGGAGGTCAGAAGCAAAGGATTGCTATTGCCAGGGCACTCGTTGTCGAGCCCAAGCTCCTCATTCTGGACGAGGCTACATCTGCCCTAGATGTTAGGACGGAGATGTCCGTCCAGGCTGCACTCGGCGCCTCCACAATAGACAGAACAACCATCATCATTGCTCATCGTCTTTCAACTGTTCGCCAAGCAGACAATATTGTTGTGGTTGAGCATGGAGTCAATGTTGAGGAGGGTACACATACCGAATTGATGGGACGCCAAGGCACCTACTTTGCCCTCGTCAACGCCCAAGATGTTTCTGAGGGGAATAAAGAGGACGTGAATGAATACTCCCATCTCGAAGCAGGTACGAAAGAGTTGGCCGACAATCAGCACAAAGTTGGAGATGGGCAGGATGAACGGGAGGGTGTGTGGGGTACTTTGGCTGTCTCTGATCAGCCGGCGGAACTTGCGCTTTCGACAGCCAAGAAAGATGATACCTCCTCGAGCTCACTCCTTTCCATGGCCAAGTTTGTCCTACAGCTCAACAAGGAGGAGTGGTATTACATTTCGATAGGTCTTCTCTGCTCCGCCATTGCCGGTTTTGAGGAGCCGGCTTCGGCCATCTTGTTTGGCCACGCGGTTGTCGAGGCCGCGACAACATCCGCCCACGATCAGGCTAAATCAAGGGCTAGCTTTTGGTCCTGGATGTTTTTCCTGCTTGCCGTTGTCATGATGATAGTTTTCAGCATCCAGAGCTCAGTCTTTGCGATTTGTTCAGAGCGCTTGATCTATCGAGCACGGAAGCTTGCGCTGGCACACATGCTCCGTCAGGAGATTGCATTCTTCGACAAGAAGGAAAACTCGCCTGGAGCTCTCGTCAACTTTCTGTCTACGGAGGCGGCTGATCTTGCCGGGATCAGCGGTGGTACTGTTGGACTTATCCTGATCGCTACATCGACACTTACAGCTGCATTTGTCGTTAGTGTAGCGTTTGGGTGGAAGCTCGCACTTGTTTGCTCGGCTGTAATCCCTATTCTTATTGGGAGTGGGTTTATCGGAGTTTGGGCTTCTAGTCGCTTTGAAAAGCTCAATGAAGAGCACACGAGAGCGTCAGCTGCCTATGCGGGAGAAGCCATCAGCGCCATTCAGACAGTGGCCTCGCTCACAATGGAAACGCGCATTCTCCAAGACTACGAGAAGAGCCTAGCTATACATGCAAAGGCAGGCTTAAAAGCCAATCTGAAGGCGTGTTTGGTGCTTTCTTTGGCGCGGAGTGGCGTCTACGCTTGCATGGCTCTAGGATTCTGGTATGGAGGCACCCTGATACTCGGTGGCGAGTATTCACTACTGCAATTTGTCATTGTGTATTCCTCCATCATAACGAGCGCATACTCTGCGGGTCTGATATTTTCTTTCACGCCGAATATTGGCAAGGCAAAGCGGTCTGCCGTCAACCTCCAGAGTCTGCTCGAGCGCAAGTCGCAGATTGACCCCGAGTCTCTGCTGGGCAAGAAGCCGCCTCAGCAGCCCCGAGGAAACATTGAGTTTAGGGATGTGAGCTTTGCCTACCCAACTCGACCGCAGCATCTAGCGCTGGAAAAGATCTCTTTCAATGTCGCAGGCGGGTCGAGCGTTGCCTTTATTGGCCACACTGGCAGCGGGAAGAGCACGATTATATCACTCATCGAGCGCTTCTATGATCCTACTGCCGGAAGCATTCTGCTTGACGGAGAATCCATCGACTCGCTCAACATCTCCGAATACCGCAGTTGTATGGGACTCGTCACTCAAGAACCAGTACTGCTCCAGGGAACCATACGAATGAACATATTGGCTGGGTGCAAGGGAGAAGAAATATCTGACGTCGCAGTTCAGGAAGCTTGCAAGCAGGCCAACATACTTGACTTCGTCTCCTCACTACCGTAAGTGCCATGACACTGCAGCTGCCAAACTAAAGAGGCTTCCCGCTAACCAGAGCAAACAACAAAAAAAACAGTGACGGACTCAATACCGTAGTGGGAAATCGCGGTGAGCAGCTCAGCGGCGGGCAGCGCCAGCGCCTGGCCATTGCCCGCGCCCTCGTGAAGAAGCCGCCGATTCTCATCCTCGACGAGGCCACGTCTGCCGTCGACACGCAGTCCGAGTCTCTTATTCAAGACGCTCTGGGAGAAGCCAGCCGCGGTCGCACGACGATTACCGTCGCGCACCGTCTGAGCACCATTCGGCACGCCGATGTCATCTATGTACTTGAGCAGGGGCGGATCGCTGAGTCTGGCTCGCATTCGAGCCTTATGGCGAAGAACGGGATTTATTTTGACATGTTCTCCAAGGATGACCGACGGCAGAGTTAGCAGTACAATGAAATTTTGCTCCCAAATTGCGTGTTGGGAATCGTGAGCTAGTTATAGGTCTTGGAATACCCGGAATGCGCCCGAACAGCTCTTTACTCTGCCGCCTGATATCTCCATCATACTGGACAAACCCATCGCCATAGTAACATACGAGCTAATCGTTCAGTTGGGGCATAATTGCGGCCCCTGCACCAGCTGTTGTAGCATCTGGATACGGTCGCACATTAGCTAAGGTACCGCCATTCGTGCAAATGGACCAAATTCGTGATTGTTCCTAACTATGTAGGTAGCCGACGTTAGTGTACAGCAACCAGAAAGGCGGAAGCAAATATTAGCCAGTGGTTTAAAGTATGGGGAGCCAGTTAGTACGTTGTCTAAACGTCCTGAGTAGGGCTCAAGCTGCTTCTTCTATGTGGAGCGCTGCCTTCCCCGAGCTAAGCTGTGGGTGGTCTGTCTAGGGGGTCCGTCTAGACTTTCAGTGGATGCATTCTAATGAGGCGTAGTTAAGGTTATTCTTATGCGGAGGGCTGCCGTCCCCGTGCCAAGCCAGTCTGTCGAGACTCGGTCGATGCATTCTGAGGAAGCGAACGCAGCTGAAGCCATTGTATGCGGAGGGCTGCACTCCCGCGCCACAGGAGTTGACCAGCGAATAAGTCAACGTCTGATTCAATAGCCGCCTTAAAGTTAAACGCCCAAGAGATCAGCTCGACACGCCACGGAAGTCAGCTCGACACGCCATAGAGACTAGAACGAATAGTATCAATATATAGGGGGGTGTTGTCTTTTAACAAGGTAATGGGCGCAATGCATAGCAATATATTGGGCGCCACTGACGAAGGAAGGGACCGTTGCACACTATCTACGTTAGACCAGTATCCTAGAAATATACATATATAATGCCTCGACTGTCCCGGTCTATAGGACTTCCTTTCACCCACTTATTCCCAATCATAACTTTCTTGACAAGAAAACCAAATCCATATAATCATGACTATTGTTCGAGATGAGCAACCCCGCTCCTGGTCCCACCACTTTCAGCGCGTTACGATCAACATGGACGTGGTATCACAGGAATGCATCAACATGATCAACGAAAAAGAAGTGCAAGAACTCCTTAAGCGAGATGGAGTTCGTCACGCCTCCTTCGGTCAAGCCGTAGCCGATAACAACAACGGCAACAAGCTCGCCAACGGCTACATTTCGAAGCTTGAGATTACCGGGTTCAGCCACAAGACGAAAAAGCTTACTCGCTTTGATAGGTCTCGGCGCTGGGATTGTGATGTTTCTATTGCCTATAATGCTGTTCAGGAATTTGTCACCATGGATGATGCAGAGAAGGATGGGGATTTCAGCCGGCCCCCGATTCAAGCTGTAAACGACCTGCGTCAACAGTTTACGAAGTATGGTGTCTAGGGTTGGTGTTGTTAACAGTCTGACCGTCTTACTACTGCGGTGCACTGTCGCGGTGGTAAGGTTATATATTTTAATATTAAGTATTGCGCACCTTGTTAATTACTGGGTCGACTAGCGATGTGATACCTGGACTGAAGATCTTGAGCTATATTAACTATAGCGGGAAAAAGAAGAAAAAAAAAGCCTTTAGTCCTCTAGCGGTGCCTTGACCAGTGAAATATTGAAAGGTCTCTCGACTCTTGCGGTACAATTACCAGGTGTACTTGGACGAGCGAAACGGTCATCAACCCAGGCAAGCCATTGCGGGCTCAGAAGCCGCAATTACCGGTGAGTGTTCCATGGCCATATACTCTACCAAATGAACTTCGCTACCGATTTTGCAAGCATTTTCATACACCTCGCGAGTGGACTGGGCAAGGACGGCCGTGTCATTCAAGCCTTGAACAACGAGCACAGGCTTATTAGAGCTGCGGTGTCCAGCTGTGGCGGGGCCCATCTCAGCTTTCCACTGCTGAAACTTGGCATTGTCCTGCGCCAGACCTGTTGAAGAAACAATCTCGTCGCTTGTCAAATCGGCACTGATGCTCATGAGACCATTGAAGCACAGCTGCGCCTTGTCAGCCAAGGGGATGCGTGCGCTTGCGAAGAGGCTCGGCTAGCACGGTCAGATTGTAGTCTGGGAAGACGCGCTGCAAGGCCTTTGCATGATAAGGAGCATAGCCTAAGAAGGCGCCCTCAGTCTTGAGATTCCGCTGAAACATGGACCAAAGTCGCGCAGCAGGTGCAAGTGAGACTGTGCCCAGGAAGTGGTTGTCATGGCCGACAAGGCCACTCTCTGACAGCTTCCATACAGCTGCGCCGCCTTGCGAGTGTCCAACGCTCATCCAGTCTTTTGAAATGATGCAGAAAGCCTTTCGGGCGGCAATGAAAGAATAGTACACATCGTTGGCCTGCGCGATGTAGCTTCCATACTTGTGCAAGGGTAAAGTGGTTGCCAAGACCAGCAGAGTCGGTAGCGACCACCGCGTATCCCCGCTGAACAAGCAGCTGCCAACTGTCATGGTTGTAAAGATTTGGCCCGTTGGATGGAGCACACCCGTGATAAACACCGCTTGTGCCGTGTGCGTATGCGACGAGCGGATACTTGCAAGTGTTGCCGCAGCCAGCCTCAGCCGGTGCAAAGGGAAGAGCAACGAACGCGGTAGCAGGCACCAGTGCTGCTCTGGGCAGCGGGGTTGCACATGCAGCTATGTAGGTATGTATGTATGTAAGTAGGCTTTCTACCAAAGCTTCGCCGGCCAGGGACTTGTACCATTTTCTTTCTTTCTTGCATTCTTATTATTCTTATATTTCTCATCTTTTATACATTTCTTATCTTTTTATGTCTGTATTATCCCCCACATCTTTCTTATCTTTTATATCTTTCTTATATTCTCAATCCATCTTTATACCTATATATTTTATTCCTACCCTATATCTATCCGATCGTCAGTCGATCGTAGCTATAAATTTTAAAAGGGATTTCTGTACTACATCTCTCAATAAAAAGAATAAAGCTGTCTTTGGGGGATAACATATAAATAGAAAACTCTAATACTAACGTGTGAAGCACTAAATGATAGCTATGTATGTACCTTCCTAGGCAGGTGACTGTTGTGCGTGGCCACGTCGAGACGGCGCAAGTAGAAGACAAATTTTCCATTATTTTATTTTACTTTAAGCCCCCCCCCCCTAGCTTGAGTGCTGAAGATCCTGCAGAATCTTGCGTCCCCGCACGCAGTCCTCCTCGTGGAAAGGCTCCCGTGAATCCTCCGCAATGCCCTCCTTGACCCACCGCTGCACCGCCGGATGCTCAAACAGGCGATCCACATACTCCCCCGCCTTGCCCGGGATCGCCAGACCGTACGTCTTCAAGCGCGACGCGATCGGGGCGAAGAACGCGTCCGCCGCCGAGAAGCTTGGCCCCGCGATCCACGGCCCGCCGAAGCGCTCCAATCCCTCGACGAAGAGCGCGGCCATGCGGTCCAGCTCGGCCTGGAGGTCGGCGCCGACGGGGCCAAACTCGATGCGTAGGCCGACGTTCATGGAGCACTGGTCGCGGACGGCCGGGAAGCCGGCGTGCATCTCGGCGGCGGCGCTGCGGGCGAAGGCGCGGGCGGCGCGGTCGGCGGGCCACACGGCGGGGTGGGTCTCGGCGACATACTCGCAGATGGCGAGAGAATCCCAGACGACGACGGGAGAGGAAGAGGAGGAGGAGGTGTCGTGGAGGCAGGGAACCTTGGCGGTGGGCGAAAAGGCGATGAATTCGGGTTGACGCTGCGTAGGTTGGAAGATGTGCAGCTTCTCGTCAAAGGGGACGCCGACGGCAGTGAAGAGCACCCAGGGCCGCATGGACCAGCTGGAGTAACGCTTGTTTCCGATATACAGAGAGTAGGACATGTTTGCCTGTTTTGAGTGACGCTTGTGTTGGTGTTGGATTGCGTTCTGCAAAGATACGAGCAGAGGAGCAAACGAGGAATTTAAGCCTGACACCAGTAGAAGCAAGTGGGAGTGGATATGCTTCGTCGCTCAGCTGTGACTCACAAAACTAGTAAACACCTCATCTTATTAGGGTAAGTTAACTACTTGTATTTCTAAGCTGCAAGCTCCAAGCTCCACCGGTTCACCAAAACTGGCGCGCGCCAAATCTTCAGCTCAACCTACATAGCCCACGTACTCTCACCGTGCTGCCATGTGGCGATGCTGAGATGATTCGACGCTTGTGGGACAACGCAGGGAGCAAACCATGATAAAACAAATAATGCGTCCAGGCCTTGCCGTCGAGTATCCATGCTGAGTTGCACACAGTCAAACCCGCTGCCTTCCTCGGATCCTGCGACTTGTACGAGGCCCCTGGATGATGTGTCGTCCGCTCCTCACTCGCATCTTTTGCCGTTTGCATTTTCGACTGCAGAGGCGGTTGCACAATGGTAAAGACTGTTCCTGCCCTCTTCACCGCTCGGGATGGTGATTGACTCTGGCATCGATGCCCTCTCGGCTTATAAAAGGATGCCTATCCCCCCCCGAGATGAGAAGTTGTTTCTTGCAACAAACACAACATTTTTATTTTGGCGCGCTTCAAAGCCACCAACTTTGAAGCCGCCAAAACCACAGTCTCAAAAAAAACTTCTTCGCGCTGTAAGTTGAACACTCAAACCTCAAAGCACATCTCCTTCCCCTTCCTTCTCCTTCCTTCCCCTTCCTTCCTCCCTCCTTGTGCATAACCACATCTTGGTTCAATGCCCATCAAGCTTGCAATGAATCAACAATACACTAACAAGCCTCAGCACATATGGATGCACCCATCGGTTCCAAGGCGTTCAACGGCATCGACGAATACGTCTGGAACCACACCTTCATCGTCACGACCGAACGCCTCGTCGTCGGGAGAGGTGTCTTGATCATGCTCTTTGACCCTCTCGCCGCTCTCCAGTGGAGCGGCAAAGACACCAGCGAAGGGAACGCGCCTGGATCACCGGGCAAGTCCCTCTCTCCCGGCGACAATGTCGTCGTGTACGATGCAACCGTGCGGTTCCATTGAAGCCACCGCCTACACACCACTACCACTACCACCTGGAGCTTGGGACTTCGCCATCCTACACTTTGTGAGTGTTTTGTTGCACAAAACCCCCCTGCGAGAAGAGTTTGAGCAACCAAACTCTACGCGCTTTCCACTACAAGCTGCTCTTGCATGATACCCAGGTATGCACCTTTTGTTTTGGGGGGAGTTTGGAAAAAAATGGGTCAGATAGTTTGGGGGTATATAGAAACGTAACAAAAATACAGGTACATTCAAGCACATGATGTCTATGAACTGTGAATAACTTGTGCATGTGTGAAGATAACATAGCCAGTAGAGCACGCGGCGCAGCCCTGTTCAAGCCCGTAAGCACAGTAGACAGGCTTGGACTCGGGCCGAAGCTGCGCTTAATAGTACTCAGCTTCTCAATGTGTGCTACTCTATCAGGTAACCTTATGAAAAGGGTTTCATAAAAAAACGAACCTATCGTTCCCCATAGATGTTTACAGTGAGTGGCAACGGGCAGTCCCACACAGAGGTCCTTACCCTGCAGCCATATCGACATACTGTACTATGAGTTGGGCACTGTAGGAAACAGTAGCTAGTATTTCTATTGGATTTTAATTTATGAAGGACGAGATTAAATATCATGCATTCACTCCATGTAAATCGGGATGCTTTTCTTTGTATGCTAAATAGTATGCTAAATAGTATGTATACGCTCTTCATTTCTTTGCTCGTTGCTTCCTCGTCGGTCCGCTTCCCACTCGGTACCTGCTCGGCATCCTCGCCGCAAAGCAGCTCGTTCCTCGCGCAGAGATGTGCGCCTTCCCGGGACCTCGGGCGGCGGCCTCGGTGTTTGCTCCGAAAGCGTGGCCAAACACGGCGACGTGACTTCGGGAGGCCCCGCCAGAGCCTGAACATCTTTTCGGCAGTGGGCGACCGTCGGGTGCCAGATACGACACATGCTAATAGCAGTAGGCTCGCGCATGCTCTCCGCGGCTCGCAAGACGACTCGATCACCATGGTCATCGTCGTGAGAGCCGTCAGCATCCGGGGCTGGCTCGTCCTCGCGTACCTTGCTGGCCACTAGTTTAGTGCTGTCATCCTGCCGAGCGTCCTCACCGTGGCCGCGCGCGTCTTCGCCGAGGCGCACGTCAGGACGAGTACTCTGGATTGCGTTTCTCAGCTGATTCGGCGCAGGTACCCAGCCCTGAGGAGGTGCGTGCCAGGTCGCGGGCGGCCTGATACTGGCCACGGCCAAGTTTTGCGGCGGGAAGGAGGTGAACTGATGGACAAGATAATTGGATCAATATTCAAAGTACGTGAACTCACCATAAAGTCGCGAAGGGAGTAGACGAAAACAAGAGTATAGAAATTTGTACTGAGGGTTCTAGTTCTGTAACATGTAGTTCGGAAATAGCTTCGGATGTCGCCCATGTTGGACGCCCTTCAGGCTATCGTCGGTCAACAATCCGTGATTATTTCCTTGTTCATTCTTCCAGAAGAAAATAGAACTACAGCATTCCTTCCCTTGCCATTCTTCCAGAGTGCCATAGGACAATGGTCAGTATGCTACCGGCTACCAAGCAGAGCCCGGGCCAGCAGCCAGCGATCAGTTGTCGTGCTTTGGCTCGCCCAGATCGGTCTTCTCGGAGAGTTTCCCTACCCGAAGAGCCTTATCGCACGCAGACCTTTCCTGCACGTTCAGACATGCATAAAACGCCACCGTTGCTTTGTAAAGGAGCGCCACGGCTGAGACTATTGACTCCCCCGCACGCGGGTGCGAACGGAGGGGGTGAGTCGGATGGGAAAGAATCTACTGCGGGTGTGTTAGGGCCGTTGAGATGGGCAGATTGCGTCGCATATGCGTGAGAAAGAGAGTTCTGGCTAGCTTGATGCTCTCGGAACAAGATGGTCAAGGGCTAGAGTGGCACTACTGGACACCGGTTGGGACTGCATGGAAGTTCTCGTGGCTTTGTAACGTTTATAATAACTAATTCGTAGCGAATTCTTTCTAGCTCGATGTGTCTTTTAATCGTCTACTATGATTATTACTACTAGTATTATTACTATATAAGAAAACGCGCCTAATAAGCAGGAAATACTAGCTGTGTTTACAATGTTAGCCTCTTAGACCCTATGAACGCCCTGGCCGGCCTCGTCGCAGATCTAGGCGCTACGAAGCTGTCGGTGGCAGCTTTTTCACCTGGCGCGCGCGATGCTGCACGATGCTGGACAAGAACGGCACGGGGTCGCGCCTAGGTGGTTTAGTTTGCTACTCTTTCATGGCCATGAAAAAGGGTCTTTGCGCAGGGGCATTGTCCGAAGGTGAGACGGTCACGCTGCACGCGGTCCTGCAAACAATGCCAGCCAGCGCAGTCCAAAGGGGAAAAAGGGCGTTAACCCAACTACATGAAAAGGATGGCTGGCAGTGTGACATGGGCTGAGGATGTACCGGCTCTTACACTAGGTAAGTTAGCTACGTAGAACAAAGCCAGCACAGCGCCTATTGCTGGGTCGTGCGGACTGTGGGCAGTGCGCGCAGACGGCTGCGGACAGAGCTGCCTCATGTGCATGGCACAAGGCGTTATGAGAGGTGCAATACCTGGTGTAAATACGACCGCGGCGAGTTTGTCCGCGGTAGCTTCACAGAAAGTCTTTGACAACAATTTTATCTATATATAGCCAGCTCTTTTCCCTCGAGAATCAAGTCTCTTTCTTATTATCAACAGTATTTACCATCTTCTTCTTTCTTCTACAACACGTTTTATATTACAACAAGAGCTTACATTGCAACAACTATAAACATGCGCGTTTCAGGTCTTCTTGCCCTCCTCGGCGTTGCCAGCGGCGCCCTCGCAGCTTGTGCCGGAGCGTCCGGATGCTGCTGCCACGAATTTGATGAAATGCGCCGCAGTGAACCGACTCTGTGGGTCAAACCTGGCACTACTCAGGCGCAGATTGACGAATTCCTTGCGAATAACGCATGAGTACGGTATACTCTTGATTTCCTCATCTATGCTGAGAAACCTGAGTGCTAATCATATGAAACGCAGGAATCTATAGGATCATAATGCTTTACGCTTATTTGTAATGTTAAAACGCAACTCACAAGACATTACAGTATAGGAACTACCCTGTATAAGCGAAGCAAGATCGTCAACTGATTAGATGTCACAGAACGCGGCTAGCTCGAAGAAGGTGGGGGGAGAGGTAGTGAAGGAGTAGCTGCGGTGTATCTAGTGTATAGTAAACAAGTCCCAATGACTCTATCGATCACTGGAGGGGAGAAGTCCCTCTCCAGTGGCTTCCTCATATGTGACTATCTATGGAGCGTGACAAAGACATGCACTGTAAGGCCGGCGGCACAACTGCAAGAGTCGCCAAGAAACACTCAAACGGGAAGGCCGACCCGAAGAATCAGTGGCATTACTGTGTGTCAGTAAGGTAAGAAGACTTTGAGCTTCTGGGACGGGGCAGGCATCTGCAGTGTATTGCCTGAAAGCTGTTGGAGACAAGACGACATGGTTCGGCCAAGGCTCGGCGGCCCTCCCACAAGACCGCCTCAAGATTGGCTCTCGCCACCTGGTCCAGAAAAGCCGGGAACTAGCTGCATGCCTTGGGAATTTGTCCAACGTAGCACAAGTCCACAAGTCTGAGGGTGGCATCGTGGGCTGCTTTCACGTGTTCCCCGGCGAGCTCATAATATTATACAGCGCGGAACGCGGGCACCGGAAATGTATGGAGCCTTATTAAACAACATTGTCCGAGGTATATAACGAATATTTCCGTTCTCCAAACATGACGTCGAGAAACCGCTTCGTTGATGCTCGAGCGAAGGAAGGGGAAGTTGAAGTATGGGTGACAAGATCTGTTAGTCAGTCACCGACAAACATTTGGTGGCTTGAGCGTGCCTTTGATGCATCGCCGTGCTTTTATGATGACCACCAACTGATAGGCATCCTGATGTCAGCTTGTACTCCGAATCCGGAGCTTCTCGCTTCCACTCCAAGCCAATCCCATGCAACTCCGCTCACACCTGACGATGGATGGATGCAGCACATCCTGGGCGAAAATTTGCTGTTGCCGCTGCCGTCGCCCGCCGCGGGCCCCAGTTGTCATGGCCTTACCGGGAACTGCAGGAGAGAGAGGGAGGGCGCCCTGTCCGTCGCAGCTGCACGATCGTCCGGTGATTGGGCCGGACCAGGACTAAAGTCAAGCCTAAATTTAAAGGCTGGCCTTCCGAAAGAACCGACAAGGTCGTCGGAGTGTGTGGAGCGAGAGGGCTTCTCTGACTCCATACGAACATCCAGGTTTCTCGAAATGTGTCAGGACAGAAGATGGGGATGGGTGGGTGGTGTGCTAGGCAATCAATAGTGTTATGCCCGCTCGCTATGCTTGCCTACACGAGTTTCCAGCTTGGTGGCAAGAAAAGTAGGGAATCAAAGAGTACGCCGTCTTGGCAAGGTTCCTCGTTTATTGTTGGTGGTGGTGGGTGACCCTTGCTTGTCCCGAACCCTTCGGCCGAGCCCAGCATCCAGCATGGTTGGTTGGTGTGTGGTGTTGAGGCTGGCTGCAACAACAAACAAACACACAAACTCCTCTTTCCATGCCGGCCTTTTTTTTTTCATAATTTTCCAATATTGCAGGCTTGGCAAAAAGCCTCTTCTGACTCGGTTACCGACAGAATCAGATGTTTCTCCCCGCGCCGGGCCTGGTAGCTGGACTGCGGCTGGTCCTTGGCACTCTTCTTCTCGTGGATTTGGAGTGGAGGTTGGTTACCAGGATCATTGGCCCGTCAAAGAGAGGAAAAAAGACTTGGCCTGATCTTATCAGATGATCTCCCTCCAATCAGCTCCTGTCATGTCGTACAGGGGGTTGCCACTCAAAATCCACTTGACAGTAATTAAGCCCACCGTGAAGAGCGAGTTTCCGGAGTGCGGTTCGGAATGCCCCGACCACCATCGCTCATCGGCGAATTCGGTGTTTTGGGCACGCATGTATGTATGTATGTAGTATGACATGTATAAAAAGAAGCCATCATCTCACCTGAAACCTGTTCGTGTCTGTCTTTGCTTCTCAGACTCGCAAGGCCTCGTTTAAACAAAAAGCTTGGACTACCACATTCCAACTTTCCTTCATCTTCAATCATCATGCAGGGTTTCTTCAAGTTGAGCCTGCTCGCCGCTGCGGCCTCCCTCTGCAGCGCGGCCTTCAAGGACGGCTGCGCCGACGCGAAATGGAACTCGGACACGGACTACTGGCTGCACAAGTTTGACAAGGACGACAACCTGCCCTTCTACCCGCAATACAACAACACCTTCGTCAAGATCAAGAACAGGCAGCGCAGGTATGTCGTGCTTCACTGCACCAAGGAGGCGCCTCCCAAGTCCGAGGTCGGCGAGGAGTCCCTGGTCATCCAGGTCCCGGTCAAGAACGTTGCTGCTCTTGATGGCTTCTCCCAGAACATGATTGAGGTGAGTACCCGCGTAGGCCTGTCTTGTCGTACCCGTCAACCGTACTGATCGTCCCCGGCCAGATGCTCGGCCTGTCCACCTCCATCAAGCGCACCGGCGTCTACGCCGACGTCACCAGCTCCTGCGTCCGCGGCAACATGATGGACAAGACCACCTACGACGACGACCACTGGGACCAGGCCGAGTCCGTCGAGGTCACCTTCCACGGCGACACCAAGGCCAAGGACTCCTCCAAGGTGCTCATCTACAACACTGGCCTGTACGCGCCCCTGACCCAGCTCGCCTACATCAAGTTCTTCTCCATGTTCTACGGCCTCGAGGAGCTCGGCGCCAAGATCTACGACGAGGTCGCCGCCAGCTACCGCTGCGCCGCCGCCAACGTCCAGCAGGCCGTCATCGCCGGCACCTACCCGCAGGGCGCCTACATCTCCCCCGTCCGCCGCGAGGACGGCGGCAAGGTCACCGTCTTCCAGAGCGCCTGGTGGAACACCATCCTCTCCGACGCCGGCTCCCGCCTGGTCAACGCCTCCGCCGACGGCGACGTCGCCAACCGCGGCGCCGTCACGGAGCCCGAGGCCGTCACCATCAACAGCGGCGGCACCGGCCGCGCCAGCGCCTTTGGACGCAACACCTGGGCCATCATCGACACCACCCAGTACGACCAGCTGCCCGGCAAGGCGGCGCCCAAGGAGAGCCCCCACGCCGAGCGCGTCACCGACAAGACGTACTCGGCCCGCTCCGGCACGGACAAGGGCATCTACGCCGTCTCCCACAACAACGTCTACCTGACCGACAAGGCCAGCAACCGCAATCTGCGCCACAGTAAGTCTCACCTTTTGGCTGTCCATCTCCCCGGCTCAAGGGAACATCTCACTAACCTGCTCAGACTTCTTCGACCGCGGCACCGCCCGTCCTGACCTGGCCATCCGGGACATCATCTCCGTCGTCTCCCCGTCCGCCAACCCGTCCACCTACGTCCCGCAGTTCATCCGCCCGGCCAACAAGCCCGACGACACCATCGCGCTGCGCCGCTACGCCAACACCTGCGCCGTGCAGGGCAAGGAGGTTGAGACGCTCAACATCACCTCGTGCGCGCTGCCCGGCTGGGTCAACGGCTTCAACTCGACCGGCGTCGCGCCCAACGCCTTCGGCCGCGCCGACGAACCCGAGTCGCTCGCCATCACCTCCAACGCTGGCGCTCTTAGCGGTGGCGAGAAGGCCGGCATTGCTGTCGGATCGATTGTCGGCGGCCTGCTGATCATTGCGGGCATCCTGTTTGGTGTCTGGCGCTGGCGTCGCGCGGCGGCGGCGAAGAAGCAGCAGCGCGAGATGAACCAGGTCGAGAAGGGCTCCGTTATTAGCGAGTAAAGAGACGCCGTACAGGTAGATTCTTGGAGGGGGCTCCTCGGATGTACTACCTCGATGCCTATGACGGTAGAGGGGTGGTGTTTTGCGGGGAGGCAAATCAGTGCGCCTCTGCGATTTGTATTTAGCATATCCAAAGTTTAGTGAGACAAGAAAACGACTACGAGTTACGATTATGAGACTGTACCGGTACAATGAGCGTGATAATGTAGAGCCATGGACATGAGTATCACACAGCCATCCAACAGACGCACAGGCTGGTAATGTTCCATGATCTGACTTCTTGTGTCATCTCTTGCACCCAAGTGTCTCCTAGCAGCCCGGTCTCTGCCGTCAACCCACCTCACGGATGGCCGGTATCATCAAATTTAGAAGTGGACGATTGATCTCAGCGGAGATCCAGCGACGTCCATCAAAGCACAACGTTGAGGGTACCACCTGGTAGTCGAGAAGCGCAGGCCATGTCCAAGCCATGATATATTACAGAAAACTTACAAATTTCCATCCATCATCAACCTCCCTACTTCCCACCGCCACCCATCGCCGCCTTGGCCTTGACCTCCTCCTCCGCGACCAGCCCCTCGACCTCCCTCCCGACCAGCCACTCCCTGCCCGCATCCATCACCTTATCCAGCCCCTCGCCGCCCGCCAGCACGCCCTGCAAGTTGCGCACCTCCGTCGCCGCGCGGTGGTCCGTGCACCGGTCCTGGTTGTAGTTGTACGTGCGGATCTTGTCGCCGCGCGTGATGCGCCGCGTCGACAGCACGCTGTCGCGCAGGCGCGCCGCCTCCTCCTCGCGCGCCTCCGCCCGCAGCCCCGCGATGCGCCCGCGCAGCAGCTTCCACGCGGCCTCGCGGTTGCGGTGCTGCGACCGGTGGTCCTGCATCGACACCGTCGTGCCCGTCGGCAGGTGCGTCATCCGGATCGCCGACTCCGTCTTGTTGACGTGCTGCCCGCCCGCGCCGCGCGCCCGCATCGTTTCCACCTTCACCTCGGCCGGGTCCACGTAGAAGTCGCTTTCCGGGTTCTCAAAGTCCGTCTCGTCACCGGCGGCATCCTCGGGGAAGGAGGGGAGCACCCACACAGCGACAGCGCTCGTGTGCACGCGCCCTTTGCTCTCGGTGCTGGGGATGCGCTGTACGCGGTGCATGCCTGCTTCGGCGCGGAAGGTGCGGTACGCGCCGGCGTCCTCGATCTCCAGGATGGCTTCCTGCAGGGGAAGCTCGCCGTCGGCGGAGGACTGGTCGCCGGCGCCGTCGGCGAGGTCGTACTTGACCACCTTGCTGCGGTAGCCCTTGCGCGCGCACAGGCCCTTGTACATCTTGAACACGGTGTCGGCAAAGTAGCGGCCTTCGAGACCGCCCGGGCCGGGTCGGATTTCCAGCATGCAGGGGAGCTCGGCGAACGGGTGCTGCGGCGTCAGGCTGACGGATAGGTTCCGTTCCAGGCTTTGCAGCTTGGAACTCTCGGCATCGAGCTCATCGCGTGCGAGCGCCGCCAAGTCGGCGTCTTGGTCGGGATCTTGGGTCATGCTCTGCAGCTCCGCGATGGCTGCGTTTGCCGTCTCCCAGTCTTTCAGCGCCGTCGCCACGCGCTGCAGCTCGCCGAATCGCTTCGCCTTGGTCGTGTCAAAGGCATCGTTTAGCGTTTTTTGCAACTCATTGTATTCGGCCGTGAGGGTTCGAGCTCGTAGAAGGAGACTTGGCGCAAGTGTAGAGTCTAAGGGGGCCAATGTTAGCTTGGGTTCTGCAGCTCATGATCAATGTAGCTCACCAGTCGAAGCAAAGCGCGATAATTGGGGCTTTTGAAATCGAGGTCGAGTCAATAAGGCCCTTGAGCAGCTGCGACATATCCACGGCGCGCGCGTCATGCCTAGTTAGAGTTGGAGAAATAGTGAATGTTGAAGCTGCAATGAATTTAGTGCTACGATTTTTCGAAGTAGCCTGGCTACTCCACCGTGGCGCTACAAACGCAGGCTGCATAAGTAGGAATACCACGTAGAAAAGAAAGAACGAAACCAAGACGACGTATTTTGATTTAAGAAATATTTAATTAATACACGTTTACACTATTTGCAGACAAATAAACCTGAGCTTACGCAAGTTCTCTTTTAATCCCCTAATTCCAAAGCAGTCACAGTGAGCAGTCACAGTGACAGCTGCAACATCAACGGTCGTTAGAAAGGCCTGTAAAAAGATACAAGTATATATAAGAATGGGTTTATACTATAACAAAGCCTTGGCTAAGAAATGATCGCATCCTAATGTGTCTCAATCGGTTTCGACCCAAATTCAAACAAGAGAACCCAGCTACACCTTTCTAAAGATACCCATACCCAGCTAGCCCCAACAAAAAGAACAATAATAGATGCCTGCGCCGAGCCCAAAGTCAAACTCCGCTCTACTCCCACCACCCCATGCATGCAATGCCGTCGTCACATAAGCCCGCTTAAGACGACCTTGCCAATGTTGGCCACCTCGGACTTGATGTGCGCCTTGCTGTGCTCCTCAAAGTCTTTGACCATGTTCTGCACGATGAGCTTGCGCACCTTGGCGTCGGCCTTTGCGAACAGCTCGGCCACGGGCGCGGAGCACTCGCGCGGCGTCGGCATCAGCGCCAGGAACCGGCTGTACGAGTCGATCAGCACGTCGCAGAGCGTCGCGAACGTCTCGAAGAAGTCCGGGTCGAACGGCAGCGACGGCGTCAGCAGGTACGTGTACTCCTCGCCGGGGAGCAGGTCCGACTCGGCCGCGGCAAAGTTCATCACCGCCGGGCCGCTGCCGCCGGTGCCCGCTCCAGGCAGTCCGCCGCCGCCGCCGCCGCCAATGCCGTTCCCGCCGCCGCCGATACCACCACCATAGTCTTCGACGAGTGAGGCGGCGTCGGCGGCTGACGAGGTGGAGCGGCGCGACTTGCCGCCGGGCCGACGGAACATGTTAGGCAGCCGGGCGCGGGACAGGGACGAGGAGGAGTCGCCGTGCAGCTGCTGGAAGGAGTCGAACTCGGAGAAGAGGCTGTTGAGGCAGCGCAGGAACTCGACGGGCGTGGAGGAGTAGAGGTCGTTGATGGTGGGTATCGAGACGCCGAGGAGGAGGATGTTGGTGGCCTTGCGGGCGAGTTTGCGCGGGTCGTAAGCGGGCATGCGGCTGAGGTCGGACTTTTCGAACAGGTACGTGTTGAACCAGTAGACGCGGCCTTCGTGACTGTACAGTGTTAGCTATTCGCTGCCATGCAAACTTTGGGAACTGTGATGAGGGCGCCGTACGCCTTGCGAAGATAACTTAGCGTGGACATCCGCTTCTGGGCCGCCTCGACGATCTGCTGGTGCATCATGGCGACCTCGCTCTGCCGCCACTGGGTCGGGCTGACGCCCGTGGCCGTGGACGGCGTCTGCGGCGGCATCATGAACGCCGTGCTGGATGCGGAGCGGCTGATGGCCGAGGCGGGCACGCCGTCCGGGCTGATCGGACTGCGGACAAAGGCAGCTCCCCCCTCGCCGCGCGGCGCGATCTTGACCGCCGCGGCGAGCGCGTAGTCGGGCAGCGCGGGCGGCGCCGAGTCGTCCGTCATGACCGTGTCCGCGCCGGCGCCACCGCCGGCGCCGACCGTGGAGACGCTGCTGCGACGCCGGGAGGAGGCGCCCGACAGCGACGCCTTGCGCGAGAAGGATGTCTTGCGGTCCTTGGAGGACAGGCTGCTGCTGAGCAGGCCGAGCGCGGCGGAGACGGCGGAGCCATCGCGCGTCGTGGGCCGCGAGGCCGATGTGGAATCGTGGCTGCCAAAGTGCGACGTCGTCTGCTGGCCGGGGGAGAACGGGTTCTGCATCGCGGGGAGAGGGACGGAGGGCGAGAGGAGAGGAGGAGTGGTTGATTGATTGTTCGGGCGTTGTCGCGCCCGGCGGGGCAAGGTTGTACCAGAAGGGGGGGCTTGGCGGCCGTTTTGCTGCTGCAGGTTCGGAGACAAGGCCAGGGAAAGAATACTGTCGGCTTGGCGCCGGGCGCAGGGAAGACAAAAAGATCAAGAAGGGCCCAGGCGGATAGAAGCGCCGCCAAATGGGGGATGCAGCGCTCGTCTGGCGGCGGCGGCGAGGTGTGATGTTGTCGACAAGTGGCAGTAGAGAGGGGGGGGTCTCAAGGACTGAAGTGTGATCAAGGAGCGGGCCAGTGCAGTCGGGGAGGTTTCCGGCCACGACTTCTACAATCACTGATGCCAAAAATAGAATAATGATATTTATAGAAAGAAAACATCGAATAATGCGATTGTTCGAATTTAATCTGGCCCTCTTATCCTGGTCCTTAACATGCAGAAGCTTCATAGAAACAGTCATCCCATTCCACCTTACCAGACCGCCAAAACAAGCGCAACTTTTCCAGCAACAAGTAGTTCGCCACGTGTGCAATCGGATGCATCCACGCTGCGAATAACTGCTCCTCCACAAACGCCTGCGTCTCCAGAACCTCCTGGTAGTCGGGGTCGCCTTGAGCCTCGTCGTGCGCGGTCCCAGACGCCACCCCCACCACGATGATCGGCCAGGAGATTGAGTTGGCGAATCCCACTTTCGAGAGGCCTTCCTTGATCAATCCTAAAAGATCGCGTCGCTGAGATGCTCGCAGGGCTTGGTAGGATGTCGCCTCGCTCGCATAGGCGGCCAGGACGGCGCGTCGAGGCATCGTCAAAGTACAAAACAGGCAGACGGCGGCGTGGAAAATCTGGCCGATCAAGGGCGCTATTTCTTTGCATAAGAATTCGCTCTCCTTGGCCCAAGATACTGGATCAAAGTTGTTCAAATCCGAGAACACCTGCCGCACCATGGCGTGAAACTCTTGAGGTTTCTCCAGCCTGTCGGAGGCAGCACGATGCCGAATGATGGATGTGTGAGCAAGCACAATGTACAACTCTGTAGGGCAAGGCATGTCGCTTGAGATATCCGAGTCGAGAACCTTCTTCAGCTGTTTGTCGGTGTAATAGTGGTGTCCAGTGACCTGCCCCGTGGATGGGCTGGTGGTGTTGGACGTGATGGATCGGCTGCGACCGTCAGTTCGTGTCGGCTGCAGTCAGCACCGCATGGTTTGCAGGGCCTGCTTACTGCATAAGACTTGCAAATCGATGCGGCAATTTAGGCAAGCCCAGAATGAACTTGATACCTCCAATATTCTCGATGTAGGCAAAGAGGCCATTCATGTGCAGTTGCCAAAAGATGCCTGGCGCGAGCAGATCGAAACTCATCAAATCCATCAGGGGTCCAATGGCCAGTTTCGAAGGCACTAGTTTTCCTCCCACGATTTTGTTGATCAAGGCGAGGTGTTTGTTCATATATCGCGAGTATGACGCCCAAAGACCTGACGCGGCGGTGTCCTCGCCGGGCCGTAGGAGCCGGCCATGAGCCTTGCATGACTTTATTATTCTGCTGCAAATGACTTTGCAAATGAATCCAGTACACCAGTCGCCTTGGATATGAAAGGGGGGGTCGATTACGTCTTCAAACTCGCCCACGCGGTGAGGCCGGACCGCGACAAAGTCTGGCGTTGTCGTTAGCCGGCTGCGCTGTGGATGAACAGGGCAGACCGCGTTGGGGAATGACTATAGCACCTACAGTAACGCACAGATTGCGTTAAATCCCAGTCAGGCGGCTCTGTTTTCAAAAGCGGCAACAAAGTCCTTCCTTTCTGCCTCTCTGCGGCTTCGCCCGGGCGCTGTGCGTCAAGTACGTAATGGCAAGCACGGCGCCCAGCGGCACACTTGTTGCACACCGGACGGCCCTCATCGCACTTGATGCGGCGTATTCTTTCGGGGAATATCAGTCATTGGGGAGCCAAGTCTGGAGAGAGGAGATCGCCTCGCACGCACCGACAAGTTTGGCAACCGGTGCGGGCCCTGCTCGCCCATCGTTTCTGGCGGGTGCCCTGAGTCGGCATAGTTCTCAAATGGCAGAAGAGAGCAGATCAGAACAAAATAGATGCTCTTTCTAGATAAAGATTGCCCCGAACTTGGCAAAAGAGGTCGAGGTTCCGAGTCTTGGGGTGCCAAGGCTGCAGTTAGGCTGCGCTGCGATATCGCAAATGCGCCCCGATGCTACAAACCCCTCTTTTTCGATAAGAAAAAACTACAATCCTTGCGCTTTACGTCATGTGAGACAATAACAAGAAGCCCGTTTGTTAAATTTTTGTGCCTAAGAGACACTATTCAGCTTCTAAAGAGCTGACGAATGGTGCAAAACAAGATCGTGGTATGATGCTTGGCCTATGAACTATTCGAGCGGCGCCTCTTGTTGTGGCGGCTAGTCAGCAGTGTATAGGCTACAGACTCTGCGATATTAAATTGAGCTTTATATAAGTAAAAACAAGTCTATATGAAAGCAAATACTATATAAAACCAAATACTATATAAAACCAAATACTATATAAAACCAAATACTACATAAAACCAAATACTTTAAGATTTTTGTTTATCACGGCCGAGGCTTTCGTTCTTTACCGCCGTCTCCCGTATCACCACCTTACACTATGAGACGGCTGTTGTAAGAGCAAATGGAGAGGCTGTCTTCCGTTATCAGATGCCGTGCGATGGAAAAAACGCTGATATCGAGTAACTGAACTTTATGGCGCGTTTGGCCGGGTACATCTTGAATTTTTTTGCACAAGTCCATAAATTATGATGGAGGCGTTTGAACTTACCGGCTACATCAACAACCCTACGTGGCTTTTGTCGCAAGTTCTGCCACCTGCGGCGGACCCAAGTCTCCTCTGCTCTTGCTCGGACCGTTGCGACATCATACTTTCAAATGCCTGTCGACCGTACTTTGCGAGATACTCTTCGTCAGATAGACCATCTTCCATTCCCTTGCCCCTGAATGGAATGTGTTCTAGGTAGTGAACGTTCGCGGGATAGGTGTTCTTTCGCTCACTGTAGCCTCGTGGTCAGCGCAGCTACCGGCTCAAGTTTCTAGGCTGACTTACAATATTTCACCATCCCACGTGGATAAAATGACATCTGGACCGTGAGAATCAACCGGACCGTTGTCCAGAAGAAAATAGCACTTGGCTTGCTCTGCGTCGTACCGACCAAGGCAGGTGAAGAAATCGTCGTTGTTGAAGTCTCGACCCCACTCATGCTGATAGATTCAAGTTTGCCATTGTGTCTTTTCTCTCCACTGGGTTTCCGGGTAGCATGTGTGACCTATGTAAGGGGAGGCCCAATGTCGGGCACCAGTGGTATAATAATCCAACATTTAATAATGATAGTTAACACTAGACTATAAAATATGCATATTACCAAATAAGTTGAAATCAGAAGCATAATAGGGTACATATGTAGTAACTGGGAAAGAGGGGATGTACGACGATTTACCCAATACCTACTATAGCCTGTCGCCTATCGAGATGGATCTTATCATTCTGCAGGCCGTGTTTGCTGGCAAACTGAATGAACGTGGTTCAGGAACCTACAAGACCGAGGAGAGAAAACGCTCCGATACCTAGGGTAGATCAAGTACTTATGCCTATGGGTCTGTACTGCTGCTCTATCATTGCGGAGTGGGCGTGGCGGACGCGGTGCAAATGCAACCCTGGCCGGCGATGCTTGTTACTGGTGGCGAGTTGCAAGTTGCCTCGGGCGTGAACGAGACAATGCTCGACGTAGTCGTGGGCGCATCAACAATCTCAGCCTTGACCAAGACTGGGATGATCTGACCCGTCTGCAAGCCAAACTTTCTATGGCCCAAGACGTCCAACAGACTGGCAATCTCGCCCGAGTGGCTGGTGATGCTGATCCACGTGTTCGCATCATGCGTAAACACGTCGTCGAGGACCACCTTGTTGCGCGCCTTCTGGCCAGCGCTCGTCTCGCCCTCCGTGCCGCGCCACAGCTCGTCCTCCTCGGTGAAGCCGTCCTCGAAGGTGCACTGCGGGGCGATGCCGCGGATGTGCGTCTTGCTGGAGCGGCGGTCGCAGGTGTGGATGGACACGGACTCGCGGAACAGCTCCTTGATGACAGGCGCGAAGGGGGCGGCGGTGGCGGGCAGCGAGAGGTTGGCAAAGGTGCGATGGGCGGTCTGGATGCAGCGCGTGAGCGGCGAACTGTAGTAGGACTCGAAGTAGGGCATGCCGAGCTCCTCGTAGCGCGTGCGGTAGAAGGCACTGGCCTTGGCGGCCTCGGTGATGCCCTGAGGGGTGAGCTGCGGGTCAGCCCAGACCGAGGTGCCGTTGCCGTCCAGCTCAGCCCAGTAGCACTATTTATTTTATGTGTGTGAGAGACAGGATAAAAAAGGGATGTTCGGCGGGAGGGGGGATTTATTGCGTACGTTCCAGGCAGGGGTTCCGTAGTAGCTTTCGGCAGCGTTGTGGTAGCCCTGGCCGTGGCGGCCCATGACGAGGACCTTGTACCTCACGGTGCTGTCTTTTCGGCAGCTTTTATTGAGATAGCTGACCCAGCGAGCGAAGCGTTGCCACTGCGTCTTGGATCCATCAGAGTTGTAGTTCTTGTCGGTAGAATACGATCTGTCAATGAGACCGAGGTTGTGTTCCGCCTAGGACGAGTCAGTTCTACCACGGATTGACATCAACTGCTGGTAGTTGAGGGTGGTCTCACATAGTCAAACTTGGACGCATCGGTGGCAGGGTCGTCCTGCAGGAAATACCCAGGGACAGATGAGTATTTGATAGCCTTGCCCTCGGCCTCTGGCCAATTGGCTAGAGCGGCCGGGGTCATGGCCAGCAGGGTCTGGAGGTGGGCAATGCGCATCTCGCCGGTCGCGTCGTCGCTGGGGGCGAGCTGGGCAGCGTCGAGGGAGGCGGCGAGTGCGACAAGAGGGTATAAATAGCCGCACCACAAGAGCAGGCAAGTGAGATGAAGACTACCCATTATGATGCTCATCCTTGGTAGATTGACGAGGATGTTGTCGGCTGGTTGCCGTTTGTCAGTGGCGCATAAGAAGAGTGTGTGGCGCTGTTAGTCGCTGTGTTTGTCCCAACGTGTACTCTGAGTGCGCTAGGATTGGCGGAACTTGGAGGTCGGGAAACGACCATCAGCCGGGCGGAGAATGTTAGTATTAACTTTGGATAAAGGTTTATTAGGAAATTATAGAGGAAGGTGATTTTAGTTCTGATTATGCTCAGATACACGACAAGCCGCCTTGTCGAGTTCCAGCTGCAGATAGAGTTTTTACCTACTTGACTTCCCACTACCGAAACGCTCCTCTACGCATACTTGGCGCAATGCAGTCCGCCACGCAGCAAGTAGCATGTTGGTCCAAGATGCTACCTGTAAAATTATTCCAAGTTTATGAAGAAATGCGGAATCCAAAGAGGCATGGCACGTGTAAAATAGCAACCGGCTCTACCAGCCATCAGGCTCGGTACTGAAGGCTAGCGGCCTACGAGCAATGTTGACTGCGGATACGACACCCGGCTCTCCATGGCTTATTTAGATAGGTAAGTTGAAAAAAATAACCTTGGGCTAAGCTAAGCGGTTCTATTACTCGCACCAGGGTGACTACATTTACGGAATAAACAGAGGTAATAGAGTGATAAAGCATGGTAGTGTCGCTGCCGGGGTGCAGGGGACATCGGGGGGACGTCGCCGGAGCACTTACATCGGATTACTAGGTACCTGGCAAGTCGAATCCCGCCTGATCGGGACATCGCCTAGCGGAAATTTGAGCTTATTCTTCAGCTCTGATGGAAATTCTGGCCTTGGCGTCTCACTTCTATGAGCGACGACTGGAATCAACCTCAAAAATCGAGTCGCGATTGGCCTGCCCAGGAGCTAGAAGCCTGCTAGCTGCGTAGAAGGAGTGGACGCCGACGACTTTCCCTGCCAGAGTCGTCTGCAAGATTCGCTACCAGGCTAGATGTACACTAGTTTGCTTATTATTATGCCTGACAATTCCCAGGCGGGATGCTCAGAACAAAATCGGTCCCCATAGATGAGGATCTTGAGATGTCTTGGTTCAAGACGGCAAAGTTTCATCTATATATTTGCGGCTGCCTGGATCTGCGCGGCCACATCTCGCACCCCTGACCCTGACGCCGTGGATCATACCCAAACCGATGACATAATAGTTAACCAGTTGACCAGAACGGTGCGCAGCCTCGCCCTGACACGCCTCACTCCAGATTTACAACAAAATCGTCATCATGGTTGGCGTTCCTGGAAGATCAAAAGGCTGCCGAACCTGCCGGCGGCGCAAGAAAGGCGTACGCGTCACCACACGACCCTCCCCCAAGGACCCAAGCTGACCCCCGTTATAGTGCGACAAGGTCGAGCCCGCGTGCTCGCAGTGCCGCGCCGCAGGGCTGCCATGCGAGGGCTACGGCCGCGACCTCGTCTGGGTCAACTCGACCACCTCCGCCGCGCCGCCCACCGGACGTCCACCCCCCGCCGCCGCCCAGCCGGCTCCGTGGCACGTCCGCCACGCGGGCACCGGTACCGGCACCCCCGTAGTCCTGCGGGACTCGCTCGCTCGCACGGCGCGCGAGCAAAAGTACCTGGGCCTGTTCTGGTCGGCGTACCTGCCTAACGGGCGGGCTTTCGCGGCGCGCGCGCGGCGGCTGTCGACGGGCGGGTCGCGGCGTTGGCGATGAGCGCGTCCGTGGTCGGGCACCAGCACGGCGACGGCCAGCTGGTGGTCACGGGGCTGCGGACGTACTCGGCGGCGCTGGCGGAGATGGCGGCGGCGACGGCGAACGAGGAGCGGAGGCTAGGGGACGGGTTGCTGGCGGCATCGCGGCTGATGGAGTTTTACGAGGTAGGTTCTGTGAGAGGGGGGGGCGGAGGCGAGGGGATAATGCGCTGATGGAACTGTAGATTCTTTTCGGGAATGATTCGGGAGCGTATCCGGATGCGACGATGCATGTGGACGGGTGGCGTGGTCACAACAACGGTCAGATGGCACTGGTGCTGGCAAGAGGCCCCTCGAAACTGCAGTCTGGAACGGGACACCAGTTGTTTGCTGACGGGCGGTTAAACATGGTATGTGCTGAATGATTTGGGCCTTGATTATGTTTTGCTCACTTCGTTACCCAGGTTGTGGGCGACATCGCGAGACGAAGACGCTCGGAGCTCGCCACGCCGCAATGGAAGCAAGAACCTTGGAAAACGCAGAGCAAGTCCATCAAGGACAAGCTGATAGACATATTGGTGGATGTTCCGGGGCTTCTGGAAGACCTGGACAAAGTCAAGGCCACAGACGATCCCGATGCGAAGGAGCGGGCACGACTACGCGCGCTCGTCGCGTGCAAGGCATGCCACCACCAGCTCACCCTCTGGGAGGGTGAAGTAGGTGACGATCTGTTTGTCTACGACTACGTCGTCTCTGGCGATCCTTTGCCGGTGCCCAAGACGGACGTTGACACCGCGCTGCTCCAAATGACCAGCCTTTACTGGGTTGTCTGCATCCTGCTCTACTCTACCATCGGTCTGCTGATGAGGGAAGCGCGGCAACCACCAGCAACACCCCAACCACGTCCCGGTCCGCCATCCTATCCCTCACCACCCGCCTCCGTCTCGCCCGACAAGCCGTCGCCCGCATCTCCGTCTCCGACGGACGACGACCGTCGCAACCCCAGGCTCTGCGCGCACAAGATCGCGCGCTCCGTGCACCTCTTCTGGGAGCCCGCCGCGGGCGCCTTTGGCAACCACGTCGGGCTGCTTCCCCTCGGAGTCGCCATGCGCTTCCTGGCCGGCACGGAGCCGCGCATCGAGGCCAGCGACGCGTACAGCCGCATGCGCAGCCTGTTCCGCCGCCCGTTCCTGGGCTCGCACGTCGGCACGTTCCTGTCGAACCTGCAGCGCGAGGCGCCGAGCGAGGAGCTGCGCGGGATGGGGGGCGATGAGGGCATACAGGCGCGCGCGCACGCGTGGTGGCACCGCAGCGGCAGCTCAGGCTCATGAGCAACATGGGCTTTCGGTGGTCGCAACGAGCCGGAAACCGGCCAATGTTCAACGCCTGCCGGCTCAAAGGTGATTATCGATTCTTGGCTACGCTGTAACTTCGTAGCTCTGAACCCGGACACAATCCAGGGAACTTTGCGACGCCGTCCTATTTGCATCATTGCTGATGCACCAAGCGGGCTTCAATCCGCCTGCGTGATTCCTCACAGGGCCGAATCGCTTCATCGGCGGGCGCCGCGCGGGATGTGGGGGATCTGAATGTGGCGCTGCCCTGTCAGCCGGACAAGATCAGCCCAGCTACAGGGCAGGCAGAGAAATCATGCGCATATCGGTTTGGCTGGGATACTTGCTTGACTTGAAAATAAGGGAGCCTATCACGCATCTGCCGAGTTGGGGGTTGATACCCAAGTACTTCAACATCGAGCGTTGGGGGCTTGATCCTGTACTCTAGAGAGACTAAGCTGGACTTGACGGCCTGATTTGATGAAGCAATTTCGGATGGCAAGGCTACACTTGTAAAATCAAACTAAACTGACGTGTTCCTTGTGCATTAAAAAATCGGCTCGGGGATGGTTTTGGTTATCAGTCTGCTGATTAGTGTCTCGCGGATGCGAGTCGGCCTACATCGTTGGCCTACATCGTCGGGTTAACTCGGCCCGCCGTCCACTGTTGGAGTTGAACCATGAAACGCTATTGCCTACCAAGGCGCAAGCCATATATGCAATGCAACGTTCAACCCTGAGAAAACCAAGAATTCGCCTTTCTGGCGTATTCAGCGGACAAGTTTAGGCGAGGTAGGCTACGTTTAGCTCCAGCACACCGGCTCCGCCCACTCCCCGACAGCCACGACTATACGAGCCGGCGAGGTGGTTGCATTCCTAAGAAAATAGTACCCGAACTTATTTGAAACTGTCCGCTCATAAGACTCGTGCCCCGCCATTCTTAGTATCCATTCATCTTTAAACCGCCATCGTTCTGCTTTACCGTGTGCAGAAATGCTTCATGTTGTCATCGTTGGCGCGGGCATCGCCGGTCTAGCGGCCGCCGTGTCCCTGCGACGCGCCGGCCACCGCGTCCACCTGTACGAGCAGTCCTCGCTAAACAACGAGATCGGCGCCGCCATCACTATCCCGCCGAACGCGAGCCGAATCCTACTTGCCTGGGGCGTCCGGCCGGAGGACTGGGATTTTGTCGTATCTGAGGGCGCCAGCAGCCACGACCCGTTCACCATGGAGAAGACGAGCGACTTCCTGACGCGCGAGACGGCGCGCGAGACGGGCGGCACGCCGCAGTACCTCTCGCACCGCGTGGACCTGCACAACTGCCTGAAGTGGCTGGCGACCCGGGCCGAGGGGCCGGGGGTGCCGGCAATGATCCACCGAGGATGCGGCGTCACTTCGATCGTATGAAAGGGCCGTAGACAAGATGATGAGAGAGAGCGTATTGCTGACGGAATGCAGGATCCGGTAGCGCCGTCCATCACGCTACGAGACGGCAGCACGATACCCGCGGATTTCATCGTGGGCGCCGACGGGGTGCACTCGCGCGCCGCGGCGGCGGTGCTGCAGCGCGAGGTAAAGGCGATCGCGCCGAAGTACTCCAACCTCTGCTACCGCTTCCTGATCCCAGCCTCCGTGCTGGAGGAGGATCCGAAGACGAGGCACTGGAACGTCGGCAACAGATCGCGTATGCGAGTCTTTCCGCACAACGAGACGCAGCGACGGCTGGTGTCGTATGTGTGTCGCAAGTGAGTACGGGGCCGTGAACGGGGCAAGCGGTGAGGTTGACAGCTAGACAGCAATACGGTTCATAACTTTGTCGGGTTGTTTCACGATGAGTCTGCGGGACTGGGCGCATCAGAAGGTATGTTTTTGCCAAAGTTGAGCATCAACGGGGGGGGCCTTGGTAACAGTTTGTAGATTGGCAGGCATCGGTGGGAGTCGACGAGATTGTCAACAAGTTGAAAGACTTTCACCCGGGTATCGTAAATGTGATACGGTAAGCCACTTGTTACGCTGTAAAAAGTATCACGGTCGCTGAATGATCGACTACAGAAAAGCCAAGGATGTTAAGCGATGGCCTTTACTCTACCGCCCTCCGCTGGAGAGCTGGCACCGGGAGATGCTCGTCCTCGTCGGCGACGCTGCACCCTCCCAAAAGCACTTCCCCTAATTTTACCATGGCTAACCTGCAAGTCTCAGATCACGGCCAGGGGGGTGCCCAGGGGATCGAGGACGGGCTGGTGCTGGGCATCGCCATGCTCGGCGCGCAGTCACGGTCAGACGTGCAGGGGCGGTTCGGCGCGTACCAAGAGGTGCGCCGGTGCCGGGCCAGCGTGATCCAGGTGCTGAGCAACGTCGGGCAGGACCAGGCGCGGCAGCTGAAGCACGAGGTGCTGCCGTATCTCGAGGAAGATGAGATTCCTAGTAAGACGACGACGCAACGCGCGGTACTGAATTGCGGTCGCTGACAAGTACAAGCCAACCCGGCGCAGATCCAGCAGTTCAATTTCGGCTACGACGCGGTGGAGGCGGCGGTCGGGGCGATGAGGCGCCGGGATGCCGGCTTTGCGCTACCGGGCGACTTTTTCAACTGCCCGGTCGTCGGGGTGCCGCCGAGGAAGACACCGCCGGCGGTGGTTGGCCGGGGCGTGTCGCACTGCGGAGGCGAGATGGTGGCTGCTGGTCGGGCGGCTGTGGAGATTTCGTAGGCTTCCTTTACCCAACGACGGCTACGGATGGGGTTGAAGAGTTTTTGCCTTGGGGTGATTCATCTTCAGGGGATGAGTCAAGGGGGAAAAAAAAGGATTTAATTTCCAGCACATGCCTATCCCTACAGCGGCAGAGGAACTTTGGCTTTGCAAGGGAGCAAATTGCCTCATAAATCTCTGGGCGGTGGAGAAGCACCTCTTCGGCGCCCCAACCGAAAAGGCGGGCAATACGGATTAGCATCGCATAATTATCCGCAATTGGATAGGGAAATTCCTTGCCGACGGTAGAAAAGTTAGGAAAGCGGGCCTGGGGTTCATCATCACATGCAGTGACTCATTACATCTATCTGTCATGGGTAATACATAGAACACGTTCTTTCTCGTGAGTTACCCAGTAGGCGTAGTGAGTCTGCGGGGGACTTGGCAAAATGGAGATGCTCGGCCAACCATAACGCCTCGATTGCCTGATTTTCATCATTCGAGAATGGCACTATCGTTCATTGCCCATGTATTATCGAGTTGTAGCGAGCGCCGAGTATTCTTCCGTATCGGCCAAGTCAGTGTTGACTCGCGAGGTTGGGGGTGATGGTACTACTAAAAACCCAGTCACCAACTAATAGACCTCACTCATCGCCAACTTGCCAGCTTCCGGGAGGAGCAAGGCCTCGGCACCAGGCCCAAGGGAACTCAAGAGTGCAAATTTTTCCCACCGCATGCATTCAAGAAGCCCAGTCGCGGGATTTAAGTTATCAACCCATCCACCACTCTCAATGTCTCGTCTGGATGTAACCTTGTCTCTGTTGAGCGGGCTGTGTTGTGGCTTAGACCTTGACCTGCCTGCCCTGAGCTTCCCCTTTCGCTTGGCCCCTTGGCGTACCGGTTCTCGTCTCGCCATGCCATCTTTCTTTATTATTACCAAGATGGATGGTGCCACAGCGTTTGATTTTTTACCCATAGCCCGAGCATTTTCTGGGTCTCGCCCAGTCCATCCGGAACATTTACCCGATGCTTTGTTCTGTACCTAGCTTTGCCTGATCGCCCGTAGGCATGTAAATCCGCGACCTGTGCTTCCAGCTGTATAAACACCCAAAACCCCCGTCTGCAGCCTTCATCCGTCTCTCCCGTTACTGTGCTACCCAACAAACTGATTCTAATCAAGACCATACATGTCACTTCTCAACTCCAACCACCGACACACCTGGGCTCCCTCTGTAGAGCCTTCCACAAAGCTGGCGACCACGCAAAACCCCCGATACTTTGCAGCTCTGGCGGCCATCGCGGGCGAGCAACTAGCAGCCGAGTTTGAGCCACCATAACTTGAGAAGCTCTAGAATTTGCCCGTTCTTTCAGGGCGAAATGTCTGTCTTCTCTGGTTTGATGAGCTCCCGCGGGGCGAACAAGTCGTATTGTTCTTCCAAGAGCGGCCTGACACCTATGCAAAGCGTGACACCCATCGCGCACGCAAAGGCGTCGGGGCTGGCTGCCTGGAGCGCGCCGCCGGAGCATGCACTGGACGGCACGTCCGAGGCTGTCTTGAGGGCCTTCGCTTCCCTCCCGACGGACCAGGTTCTTGATCACTTGCAGGTCGAGCGGCAGGGCCTGTCGAGCGAGGAGGCCGAGGCTCGTCTGCGTGTCAAGGGACCGAACACGCTTCGTTCCCAGAAGCCGCCATCGTGGTTCATTCTTCTTCTCAAGGTTATTCCGAATCCGTTCAATATTTTGCTCATCTTCCTCGCCATCATCAATGCCTCGATTCCCCCGCCAGATTGGGTACGTATTCATTCCAATGTCGCGTGTATGCTTGCCTCGTTGACTGACACAAAAAAGACTGGCTTCACAGTTCTGATGGTCATGGTCGCAATCTCCGTCCTTGTCCGATTCTGGCAGGAGTATCGAAGCGGCCTCGCCGTCTTCCGTCTACAAATGTCCATCAAGACGGCCGTCCGCGTTCGCCGTCGCGAGGCCGAGACGCACATGCCGACATCCGAGCTGGTTCCTGGTGACATCGTCCTGCTGGCCCCCGGCGACGTCGTGCCCGCCGACTGCCTAGTGCTCGACGCCTCGTTCCTCCGCGTCAGCCAGTCGCAGTGGACCGGCGAGAGCGTCCCCGTCTCCAAGGTCGCCTCCGCCGGCGGTGACAAGACAACCGGCTCCCTCTTCGACCTCTCAAACGTGTGTTTCATGGGCACCGGTGTCGTTTCCGGAAACGCAACGGTCGTGATCCTGCGCACCGGTGGCGACGCGCTGATCGCCGCCATGTCCAAGGCGCTTCAGAAGAGCCGCGGCCTCAACGCTTTCCAGCGGGGCATCCAGAACGTCACCTGGATGCTCATCGGCTTCATGGGCGTCATGGTGCCCATCGTCCTGGTCGTCTCGGCCAAGACGACTGGTGACTGGGGCCAGGCTGCGCTGTTCAGCATCAGCGTCGCGGTCGGCCTCGTGCCGGAGATGCTGCCGGCCATTGTCAACGCCAATCTGGCCCGCGGCGCGTACCTGCTCTCCAAGAAAAAGGCCATCGTTCGTCGGCTCGACTCGGTGCAGAACCTCGGCGCCATGACGGTTCTGTGCAGCGACAAGACCGGGACCCTGACCAAAGACGAGATTACGATGAAAGAGGCTCTCGATTGGTCTGGAAACGACGATGTGGAGGTGTTGAAGCTGGCAGTAATTGAAGCAACGATTCAAGGCACCGGCGGAAACAATATGGACGCTGCCATCTGCAACTTCCGACTACCGAACGGAGAGCAGGTCCAAACGACAAAGTACGAAAAGACGGTCGTCATCCCCTTTGACTTTGAGCGTCGCCGCTCATCCTGCATCGTCCGGGGCGTCGCTGGCGGCGCCATGCTCATCTGCAAAGGCGCCTTTGAGGAGGTCTACTCGCGCTGCTCCATGATCCAGACGGACAAGGGCGAGAGCGCCATGGCCGGCCACCACCGCACCATCCTGAAGCAGCAGGTCAAGACGCTGAACAGCCAGGGCTACCGGGTCCTGCTAGTGGCCACGAAGCAGCTCGCCAAGGCCCAGGTCGACGACGAGGACGGCTTCGAGGACCTGGAGACGAACATGACAGTTCACGGCTTGTTGACCTTTGTCGACCCGCCGAAGCCTGATGCCGCCGACTCTATCCGCAAGTTGAAGGCTCTCGGCGTCGACGTCAAGGTGCTCACGGGCGATAATATGGCCGTCGCGCTCAACGTCTGCCGCGCGCTCGGTCTGGTGCAGCGCGAGGACTCGCTGGAAAGCGATGGACCGTCGGCCATGACGGGAGCGGAGCTGGACAACCTGGTCGACGAGGAAGAGTTTGACGAGGCGGTGAAGTGCTGCAAGGTGTTCGCCAAGGTGTCGCCGGTGCAGAAGGAGAGCATCGTGGCGAGCCTGCGGAAGCAGGGCCACGCGGTGGGCATGCTGGGGGACGGGATGAACGACTGCCTGGCGCTGCGGAAGGCTGATGTAGGAATATCGGTCGACTCGGCGGCGGGCGCGGCCAAGGACTGCGCCGACTTCATCCTGACGGAGAAGGGGCTGGCGATCATTGTGGAGAGCGTCACTATCGGTCGCGTCACGCACGCCAACTCGATCAAGTACATCAAGGTATGTTTGCCAGCAGCGATGGCTGTGATTGTTCAAACCGGCTGACGGTCGGACTAGATGGTGCTGTCCTCCAACTTTGGCAACGTGTTTAGTATTCTGGCGGCGAGCGCTTGGCTCCCGTTCACGCCCATGACGAACCTGCAGATCCTGGCGCAGAACCTGCTGTACGACATCAGTCAGATTGCGATCCCGTGGGACAAGGTGGACGCTGAGTTTTTGGAGACTCCCAAGTCGTGGAAGCCCTGGGGTGAGTGGATAGATGGTCAAATCGTGGCCAGGAGAAATGCTAATCGATGGTGACCATAGATCTCCTCCGGTTCGTGGTGGTGCTGGGCCCGACCAGCTCCGTCATCGACGTGTGCACGTTCCTGCTCGGCTGGTTCTACTACGGGATCCGGACGACGGAGGACCCGGCGGCGGTCAGCCAGTTCCAGACGCACTGGTTCCTGCAGGGCCTGCTGACGCAGACGCTGATCGTGCACCTGCTGCGGACGGCCAGGCTGCCCTTTGTGCAGAGCCGGTCGTCCATCCATCTCGGCCTCTCCACGGCGGCCATCATGGCCATCGGGTTCGTGCTGCCGTGGATCCCGGCATTCCACAGTGCGCTGTCGTTTGTCAATCCCAAGGGCACCTATATCGGGTTTCTGTTCGCGGAGCTGTTTGCTTACTGTGTCGAGGTGCAGCTGGTCAAGATGGCTTACGTGAAGCTGTTCAAGACGTGGCTGTAGAAGGGTTTGTGTTTGTCCCCGCCCGAACTAGCGAGTTGTCCAGCAACTACTGCTGTTTGGAGTCAAAAGTTGTTGATTTTTGGATTTTTATTATTATTTCCATTTTTCAGTGCACCATCTCATCTTCTAGGATCAGGAAGGCCGCTCGGGTGCATTCCTTCAACAGAAATGCAGCGGTCAACCATTTCTCTTTTTTTTTCTTCTTCAAAAAATGGCGAGTTCAACACAACGCCGGTCGCAGAGTCATTATATAGAGACTAATAAAAATAACAAATGTCAATTACAGATGCATTTGCGTTGCTTGGCCGAAAGCGGCGGTTCTTGTTAGCGCCTATGCCGGCTCCTGTCTCGGCGCTGTTTCCCCCAACAGGCCCCTGAGCGCCCTGAACGCCCCGAACAGGGGCTCCCCGCGCCCGAAGAATAGATGGAGAAGCCCTGGAAGTTTTTGTTTGCAGCGATACAAATGATGCACAATGTGATGCACAATGTGATGATGATGCTTCTCGCAGCTTGGGTATACATGCTTCTCTCGGCTCTGTCTGTTGCAGGGTTACATTGTGATTGATTGATTGCTTGCTTGCTTGCTTGCCTCCTCTCTGCATTGCATTGCTTCCCCTCTGCACTCTGCAATTGCAACCTCAATGCAACACTTGGATACCTTTCCCATCTTTCCTCCCCTTCCCTTGCATCACCGCCAATGCCCAATGCTGGCGTTGATCACTTGACCAAGTCTCACCGCGCGTTCTGGAGTCTAGACTCCAACTAGAACCCCAAGCGAACAAGACGCTTGCCAGCCACCCTGGCTTGGTTTCGTTGAGAAGAGCTGCATTGGATCTGCCCGTTACCACTAGCAGCAGCGTTACCACCTCGGCAGCCGAAGCCGGAGAGATTGGGTATTGGGCTCTCGTAATACGGTTTCTGGCGGCATCCAACGGTCTACACAGTCTGCTACGTCCACTACTCCGTTGCTTATAACCAAAGGCAACGACAGACTACGGTGATCGAGTCCACAATTCGACCCACCGATTTCGTAACAAGTTGAGCTTTAGGTTCAACAGACTTTTGACGAGACGAGTTGTGTTTTGGGTGTTTTTTGATGCTGGATTGTTTCTCAAGGTCATTTCGTTGCACATCGTTCCGTTATCATCATCATCATCATCATATCCAGCATTGACAGCCCTTGCTTGTTCCGTGTGTTGCCGTGGACAGAGACCACAAGACGCCCGTTCATCCTTCTATAGACACATCAAAATGCCTGCTGCTGGAGCACCCACCACCGCCGTCATGGCCAAGTACAGCTTCCTCGACGACTACTCCGAGGGCGCCCACCCGGACGTCCTCGCCGCGCTCTTTCGGAGCAACGGCACCCAGGAAGTCGGCTACGGCCGCGACACCTTCAGCGAGGAGGCCAAGCACCACATCCGCACCCATCTCGGCGACCACTCGGTCGGCGTCTTCTTCGTGCCCAGCGGCACCTCGGCCAACGCCATCTCCATCGCCGCCTGCCTGCGCCCGCACGAGGCCGTCGTCGCCGCCAGCTCCGGTCACATCGTCACCCGCGAGACCGGCGCCGTCGAGGCCTCGGGCCACAAGATCATCAATGTCGTCCCGGACAACGGCAAGCTGACTGTTGCCAGCATCTCCAAGGCGCTCGACGACAACTGGCACTTTCCGCACATGGCCCGCCCGCGCCTCGTCTACATCTCCAACGCCACCGAGGTCGGCACCGTCTACACCAAGGCCGAGCTGACCGCCATCAAGCGCCTCTGCGAGGACAACGGGCTGCTGCTGTTCGTCGACGGCGCCCGCATCGGCTGCGCCCTCACCTCGTCCAAGAACGACCTCACCCTCAACGACATGCTGGAGCTGACGGACATCTTCTGGATCGGCGGCACCAAGAACGGCGCGCTGCTGGGCGAGGCCGTCGTGGTCAAGCACCCGCGTCTCGCCGAGGACTTTGAGTTCTTCGTCAAGCAGCACGGCTCGCTGCTCGCCAAGGGACGCGTCATGGGCGTGCAGTTCGCGGAGCTCTTCCGCGACACGCTCTACTTTGACCTCGCGCGGCAGGCGAACCGCGCGGCGGAGAAGCTGTCGCGGGCCATCGTGGGCGCGGGCTTCGCGCTGCGGGCGGAGACGGAGACGAACCAGGTGTTCGCGGTGCTGCCGGTCGGGCTGGTCAAGACGCTGCAGCAGAGCTTCTCGTTTTACGTCTGGGAGAAGCACGACGATGAGTGGGCGGTGATCCGCCTGCTGACGACGTGGGCGACGGACCCGGAGCAGCTGGAGCGCTTCAGCAGCATCGTGCTGCACTGGACCAAGTGAGGATGAGGATGTCACGTTGCATGACTGCGTCTTCTCTTTGAATGACTACTTGACGTCTTTATGAGCTCATTTCTATTTTTATTTTTATTTTTATTTTTGCATCTTCTTTTGCGCTGGTTCGTTTGCATTTCATCACGAGAACAACGCTGTGCGGTAATACTGGGGTTTGCGTCATTCCTTCTATTAATAAAATCAAAAATAATGATGGTGACGGAGGTTGAGCAAATAAATACACAAATACACATAGACACAAAATACACTGTCGGCTTAACAGTCTGTCTCTGTCTCGTTCTCTGCATGTCTCTCGGTTGCACACAGAACCACCTTCCTGAATCGACCACTGTGGACCAAACTCCTCTCTGTCTTACTGGTAGATGCAATATTAACTGAAGAAATCTCTCCAACGGGTAGGAAACCCGCCGCGCCCGGTGGCGTACTGTGTAACCAACCCGAACCATTCATTCATTCATTCATTCAATCATTGCCAAGTGACCAGTGACCAGTGACCTCGTGGGGTTTGACCGCCTTGACGCTGGTCCCTGGCTAGCACGACCTTCTGGAACCTGTCTGTTGCACCAACCAAAGCCTGGACGTCCAGCCCTATCCACGGTGTATTGGGGGATGATGACATCCATGACTTCCAACTCGCACCCGTCTTCGAGGCCCCTCGTCCGTGGCTGCTTCGCTCCATTCGATTTTGTGAGGGGCTTGCTGCCCACCCAGTCGGGCCGCCCGCTGCGTCCACTTGTTCGCATAATATTGATGCAGAGCGATTCGGCATCAGGCCCAAGTTTACGCAATAGCTATTCGGGACCCATGCCCGATTCCTGCCGCCTTGTCTGCCATCTGGGGCATCCGTCGCCCACCATCGTTTCGTGCCATCTTCGGGTCACCATACCGATCATCGGCTGCTTCAGATTCCGGGTTGGGCCCTCATCATAACCCACGAGAAGCCCAAGCTTGGCAAGATACAAGCCTCGCTCGCGAGTATCACAGAACAAGAAGCTTTACACGCGGATCATCTTTCCAGAAAATTCGGTTACGCAAATCGTCCGCCTGACTTTTTGATACGACTGCGAGTGATGCTGTCCACCGCATGCATGGTCCCACAGGGCGAGCTGCAACGGCAATGCTGTTGCTGCTGTAAGCTTGCGGAGCTGGACGTCGCCAACGTGCAATTGCGGTGTTTCTTGACATCACCGAGGCCGTCGTCTTTGCAGAAGGATACTATTGCACTACATAATGACCTGACGGCAGAGCAAATATTGGCGATCCCGTATCCACGTGGGGAGTTGCTTGCTCGTTGGCTGCCGACATGTATAGGTATAAAAGCTGGGATTTCTCGCCACGTTTTGTTTGGAGGATGCTCTTTAGAAATAAAACTCACACGATAGCTCACACAAAATGAAGTGGCTTTTTCTACACAATTTCTTACTGTCGACCGCTTCGGCGGCCGCGGTTGCTCTGCCCCGACATCCTCACGGGCTCGATGTCGTCAAGACGGTCGTCTTGAGCGACGGCCAAGTTCTGGACTGGGTTCGCAGGGAGTCTCAAGTGGCCAATTCCACTCTTCCCGCTGAGCCCGCCGCGAGTCAGAAAGGCGACGCTTCAGCAGCGAAATTCGCCAGCCTGATCCCCGAGCACCTGCGCGGTCCGGAGGGCACCGTCCCGATCCCGCGCCCCGGCCTCACGTCATATCCCCAAAAGTCCGACACACCCTCTCTGTGGCCGCAGGTCCAGCTCGCCGTGTCCGCGTCGTCGGGCGAGGACTACACCGGCCAGCACTGGTACGCCAGCACCAGCCTGCAGACCAAGGTGACGGGCGGCGGCGGCGGCATCAGCATGTTCGAGCCGTACCTGCAGACGCCCGCCGAGTTTTCCCTGGTGCAGACGGCCATCATCCGCGACGAGGCCAAAACGTCCGAGTTTGGCACCATCACGCAGACGCTGGAGGCCGGGTGGATGTACTACCCACCGCGCGGGCCCAAGCCCATGTTCTTCGTCTTCTTCAACAGCAACGGCTACAACGGCGTCGGCGACTACATGGCCGGGTGGAACACGGAGCAGAAGGGCTGGGTGCAGATGGACAGCTCATATTACCCGGGCATGTCTTTCGAGCACATGTCGGTGATTGGCGGCGAGCAGCACGACTTTGACGTGCAGTTCCACCTAGTAGACAACCGGTGGTGGCTGCTGGCGTTTGGCAAGTGGGTTGGGTTCTACTCGGCGGACATCTTCAAGAAGAACTCTGTGCGGGAGGACACGCTGGCGGCGTACGGGGACAGGATCTCGTTCTTCGGCGAGGTGTCCAACAGCGGCAAGGAGCTGACGACGACGGACATGGGCAGCGGCAACTTCCCGGAGGCTGGCGATGGCAAGGTGGCGTACGTCAAGAACATGGTGTACCTGGATGCCGACGGCAAGAAGCAGATGTACAGCGGCGACTCGGGGGTGAGCGACCCCTCGCGGTACAGGATCAAGACCTTTTTCAACTCGGGCACCACCTGGGACTCATACGTCTACCTGGGCGGCCCCGGTGCTGGTGGTGTCGTGGGTGGTTGATGGGAACCACGTGTGGACTGAAGAATGAAACGATGAAATCAGGTTTATAGAGAGAATGTCAAAATATAGTTATCCTTGCGAGTGACACCACATGCACCACGTGGGGTCCATCTCTCCCACAGAGGGTCGTACAATCATCAATCGCCTCGTCACAAGAATCAGGCTGGGATGCGAACTGCTTCCTCCGGGTTTGCACAAGACAAACTGCACTACCTGAGAAGCCGGACCAGACGAGTATTTATAGCATGTACCTGAAATCGGGATCCATGGCCGTGACCGGTGTCACCCTCTCCCTCTCCTGCACCCGGTCCTTGCTTGTTGTGCTGGCTGCGTCATCGTGCTCCAGCCTCTGCGCCGCATCGAGCAATCCATTCTCCCTCCGCAGACAAAAGTAGAGCACGGCGCAGCAGGCGATGGAGGCCAGGACGAAGCCGCTGTTGGCGATCATGGCGGGCAGGTACCGCGGGCCGGACGACTTGGGATACATGTACGGAGAGTACACCTGGGCGATGTTGCCTACCATGTTGGCGATGGCGAACGCGGAGGACCGCTTTTCAATAGGGTAAGGGATCTGCAGCGTCTGATTAGTCGACGCCAATTTGTTCGGCCATGGGGTTCGGGACATACCGTGGAGCTCATCCAGGCGTAGGTGATGTCGTAGCAGCCGTACACGCCGCCCAGGGCCAGGAAGAGTGAAAAGTAGCGGGGTGCGAGGCTGTGCGTGGTGGCGGCGATGATGAAGCCGACCAGGGCAAAGGCGAGCGGGACAACTAGATGCAGACATCGCTCACCGCGCTTGTCGCTGGAGACGGAGACGACGAGGGCGACGATGGCGGCGAAGACGAAGGGCGGCGCCGTCATCAGCAGCGTCTGGACCTTGCCGTAGTGCAACGTGGCGACCAGCGTCGGGATGAACTGCGTCACCGCGCCGGCGGACGTCTTTAGAATGACGACGAGCGTGAGCAGCCAGACTTTATAGTCCGTCAGCGCCATCTTCAGGCCCTGCAGCAGCGGCCCGCGCTCCTCGTCTCGACTGCCGTGCAGACGATGCACCGCCAGCGCGCGCTCCTCCTCGGTCAGCCACGCCGTGTTGGCCGGAAAGTCCGGCAACACAAACACCGACCCGAGACTGACCGCCACCGTGACGCCGCCCTCGATGATGAACAGCCACTGCCACGCGTGCAGGCCGCGCACGCCGTCCAGCCCGCCCTGCACGCCCGCGCCGACCAGACCCCCGAACGCGCTGGACAGCAGGCTCCCCGTGTAGACGACGGCGGTGCGCGTGGCCATCTCGCGCGGCGTGTACCAGCTGGACAGCAGCAGCAGCGCGCCGGGGAAGAAGGGCGCCTCGAGCAGGCCGAGCAGCGTGCGGCAGGCGACGAGCGCGGCGAAGGAGGGCGCGGCGGCGGTGGCGGCGGAGACGCAGCCCCAGAGGGCCATGCAGGCGGGGAGGTAGAGGCTGGGGCGGACGCGGGTGAGGAGCAGGTTGGAGGGGATCTGCAGGGCGAGGTAGCCGGCGAAGAGCGCGGAGATGCACACGTTGAACTGGTTGCCGGTGAGGCCGAGGTGCGCCTCGATGCCCTGGACGCGGGCGTTGGGCAGGGCGTTGCGGTCGAGGTAGCTGGGGGAGGGCAGGGTGGTGAGCGGAGGAGGGATAGATGTGGAAGGGGTTTGGGGACGAACTTGAGGACGATCATGCAGATCAGGGCGGGCATGAGCCGGAGGTCTACCTTGCGGAGGAGCTTTCGCTCGAGAGCCGCGTATTCCTCTGGCGTGGCGGGCAGCATCGCCGTGGTGGACGTGCTCGGTTGGACGTTGACGCTGTTGGCCATGACGACTAGGTAGGCAGGCCTGGGGTGGTTTTGTTTAGATCTTGACTTGGGTAGATCTGGACTTGGCGGTAGATGGATCTTGACTTGGCGAGCAACCATGCGGGGAAGTCTCACATTGCAAGAGGGGAGTTGACGGGCTTATATAACTAGCCGTAAGCGATGGCACTCACTCACTCACTCACTTACAGCACCTGCAGCCAGGTGAAGTCAAACACGCAGAATCCTGGCTCCGCGTCCTCGTCATTGCCTCCGCATCATGGTCTGCTCGGGAGTTTACCGATCAGTTTAGCGCCGTGGACGGACGGGAGTTTTCGGTCGGGACGTTTATGGGTGCAGGCGGGTGCAGGCGGCTTCGGTGGGATCGCCCTCCCTTGCGCTCGCGATTCATCATGTATAGCCTGTTGCCCCGTAAATCGCATGTTCGTACATTGACAAGGCACTCGACTACTCTTCAGGAACGTGAACCCCAACTTGTAGGCCCGCCTCCGCAATCTGGCTATTGGTCGACTCGGGAGTCTACCGAGATCAGTTCCAGTGTGGCGGAGAGATGGCGGCTTTTAGCGTGTCGAGGGACGGAAGCTGTTATTCGGGACGGCAGTTACAAGAACTCAACTTCAAAAAAATAGTGCCGTTGCTCGAAGTAGAACAAGTCATTAATTGTGCTACAAGACCTTGGCTTTATTTCAAATCCAACTTGGTATCCAACATCCAGTTCTGGCGATTCACCACTATGTACACTCTTGATGCTTGCCACCCCCATTTACAGGCGGCCGACCAGCTTATCACCAAGGCTCTTGATGCTCTTTGCAAACTCATCCGAGTTCTTGGCCTTCCAGTTGGCGCCGTTCTTGCCCGGCACCGTGTCGGCGCCGGTAAAGGCAATGTACAGGACGTCCTTGGGGTCGTGGCCGTTGTTGCCCGTGAGGTGCTCGTTGGGGAAGCACAGCTTGCCCATGGCCAGGGACGCCTCGCCGGTCGAGGTGCCGCCGTTGGTGTCGCCCCAGATGCCGTAGTGCTTGAATTACGAAGGTCAGCGTGCGTTGACGGATGGGTTCCCCGTGAGAACCTACCACCTGGCCGTTGCAGACCACAGCCATGACGGACAGCGGCTTGATGCCGTGCGCCTCGGCGTTGAACGACGGCTTTCCGCCCTCGTTGCCAAAGACGACGTAAGGGTGGATGTTGGCGTCGAGATCCGGGATACCGTAAGTCTTGACCGTGTCCTTGAAGGCCGTCTCGCCCTGGCCGCTGGGGTCGTTGGCGCAGGCTCCGCCGCTTCGGTTGGCGCCGTCGCAGTCAATGTCCATGTTGTCGTAACCTCCAGGGGACTTGAGGAAGATGACATTGGGGATGTCACCGCAGTACGATGTCTTGGCGGGGAAGTCGCCCGACAGCTTCTTGGAGCAAGAGCCGGACTAAGAAAACAATTGTGAGTATTTATTCTTTTTCTCTCTTCTTTTTTTTCCCCTCCTCTTTCTTCCCTCTTTCTTGTGTGGTTCATTCTCACCTTGTGCTGGTCATACAGTGACTTCAGCTTAGCCGGGAGCTGATAGCCAGAGGCAATCGAGCCAAGGGCGGCGAGAGACAAGACAGTGGAGGAGCGCATTGCGAATTGTTGAAGAGTGAATAGTTGAAGAGTTGGGAGGATAGTGTTGATGAGATTGATGAGATTGAGTTGCAGATTAAAGAGCACACCGTCGCTTTATACTTTCCGTCCCTGCTAACCTCGATGAATCATGGCCATGCTGCCGCACGGTCTAGAACCCCTCGTGCCTCTAATGTGTTTTCTGTTCTTTACGGCTCCGCGAATAGAATTGAAGCAATCTCACGGAGAGGCAAGTTCCAGCCCTGTCAATCCCTCGATTCATGACAATCACGGTGGGTCGACAGGTTGAGGATGAATTTGTCCGTTGATGCACCACCTAGAATGGACGACGAGATTGGCGGAACCATATCTTCCGCCCCAGGGTAGGCGCAGTTATGCTTACATGGCTGTCGGCGAAGAATCGCCGTAGTTTCCCGACCAGCGCGCGATTGGCTCGTCCTGTCTATAATTAATTCGGCAACTAGCGCCCGGGGTGACTGGGGTAAGCCGGCACCTGGTCCTCGCTGGAGAAACAATTCCGGGGACATGAGGGATGCAGAAGGTGTAACGGCCGTGTCAGCGCATGCAGTACGGTGTCTGTAGTTCTACTGTACTTGATGACGTAACTTGTAAATTAAGCATACGACATCTGCATTACCGCCATGGTAGGGCTATCGTCTAGGCTTATTTGGTGTAATCTGCGGATACATTGTGTCCGTATGGACGTGCAGAGAGACCACACATGTCTTGCCAACTCGTTTACAGAGAAAAATATCCTACCATTCAACTTGTCTATCTGGCCAGAAACTGCGATACCAACCTTACTTTTAACCTCCTATCCCGGCTAACACTTGCGCGGCCTCCAGTTCGGGATCGCATAGCTCCCATCCGGCTTCACAATGTCAAACGTGTCCTCGCCCCTCCACGCGTGAAAGAACCATCCCACCTTACGCTCCCTAAACCACTCGCAATTACCATCAATAATCTTCCAGTACTTGATGTACTGGGCCGGGCCCACGTCCGCCTTGCCCGGGTTGTGGTCCGTCTTGCCCCACGCCCACTGCGTCTCGCTGATCATCGTCGGCAGCCCGACGTGGTCGACCACCCACTGCGTCTGCTTCTGGATGTACGGCCAGGCCGCGTCCACGCTGCCCTTGTAGTCGTGGTAGAACGGCATCGGGTGGATGTGCGCCACGTCCGAGTTGGCCTTGACGCCCTTGCCGATCGGGCCCGGGCCCTTGGCGTCGGAGCTGCTCATCTTGCCGGGGCGGTCCCAGTCCTCGCTGATGCCGACGGGGATCTGGTGCGAGTTGAGCGTGCTGCGGAATTTGCCGAGGTCGTTGACAAAGTTGTCGCCGTCCATGCCGTCGCCGACGGGCTCGGAGCCAAACTCGGCGGAGTGGACGACGTACGGGGCGATGGCCTTGTACTTGGGGTTGTTGAGGACGTCGTAGATGGCCTGCTGGGATTTCCTCCAGACGTCCTATCAAAATCTGTGAGCAAGACCTTCTGCCAAGTTGATCGCGGCTCACGTACCCCATCTCCAAAGTTGGTCCAGACCTGGAAGACGACGGCCATGTTGTTGTTGTAAGCCGCCTCCAGCGCGTGCTCAAACACAGCCGTCTTGGTGCAGACCGGGTAGTACATGCGCACAATGGTCGCGCCAAAGTCCTTCTTCATCTGCTTAAAGTCCTTGTCCATGGCGTCGTAGCCATTCTCCCAGGCATTGCAGTCGCCATTCTCCAGAGGGTAAGAGAAGCCCTGGAAGCCGTACGCCATGCTCTGCGGGCACCACCACTGGTCGTGCGACACGCCGGGGGCCTGGAGATTGCCAGGCAGCTTCGCGCTGCCGTAGGGGAAGCAGTTGGCCGTGTCACGCTGGATGGCGGAGGCCATGGCCGGGATGGCAGCCGTGGCTACTAGAAGAATGGATGAAAGCATTGTAATTGCTGGCCGGGATGCTTGTGTCTTGATCGACTCTGCTCTTAAGCTGTGCCGGGGCAGGCACCTTTATACTTCCACGAGCCATTGTGTCGATTATTTTGTCATCGGCGTAGATCCCGGGGCACTAAACTCGGTCCCTATTAAGCCCAAAGCACATTGAACTAGCTGCTAATGAGTTTTTCCGCCTATGCACGGGTGAGATGCCATCGTTGCATCGTGCTGACAGCCAGAGAAGGGCCGACGACGATCGCCCTAAGCCTCCACATTCAGCAGTCCGCCGCGAGAAATGTAACCGGGAGCTGTGATCGCTAATGATGTGCTAAAGTGGAAGTAGAAGTAAGATGCGGAAGGCAAATAAATATGATTAATTCACTCAAGAAATACGAAAATGACATGTAAAGCTACAGTAGGGAGTAGGTGTTAAGCTCTCCTAAAACTAGGTAGTGTAATGCCACGAAGATCCTCAATAAAAGAAGACATAACCAAATATTATAGAAAAGGTAAATAAATGTATCATCATTGTATTTATATAGTATATATGGTTATATTTCATCAACATGTGCAGTCAGTCGTTATTTTGGCGAGTCAAGAACCGTCAGTCAACCAGGACCAGACAGCCGCTTACAAGTCCTTGAGGTACGCAAGCATCTCAGGGTACTTGGGCGTGCCCAGGCCAGTAACGGGGTCCCAGCCGGAAGCCGCGCTGAAGCCCTTGCCGTTGCAGTTGCCGTCTCCGCCGCTCTGGTCGCCCGAGGTGACGTCGTTGAACATGGATGGGTTCTTGTACAGCGCCGGGTTGATGAAGCCGAGGGGCTTCTTGCTGTTGGCGATGCGCTCCTCGTTGATGCGGTTGATGATGGCCGCGAAGATGGGTGCCGACATGGAGGTGCCGCCGCTGGTGCCCTTCTTGCCGTTGAAGACGACGGCGCCGTTGTCGCCGAGCGCCGAGACGTCGGGGAAGCCACGGCCGGCCTTGTTGTAGATGCCGCCGTCGGTGGGGACCACGCCGTCCTTGGTCGAGTAGTTGGGGAAGCCGGGGTCGCTGTTCTTGAACCACGAGGAGACGGCGTCCTTCTGGTAGTCGGGCTGCTCCCAGATGTTGCTGAAGCCACCGCCGCTACCGAAGCTGGCGACGGCCACCTCGGTGTCGTCGAGCGAGTTGCCCTTGGGGATGTACGTGGCGCCGACCGAGGTGACGTATGGGCAGGAGCCGGGAGCGGCGGGGTTGAAGATGTCGCCGTTGCTGCCCTGGCAATCACCGCCGTGGCCACCGGCAACACCGCCGTCACCGGAGGAGAAGACGATGGTGACACCCTGAAGACCAAGCTTCATGTACTCGTCACACTGGCGCTTCTGGTAGTTGACGGGCCAGCTGGCCTCGGTGAGGCCGTAGGAGAGGGAGATGACGTTGGTGGGCGTGAACTTGCCGCACATCTCGTTCTGGGTCGTGCCGTCGACGTTGGGGTCATCACCCGTCTCGCCGTAGGCGGTGGATGTGCAGTACGAGCCATCAATGGCATCGAGGAAGACGTTGAGGAATCCTGGGGTTTGGTTGCTGTAGTTGTCCTTGGTCTGGAACACCTCAGTCTGCTGAGGGTAGATGATGGGGATTGCCATGTCAAAGTCGAGCGCGGCCTCGCCCACGGCCTGGCTGGGGTCGGGCTGCGCGCCGTTCCAGTCGATGAGGTCAATCACAGGGCCTGTTCCCTGGGGAATGTTGGAGGCGTAGGCCTGGTAGAAGGCGTCCAGGTCCGACTGCTGGTGCATTTCGCTGTCGCTCTCGTAAATTCCGAGACGGTTGCTGGTGGCGTTCAAGGTCGCCTGGGGAATCTTGTACTTGTCCGCGATGCACTGCGGGCTGATGACGGTGTCGCAGCCAGTGGCCGCCTTGCCGCCGGGGAGGGGCTTGAAGCGGGAAACCCGGCGAGGCTTGGGCTCTTCGCGCTTCTGAACAGTTCCAGTGACGATACCGGGAGCGACGAAGTCGACAACCTCGGAAATGGCACGAGGCAGGTGGTAAGCGTCGGCACCCATCTGCTGCGCGCCAGTCTTGGTGTGGTCGTAGATGTGATACTTGGTTTGAAGGAGCGACTCCAGCTTGTCAGCAGTCGTCTTGAAGTCAACGAAGCCTCTGCTCTTGGGCACAGAGACGTTGTTGATGCCGGCATCCTTCAGCCACTGGGTGACCTTGTCGATGGAGGCGTCATCCGGAGCAAAGAGCTCGGTAACCTCCTCAGAGGTGTAGTGCTTGCCATAGTTGGGGGAGGAAGGGTCAGAAACGCCCAGAAGTAGCTTCATTCCGTGCTCAAGGTTGCGCTGCTTCAGGGCAATACGGGCAGGAATGATGGCACCGCCGTCGACTTTGACGGTCGACTTGCGGAGGAGAGGGTGCGCCTCACGCTTCTCGTGCTGGACATGGTCGCCGAGAGGGATGCCGAGAGCAGCGGCGCAGAAGGCGCTCAGGAAGATGGCAGCGATCTTCATTGCCACGGTAGAGGTATATGTATAGTATAAATAGCCTTGAAGGGAAAAGTTGGAGCTGGAACTGCTTCGGTACGAACAAGAAGATTGGTGACCCGGGCATATGAGGGCATTTATAGATGAAGAGCTGAGGGAGGGAAACTGCCTCTTCCAACAAGAGCAGCTCAAAGTTCCCCGAAGAGCAATAGATCGACTGTTGCAGATAATTTGCATCCGTCGCGTTGAAACTCTGCCAGCTCGTGTCGAACCACTCACCGTCTGTCGTATTGCTTGTGAGCTAGGTGATAACGAGAAGGTGCGATGCCACTGCCACAACAACGGCCACAATCGGGCCCTCTGACGTCTCTGAGAAGGATGCCGAGAAAATTCACATGTCCGCTTATCCGAGCCATGTTGCATCGATCTGGGCTGACCTTCCTAATGTGCAAGGTGCCACCAAACAATAGCAGCGATCGACACAAGGGGCAAGACACGCAGCGAGGTTAAGCAAGATGCTTAAAACTGAGCCGCGCGTGTGGCTCCATTGTAGATACCAGTGTAAAAGCCAAATGTCGCTGTCGATAGAGTCGGGACCTGCGAAGGCTGGCGATTCTCCCCTTGTTGACAGGCGGGTGGCTTGATCCCATCGTCTTGGCAAAAGCACAACATCGACGCCAAGACACGCCGGGCGACTTGTCATTGAGGGGAAGTCTCTTGCTTCTCAAATAGGAAGGTTTGCTGCGGATGCATGTTCACGGGGGTCGGCGCAACCATATCAGCCATTTTGGGCTTCCATCTTTGTACTTGCCATTGTCGCGCTGGCTTCTTAAGGGACCTTCCTTTCAAAAGTGCGCGAGCAACAAGGTCGCATTCGCGTCGGACATTCCGGGTACGGTGTTTGGTTGCAGTATACATGGGCCGACTTCTAGATTAAGGAGGTCAAAGGAACACGAGAGCTCATTACACATCGGAAAGGGGAGCGCTCGCCGATCACTTCTTACACCCGCTATTTAGGGCACCGCTTCGGCCAACCACTGGGTGCTGCTCAGCCTTGCTGAGCGCGCCAGATTGCGCCGTTTTTACTTTAGCACGTGTCTCAAGTTAAAAAGCACAATAATGGCCGAGTTAAAAAGGTGGCTTTTATTGTTGTCGGTGAATGGTAATTCGGTTAACTAGCTTTGATGGAAAATACCCGAAGGCTCATCTTGTATGTCATAGTTACAGTAGACCCCCGTATCTACAGCAGCTTACCGCACCCGACTACACAACAACTCTCATGTGCATTCAACGTTGTTGATGCGGGTACGCACAAATGAATATGAAATACATGCTGAGAATAAAAAGCTGCTTTTTTTCACTGGCTGAATCGATTTTGGCGGACCTACAACCAAGGCGTTCAAAAACAGACGATGGATACGGTTACTCGTAACCGCTAGGTTAGTTATTGTTGTACTACATGCATGGCCCTGCGGATAGATGACGATCCTCGCTCTAAGCAATTCCCGTACCTTCCCGTTCAGACTCATTAAACATGATAAACGAATCAGTATATCTTGCACAAGCGCCATCTCTCGCAATGTTCCCTGTTCGCTCTCTCCCGCGGTACGCAGCTACCAAGTAGGGGTCAAGCGCAGAAGATCGCTGCCGCTGATCATCCGGAAAGCTTCTCATCACTGATGGGACAAAGGTCACGACCCTTGCTCTCTCCCTTGTTGGCCAAGGCAGACAGAGCGAGATCCATGTAATTATTTGGATTGAAGGCAGTCCAGCACAGCTGACTTTGTCTGTTTGTTTCATTGTTTTACGCCACTACGAGATGGGAAGTTGTGCACTCTACTGTGTCCCGGGTCGTTTATGTGTGTAAAAGTTGACTGTCACCACAACCGTCTTCTGGAATATTCACGGACCATGGCGCCATATGGCGGAGGGTGTGGCGTAAGCCGAACCAGGTTGATACTTCTATTACTGGCAACTGATCGATCTGGGTTTACTTGACTGTATTGCCAACGAAACCGCCCGCTACTCCGCCCCAGGCCGGCTACTCCGCCATCACTCCCCGCCTCTAACCTTGCCGCTTGCCAGCATCCAGCTCCTCCAACGCATCCAAGCCGCCGAGTAGCAGGTTTACCACGTTCGCGTCACTCCGCGCCCGGCTGAACGCCGCCTTCCCGGCCCCCGCCCCGTCCACGCCGAACCGCTCACCAAAGTCGCCGACGAAGTTGTCAAACGTCGTCGCGCCCTTGTCCCGGCAGATGCCGCACATGAGCTTCGTCAAGCCCTCGCCGGTGAAGCCTGCGCGGGGAAAGAGCCCCATGACTGCGTGGTACTCGTCCGCCGTGATCAGGTTATCCGGGTGGCCGGGGCCGTAGGGAAAGTGCGGTCCTTGAAAATCCGCGAGGATGCCGCAGGCGGCCACGGCGACCTCGACGGCGGCGTGCCGGGCGATGCTAAAGGTCGTGTGCAGCGCGATGGCGTCCCAGCAGCGCTGTACACGGTTCTGGTCCCAGGCATCGCCGCCATCCTCCGCGTTGAACTGGTTGATGAAGTCGCGGGCAATGTTGGCGCCGTCGACTTCGAATCGCTTGTCCGGAGACAAGAGCTGCTTGCTCTCGGCCCATCCCATGTCGTGCAGGATGCAGCTGAGCACGACGAGCTCCAGGTCCAGCGGGCTTCCGGAAAAGGAAGCATCTCTTTTGGCGATGATGGCCGACCAGTAGGCGGAGCGCACGGCGTGGTTGTAGGTCAGCTCATTGCAGTGGTCCTTTGCGAATGCGAGTGCCGCGGTGATGATCTTGGATTGGGGCAGCTCCAACCCGAAGCTGGGCAGATGGTGTAGGCTATCGGTCATGGCTACACGGCGAGGCTATTTGCCAGAATGCTGGGGCATGTGTCAATGAAACTTGTCTGCGACGTGCGAGGTTGCAGCGCGGGGTAGCCGTTGACGTACCATTCAGCGCTTGAAATGGCAGCTGAAGTGTCGCTAGTTAGGGCTTACTTGCATGGCAGTGATGCCTCGGGCAAGCTGGGTGGGCGAGGTAATGACATGGGTAGGGCCTCTGCGTATTTATCACGGCAGCGGTAAATTCACTCGAGTCTTGATCTTGATTCGTCTTGATTGGTTCGCAAGATTGCATGGTCATTAAAATAAAATAAAAATACACCTTGTACAGGGCAGTCTACAGTCGACTCGTGCTCGACAAGTACGAGTTGCCAAGCTGCAGCACCTGCACGGCCTGCTTGACCATGTCGTCGACAATCTTGGCCGCCGGCTCGACCGACTTGATGGAGCCGGCCACCTGGCCCATGATGTGCGGAAAGTCGAAATCCTTGCCCTCATCCAGGTCGTGCTCGAACGGCACCACGCCCTTGTCGCACAGCGCCTTGATCTCCTGCGGCCGCGCGTGCCAGTCCCGGATGTACTCGTTGACCTTGAGGCGCAGCGGACGGCCCGAGATGACCAGCGTCGGCTCCGTCTGGTCGTACGTGCAGCTGACCACCTCCTTCTTGTGCTCCTCGCTCGTGTTGCCCTCGGCCGAGGCGACGAAGCGCGTGCCCACCCAGACGCCGACGGCGCCGTGGACCAGCGACGCGGCCAGCCCGCGCCCGTCGCTGATGCCGCCCGCGGCGATCACCATGGCCGGCTGCCCGCGCAGCAGCGGCGGGCGGTAGTTGCGGGCGATGTCGACGACGGCGGGGACGAGGATCGAGGTGGCGACGCTGCTGGCGTGGCCGCCGCCCTCGCTGCCCTGCGGGATGACGCCGTCGACGCCGAGGTCCAGCGCCTTCTGGGCGTGCTTCGGGTGGCCGACCATGTTCATGACGAGGATGTTGGCCTTGTGTAGACGGTCAATCACGTGCTTCGGAGGGGTGCCGATGGCGGACACGAAGACGTGCGCGCCCTCCTCGATGGTGAGGTTGATGAGCTCGTCGAGCTTGCCGTTGGTGTAGTCGTGGTTGGTCTTGCGCGCGCCGTCGCCGATCTTGGGCAGGGCCAGGTCGATGCCCCACGGCAGGTCGGGGCTGGTGAGGAGCGACTTCATCTCGGCGATGATCTCGCGCAGCTGGTTGGGCGAGTACATGATGCCGCCGATGACGCCGAGGCCGCCGGCGTTGGACACGGCGGCGGCCAGCTTGCCGCCGGCGACGTGGGCCATGCCGGCCAGGATGACCGGGTGCTTGATGCCCAGGCGGGTGGTGAGCGGCGTGGTGATGGGGCCGGTGGGTGCCATGGCGGAGGATGGATGGGATATGAGAGGGGAGTACAGTAAAGGAGGAACAAGGAAGTAAAGGTGAACCGAGATGGGAATGAGCCTCCCCGTGGATTTATACAAACCCCAGGGCCTCGGAGGCGGTTATATGGCCATCCCAGTGACAGTGGAGGTGGCGCCTGTAACCTGCAGAGGCTACAGCGCATCTGGCACCACCGAGGCTCGGCTACTTGCCACTGCAGGGGAAGCATCCCGTCCATCTCCACGCTTTTACCCCGCGTTATAGACCGGAGTGTGGGGGATGAATTAAATCCGTGGCCGTTCATCATCCCTCTCCTTGACACTTGTGCTTCACCAGGGATTGAAGTCGATAAAAATGTCCTGAAGCCGACTTGCACATTTCATGTTGATTTTTTGCGACCCGCATTGACCACGGAACACTGGAGTAGCGGAGATGGACAGCGCGCCGGCGGCCAGATCCCGTCACCGCCATGCTCCTCCTACACTGGCTCGCACGCATGGGTTCCTGATTATCAGATCCCGAATGACGAAATTTGAAAGTCTTTTCTACTACACTGTGTGGTATCTCCCAACTCGGAATTCGACCTATACCAACATTCTACCAGATATCTACCTCTTCTCATCAGTGCCGCTGTTCTCAACAACATTCTCCGCCTGGCTGACACCCGCTTCCGAGTCAGTTTTACCCAGGCCGAGCTGAGAGACGTCCCAGCCCTTGCTCTCCAGGTACTGTCGGAACTTTCTATCCTCCTCGGAAATAGTATCCTGGCCGACATTGGGCAGGCAGAAGAAGGCAACGGCCGCAGAGAGGAGGGCGAGACTGGAGGCGACCCAGAACGGATACTGCGCAGACTGCGTCTTGCTGTTGCCGGCCTTCTCGATCGCAGGGAAGGCGTACGTGCCGACGAACGCGCCAATCTTGCCAATGGCGGCGGCGATGCCGTAGTAGCGACCGCGGACGCCGGTGGCGCACGTCTTGGCGGCCAGGAGACCGATGTTGTTGCCGGGGCCGAGCTCGCCGAGGGCCTGGAAGATGCCGTAGACGACGGCGAAGGCGGCGACGTGCTTGGAGATGGAGCTGTAGACGCCGGCCATGATGTAGCCGACGACTGCCTGCGCGGACACGCCAAAGATGAGCGCGTACTTGGGCCCGATCCAATCGCTAACAAAGGCACCAAGGATGGTGCCAGGAATGTAGAACAGGTTGATGACAGTGTTCCAGCCGAAAATAGTCGTGAGAGGAGAGCCTTTAGGGTAGATGGAGCTGAGAATGTCAGACGAGTAGATTCCAAAGGCATACGAGGAGAACTATACGATCCATTCGGTTAGTCAGAGACGATGCGTAGATATGTGACGGTGGTGCTTACGTCGTAGAGGAACCAGATGACGGAGACGGCGGCCAGTCTGAACCAGTAATATTTGAGTACCAGGGAGTACGGAGTAGCGCGACGCATAGACTCTTTGGCAAACTCCTCGGGCTCTTTCAGGCGAAGACGGAGGACAAACAAGATGAGTGGGAAGACGACACCAATGCCCAGGCTGGTACGCCAGATGGTCTCGTAGTGGCCGTTGTGGGTGGCGGCAGCTACGACGTCTGAGATTCGACCAGTCAGCGACCGCGCCATCTAGCAGGAGCGGTTAGTTGCAAACTTACAAGGGATGAAGGCGCCGATGACGAAGCCGACGTCGATCATGGAGTTGGTGAAGAGGATGAACCAGCGGTTGCGGGTGCCGCGCTTGAGCTCCCCGGTGGACTCGGCACAGCCAACACTACCAGCGGGATACTCGCCTAGTAAGCGTAAGTCAGTCCAAAAGCTATCCTTCTCGCGCCGGGGGGGGGAACGGGACAGCAGTCAGTCGTACCTCCGATTCCGATGCCGACAAAGAAGCGCCAGGCAGCCAGCATGTTGAACATGCCGACGGCGTCGCCGTGCCAGTAGGAGCCGGCAGCGAGGGCGGTGAAGACGATGAGGATGGCGGTGGAGGTGACGAGGGAGTGCGAGCGCGACCAGTGGTCCGAGGTGAAGCCGAAGACGAGCTGGCCGAGGACGGTGCCGGCGAAGGCGACGCTGGCGACGACGCCCTTGGCGCGCGAGTCGTCAAAGGTGGCGCCGTACTGCCTCGACAGCGCGGTGTTGACCGAGCCGATGACCTGGGAAGGAAGGAGTTAGCGGAGGGGCGGGCGAGAGAGGCGGGCGAGAGAGGCGGGCGAGAGAGCCAGGTTGTACGTTGTTGATGTAGCCATCGGAGAAGAGACCGGCGCCGCAGGCAAAGACGGGCAGGGCGGCCTGGAAGAAGGACTTGCGCTCGAGGGCGTCCTCGACGGTGTGCTTCTGCAGATCCTCGGGGTGGTGGTCGCCCGAGTCGACGGGGGGGACGACGTCCTTGGAAGATTGAATCTCAGCCATGACTGCGAGCGCGTTTCGCACAGCTAGCTCGCAACGTCGTGTACGTGTAGATGTGATGCTGCGAAGGTGGAAGCGTAGTTTCAGCCGGGAGCAAGAACTAGCACCGCATGAAGAAGAAAGAAGGGAAGAAGGATCATCGTCCAAACGAGGCCAAGGGTGGACTTTTTACTTTTTGAACAACACGGCAAAGATCCGCGCACCTGCAATCTGACATCAGGCTCAGGTGCGTGTTAGTGTGTTCGTGCGGAAGAACGGCTCAGAGAGGCAAGGTTAACGGCCCCCCGGTGTGTGTGGGGGGGGGGCGTTCGGCTGGGGCTTTCAGCGGGCAAGGAACAGGTCAAGTGAGAGGAAGGCAGGAAGCAGTGGCTTTCCACGGCCAGTTTCCATTCGTCCTTTCTTCTGTTAGCGTCATTGGGCGAATTCCCGAGGTGCCAAAGTGGTAGCGAGCGAGCCAGTGAGGCTTGCTAGTAGGTCGGCGGCCGGCGCCGGCTTGGACAATAGCGGGGTGGCCGGCTTGCAGGCGTCTTTGACGGTTGGTGGCTGTTTTTTCCCGGTGCAAGACACAGAAGTAGAACGAAATTTTGTACTGATAGTGCTGATAGTGCTGAGAAGACTGTTTTTAACGGCCGATTCTGTTCACCGAGAGGGGAAATATTAGATGTATAGAGAGGGACAATAAGCCCGTCTAGAACTTGCGTGCTGGCTCCGTCCGAGACACGTGGGCGCAACCACTGGCCCCAAGGGCCCCCAAGACGCCCTGTAAATGGACCTGTAATTAATGGTTCTGAGGGCGGACCGCGTTATCGGCTGGCTGCTGGGGAAGTCCTGACGCTCGTGGATCGGGCTGGCCGACGCTTGCTGGCTGCCCATGCCCATGCGGTGCGCTAGGTCGATAGTGGCATTCATCAGCACACATGCAGCCAACGAGAAGGCTTCTGGAAATAATCTACCGAGTCTGTCTGGGATGCAAGGCCATCCACAGGCATACGCAGAGCCCGCTGTCGCGTGCCCACGCTGCGTCGCGTCCAGCTTGGGAAACAGCCCCGACTTGCACGCCCAGCCACACCGTGCTCCAGCGTCGAAATGTGGCTTGATACCATGGAAATTAATATGCTTCTCCGGATATCTGTAGCCGTCCTGCTTGCCACGTGCTGCAGTTGATAAAAAAGCCAGGACTTTGTCGTCTTGGTTCGTTTCAGTCGTCGTGCCTTGACGCCAAGCTCGATCCGCATTTCCGTTTCCCATCCCCGATCAGTGTACCTCTAGATCTCTTGGCTGTCTCGGCCTTTGCTTGGCACCAGAGTCGCGAAAGCCTGCGATCAGATTATTGTACTGCGAACCAAGACTCCACCCTCACCGCCAGCAGATTCCATGGTCGCAAGGCCGACATGCGAGTAGTTCAACTATTGGGACATTCTTCTATCATTAATCATTCATTTAAGATGAAAAAGCCCAACTCTGGCGATGCTGTTGAAAATAGGGCAGTGAAAGCAAGACCTACCCTACAGCGCCTATGGTGCCTTTGGCTGTTGAGCTGACTTTCCCCCACACCAACCATCGACCCCGAATCAATGCGCTCAAAAAATCCTTCACGATTTGTCTGCCGAGAAAAAGAAAATGAGAGACGAGTTTGGACTCTTTAGTGTATTCCTGGCATTTTGAATACATTTTCTTTTCTGCTAGCACGTGTGGAAACCTAATTGGCAAACAAATTACGCGAGCAGCTCTTGACAGTAATAGCAGTGGCCTGTCTAAGAATTCAGGACCGTCTAATTATATGTATTGCCATTTCTAAATCTAAAAATTATCCCGTCTCTATATAAAAGAGAAACTCCGTCCAAATGCGATGTTGATAAAAGTGAAATGCTCAATTCTTGCTTTGTCGTCATCATCAGCCGCCGTGGCGTCTGAACAGAAACACGATGCAGGTTCCCATACCCAACCCAGCCAGGCCGATACCCGTATACAGACCCGAGCGAAACCCGCGTAATCGATCATCCGATGAGTCGCCCGAGCCTCGGACGTTGACCTCGATGGTTCCTGCAAGGCCTACACCCAGCGCAATGCCGTAGTTGACGACAGTGTTGACCAGGCTGGCCCCGATTCCCTGGTGCTCCTTTGCGACAGCGTTTGAGAGGGTCAGCGTCGCGGCGGGGAAGCTCATGTCCATGCCAAACGGCATGATGAGCATGGAGACAAATATTTGGCCCCAGTAGATTTGGTGCACAGGGGCAAAGGCGGTCAAGATGATGCCGACCGTGAATGCCGTCAAGGCCAGCATCATGACGACTGGTGGGCGGACCTGAAGCGGGCCGAGCAGCTTGCCGGTGACGAAGGCGGCGGCCCCTCCAGCACATATGGCCGGGGCAAAGTACGCCGATACAAGAAGCGGTTGCAAGCCGCGAATGTCCTCGAGAATCTGCACAAGGTAGAGCGTCCAGACGCCAAACGTTGCCCAGCCGCAGACGAGCGCAGCGAGAACGAAGCATATGTCTGGCTTGAACGCATCGAACGGTAGCAGGGGGTACTCGCTCATCTTGACTTCCAGGTAGACGAAACCTCCAAAGAGAAGCAGGCCGAGGATGAGCGGCACGAGGACGGTCGGGGTGCCCCAGCCGCTGATCGGCGCCTGGGTCCACGCAAAGTTGAACAGGACCAGCGCGACCACGCCAACAACAGCAGCCGGCGCATCCAGCGCAACGATCCAGCCGCGCAGCGAGCGCGGCCCCTCGTTGTCCTGCGGCGGCTCTGGAATGATCAAGTACGCGGCCACGCACAGCAGCGCCAGCCAGATGGCCATGGCCCATAGCGCCCAGGGCCACCACGCCAGGGCGAAGAGCGAGGCGAAGACGCCGCCGCAGACGCCGCCGATGGGCGCGACGGCGCCGAAGCACGCAAAGACCATGGCCTTGCGGTGGCCCGGCGGGTAGGCGGAGCCGAGGATGGCGAGCGCGTTGGGCAGGCAGAGCGCGGGGCCGACGCCCTGCAGGACGCGCGCGAAGACGGCGAGGGTGAAGTCGGAGTAGACGCTGAGCCCGGAGACGAGCGACCAGAGGGAGAACCAGGCGAAGCCGGCGAGGAGCATGTTCTTGTAGCCGAGGACGTCGCCGAGGCGGCCGGCGACGAGGATGAAGGTGCCGACGGTGAGGGAGTAGCCGGCGACGAGCCAGGCGAGGTGGGCGGGGTCCGCGACGCCAAAGGTGCTGCCCATGTCTCGCAGCAGGACGAGGGTGCCCATGTAGGCGGCCTCTGTGAAATGATGAGACGAGGTCAGCGAGTGAGTGGTCAAGCGGAACAAGGGTGAGAGATGCAAGGCACGCGAGGAAACGTACGGGTGCAGAACTGGGCCATGCAGACGATGGCGACAAAGAGCGCCTCCCTCAGCGGCGACATGGACGCCGAGATCCATACGGACTGGGCGATGGAGGGCTCCTTGACCGCCGAGTCGTCGCTGCTCGACGCGTTGGGCCCGGCCTCCTTGGAGGACGCGGCGAGGGCGAAGCTGTCACGATCGGCCATTGCTGTCGGTCGGTCAAGGAAGGCGTGAAAGATCAGACGGCGATGCCATCGTGGCCTTTGGGATGGTGAAGAAGAGGACAAAGGGTCTTAAATTGAAAGCGAGTTAAATCCGAAGGCGGCGACTGACTGACTCCCTGGATGGCTTATCGATCTTAATTAGTTATATTTAGTCAAAAGGTTTGGTGGGTCGAAAATTTGATGCGTAACAAATTATCAATCATGACGAGCGGAAAGGAAAGCGAGCGCAGGGGACGCGGCCATCCCACTGAGCCTATTTACGACATGTTGAAAACATCAGACCATACGGCAGATGGAGAGCTGCTTGCTGTTATTGTATGAACCGTTTTTGCCAAGCCGGTCATCCAGCAGAAACCTGGTCTGCCATTTCCATCGATTCCGAGGTTGTGGATGTCTATGAAGCAAGGTCCAGATACCCTCCCTATTTAAAACAGGGGATGGCCTCGCTCATCTTGCTCGACTTGCATTATTAGTCGCAGATCAAATGAAAACAGCAAAACATACCGGTACAAGATCAACTGCGCAGGTGCCTCGCAGCCTAGTCGGTCGCAATGGCACATATGTACTGTACATATACACCTGTGATGAGTAAACCCCAGGAGCTGGCTGTTACATCGCCATGAACCGGCTGTGATGATTCGGGTTTATTGTAGGTTCCTAGCCCCACAACCTGGTTGCCTGATTGTTATTCGCCAAGTTGAACGTTGTCACTTGAGATTTTCAAAAATTTCCCAAATATTTTAGGAGCAAAGCTAGTCACTAAACAACCAGCAGTGCTACCCGCTAATAAGAATCGAGGGCACTAAAAGTGTGTGCAAGTTTCCGCTACCTTGCCTGTTCACAGTCATTAAAAGTTGACGGCTAAAACTAACATTTTCGCGTGCAAAATTACCCTCAATGTTTCTAGGACTAACCTGCTCCCAGGACAACTAATTGCACATGTGAGATGGCTGGCATACATATGTACGTACATACAGCTCAACAAAGTAGACAGACAAAGCATAAAGAAGATGAGATTGCCTGATGTTGTTGACGATTTGACATGTGAATTCGGGGTTTTTTTTTTATTTAAAAAAGAAGCATGAGAACACCAATCTGCATTTCGTGGGAGACATTCAGTGTACATAGCTGCTTCTATTACAGCGTAAATGGCGAGCCTGCATCACTCAACCATGATGTCATGATACCTGAAAGGTTGTACATTCAGAAAAAAAGCATGTTGGTTATAAATGCAACAGCTAACGTGATATCTACCTTGACAATATGGTGACACAAAACTGCAGAGCGTTCCTGGTCTACACTAGACACTCTACCGACGCTCCCGCAATGCCACCCAGAAATGCCGTTGTGGTGGTTCCTCAACAGGCTGAATAGGTGCCAGTTACATAGCTCTTTGTCAATCTGCTGCTGCGCTATGACGTGCAGCGGTAGGTCCAGGAGGTAGTTATAGGGTGGCCAAAATGGTCAGTTTTTTACGCCGACTCCGCTTGTCGATTCAACCTTCTGCACCAGCCTTGCCAGATTTGGGGATTTGGGAGCCGCACCCCCCCAACATTCTTGTCAGAAAGTCAAAGCTAAATATGGACCGTCACAAGGAAGCCGAGGGCTGTTGGCGAAAGTGCGGGGTCGAACCAGTTGCCTGCCCAGGGCTGCCCTTACCCAAAGTCTCCGGCGGGTCGATGAAAGGGGCACGGCAAACCTAGTATGCCAGTCACAGCGCGAGGATTGCAGGCAAGGTTTGACGCTTTTCATGTGACGGACTCGCCGTCGTGAGCCCCGTTACCGAGAGCGGCAAATCCTGTAGGGGAATGACGGGAATGAGGAGGGGGTGCTATGCGGGGGATGGAGAGGCCCGAGACAACCATAAGAACTCGCCAGATCCTGCTTCCAGCCTGTTCATGGTCTATTCCTGTTGGTCTATTCCATCTGTTCATCTCGCAATCCTTGACTGAGAAAGGCAGCCAAGAAGACACAGCCCATCCATAGTCGCCGTCCCTTTCACGCAAAACCTCCTTCATCATGGCGACCATGGAGCGAAACCCCAAGGACTCGATGAAGTCGACCTGGCGCACCGCCGACCGCAGCGAGTGGAACTTTGCCCACTGGTTCTACGAGCTCTTCGACCTGCACCTCGTCGACCTGGACTCGCCCGTGCCCGTCCACGCCAAGGCCGACAAGATGCCCTACGTGCCCGAGTTCGTCATGCACCGCTGGATCCTGACGCACGCCGTCGTCCCCGTCGCCCTCCAGCAGGTCTACTGCATGTACACCGGCCACAACCTCAGCCCGCTCGCCACCCTGATCCTCTACTCGGCGGCCTTCAAGTTCAACGCCATCCGCCAGCTCAAGACGATGCGCACCATGGGCCGCCAGGTCGGCTTCCTCGACGGCGACGAGCACGAGCGCGACGGCATCCCCGACGTCGGCGTCCTCAAGGTCTTGCTGTCCCTCATCTACACCTCCATCTCGCGCCCCGTCTTCACCGTGCTGCTGAGCTACCGCGCGGTCATGACGCCACAGGACGTCAACTGGGCGTGGCTGCCCCTCGAGATCGGGCTGTACGGCATCATCCTCGACTTTTGGTTCTACTGGTACCACCGGCTGATGCACGACGTGTCGTTCCTGTGGAAGTACCACCGCACGCACCACCTGACCAAGCACCCGAACCCGCTGCTGACGCTCTACGCGGACACGGAGCAGGAGATCTTCGACATTGCGGGCATCCCCATCATGACCTGGGTCACGATGAAGCTGCTGGGCCTCCCGATGAGTTTTTACGAGTGGTGGTTCTGCCACCAGTACGTCGTCTTCGCGGAGCTGGCCGGCCACAGCGGCCTCCGCCTGCTGGCGAACCCGCCGAGCACCATGACGTGGCTGCTGAAGCTGTTCGGCGCGGAGCTGGTCATCGAGGACCACGACCTGCACCACCGCAAGGGCTGGAAGAAGAGCGGCAACTACGGCAAGCAGACGCGGCTGTGGGACGTCGTCTTCGGCACCTGCAAGGACCGCATCGAGACCAACATGGAAAAGATTGACTGGGATACTGCGATTGGAATGCCTGCGTTCTAGGCACGGGGTTGGCCAGTTTGGAATGGGCAAGCGAGGCATGCAAGGTATTTTATTTCTTGGTTGGGGAGTTTAAAGAAAAATGCCATCAAGGCAGCCCAGCGTGGATTTTGTGTACAATATAGAGAGCCATGATAGATTGGAGCGATACCCTAGAATAAAAAAAATTTAACCTCAACTCCAATTATGCCCAATGACTTGACCGTTGCCTAGCCGTCGTCGCACTCTATCCGCTTCAGCCTGTTTACGTCATCGACTTTGCCAAGTGATTTTTGCGAAAATGTCAGGGACAGACAAGAGTGCGTTTCTTTCAGATAGATCAATGAATCATTCAGTCAACCGTCCAGCATCCCGTGCGATTTTGGCTACGCTATGCATAAAATTCAAGCGCCTTCACTGGCGACAAAAGTGTCTGTCAAAGCTGCGCCTCCTTACCAAGCGCCTGTCTTCACGGTACCGAACCGCGCAAGGCCAGCCACGTAAAGACGACCAAAAACAGAACGCCAGCCATGATGGCGTATCGAAGCCTCGCAGGGTGGTTCTGCCGGACGTTGTTGACGGCCAAGGTCGCTTCCTGGGCCAGCGCCTTGAGGGTGTCGCTGCCGAGCTTGTAGTAGACCAGGCCGCCCAGGGCGATGGAGTAGCCGATGAATTGCTGACCGGTGACGGGATCGCCGAAGAGCACCATGGACGAAACGACGAGTAGGATGTCTTTCAGGATGCCCGACATGGTCAGGACGACAGCGGAGGTCTTGCCAATCTGAAGGAGGTTAGTGCATCATCAACGCGCAATGCAGATGGGGAGGCAACCTACCAGGAGAACGGTAGAGACGTTGAGGAGAAAGGCAACGATGGCATTGACGATGAATAGCGGAATGCCGACGCGGGAAAAATCGGCGAGCGTCATGCTCGGGAGCTCGACGACGGCCATGAGGGCGCCGTTGATGGCAGCGCAGACCGGGGCGTAGTAGTAGAGCGAGACCATGGGGTCCATCTTGAACTCGGGCGAGCTGAGGAGTCTCTGGACCATGACGAGGCGCAGGGCTTCGAAGATGATGCCGCAGACTTGGACTGCAGGGGCGGGTGTCAGGTGTGAATGAGAACAAGGTGGCAGATGCAATGCTTACATAGAAAGCCCAAGGAGTGGAACTTGATCTCACCAAGTGAGGCGATGACGACTCCAAACACGATGATGGACACGTTTCCGAGGACGTTGAAGTTGGGCGGAACAATCTTGAAGGCCCAGGTGGCGAGGAGAGTGACGACTGCGTTGGACGCCTGCCAGAATTAGATTAGTCGTCTCCTTCTGCTCGAGAGAGTGTGGTGGGTAGGCGGGCATACCTTGAGCATCTGGATAAAGGAGACGCTGAGGTAGAGATAGGCGAGATTGCCTCCGATCAAGCTGAGGCTGAAGAGGATGACGATGGGAAGAATGGCGCGCTTGTAGGTTTCAAGGTCCATGGGCACGTTGTGCCTGGAATCCAGCAAGGTGGTGTAGCGAGCCATGAGCTGGGTCATGGCGGCGGCAAATGTCATGTGCCATGTTGTTAGGAAGAGAGCTGGATTGCGGTCGGTCAGTCAGTCAGTGTACGGAGAGGTACATGAAGGGCAGGAAAAGAGAAGACTGACGAAAGCCTATAATTTGTTAGAGAAATATGCGATGAGAAGAGTGAGGTGCGAGAGGTTTTTCAACTGACGAAAGTTGGCAGCGGCGAGAACCCATTTGTTGAAGAGAATGACGCCCGAGCTGGTGGCAATCCAGAAACTAGTGAGGGTGAGCGAGTGAGGTGAACGGAGGAGGCAGCGGCAGGGGAGCTCGGGTTACGCACGCAATGTAGAATGCGGGATGCAGCCGGTCGTCGACCAGGCCGGGCTGCTTTGGCGGCAGAGCTTGAGACTGCGCAGCCTCAGAATTGGTCGGCCCAGCCTCGAGATCGGGATGTTCATCGGAGGAGTGACGGTCCGCGGCGCTGTATTGGGCTTGCGCCATTATGCGACGTCGAGCGACGCTGGGCAGGGACAAAGGCACCTTCCAGATGGATGGATTGTCGACTCGCGGAAAAAAAAAAATTTTTTTAAAAAAATATTACAGATGCAAAAAAGAATAGCCGCTGGTAGTGCGGCTAAGGAGGATGCACGGGCATTTGTCGATGGCGACCTAATAAGTGGTTAACTTTGGTGGTAGTTTGGCCAAACCAGTGACGCAGTGACAAAAAAGGAGAGTTGCCATCTGTCAAACTCAACTTGGCGCCAGTTGACCAACCAAGATGCCTCGCGCTGGCATGATGGTGGCCCTATTGGACAGCTTTGGACGCGGCTGAAGGCTAATAATAAAAGTCTGCTACTGGTCGGGAACAGGTACCGTATGTGTGTGTGTGTAAATTAACGTCTTTTACTGCGCCCTAGAGTAGGCTTTAAGACGTGCTATCGAGCTATCAACAGACTGCTGTTACATGATTGCACCCACTTAGTAGGTTTCCACAGAACGCGACAAGTCACGCTCATGCTCTCAACGGAATACCCCCGGGGAATTCCCCCATCTAACCGTCCTCCAGCTGTAGCAGTTTCGCGCCCGAAGGCAAATGGTTGTCGGTATCGATACCCGTCAGCGGGATCACGACGATGTATTCTATGTGCTTCCTGGACTCCTCCAGCTAGAATTCTCTCACAGGAAGAGGGGAAAAAACCTATGCTATAGTATAGCTCGGGAAAACCCTCAACAGCCAGAGATAGTGCGCAGGAAGCGTGTGTTGCCTTTTTAGTCCTTATACAAGGACTCCTAAGGGCTTTCTTTTTGTCGCGACGAGCGGCTCAAGAGGAATATGAACTCTCCAAAGTTCTCCTTTTTGTGGCTGCTAGGGCATGCTAGCGCATAGCCATCAAAACCGCAGGTCAGTGGGCCTGTAAAAACGCCGCCACTAACAGCTGCTAACAGCTGCAAAAGTGGAAGAATTTTTACAGGGGAGAGTTGGAACAGGTACCGTAGCCCCTGGCCCACAGCCCTACAGGGTAGGTACAGTACCTATGCAACAAGCATGAACCCTGCCAGGCCGTCGTCTCTGTGGCCATCCATGGGCGGCTCGGTCCGTTGAAACAGCTCCTTTTAACACGCCTGCAACCCAACATCCAAGTCGCCGCCTCCCTCGGCAACCAACAACCAAATTCGTCAAGCTCTTAGCGTTGTCGACTCCCTCCCACGCGAATCAAATCATTGTTGAATGAGCCGCATCTCCCTCCCGTCATCGTCACACCACGCCGATGCCGCCGCCTCAGCCCGGCGGGAAGCATGTATGGAGAAACATCCAAGAAATACCCCCGCGTTCCACGGAGCCGCTGGGAATGCTGCTGAATACATGGCCACGGCTGCCCGAACAAAACGGTCCATCGTACCTTGGACCAAGCGCGACGAGGAGCTCCAAGCCGTCGAACATCCTCGCCCGACTCAAATATAATCCTGAAAGGCTACACCCGTCGTCACCTTGGCCACCCATCGCATCATATCCGCGGGGTAAGAGTCAAACCAAAATACTGCGCAACACGTCGCGATCAATCTCCAGGTGGCCCCATTCCACGCCCTGGCTGCGGGTGCGCAAGTGAGACCGTGTGCCCCCATGTGATCCTACGATGATCAGGTTTGAATCATCTTACATAGCAGCAGTACGGAACAGTGTCTCTCATATTTTCCAAAAAAAAAAAAAAAAAAAAAAAAAAAAAAAAAA